GAGTGAGGTGAAATGGACGAAACAATGGAAAGGACAGCAAATAATTGGCAAAGCAAGATACCAGTAATTAAACCAACAATCTTTGTATATGGACGATTCATGAAGGCAACCAAGGAGTTCTTATGTTGGACTTGTGAAGTATTCAATGAATTCTTTCTGATAACATAAACTAAACGAATACCACTTGCCAAGAAGATAACTATTTCAGTGGCAATGATGGAAAGATACAAGACGAATAAGGACAAATAGATTGGTGTCACATCAAATCTGATTTCTTGAATCTTGAGAAGCAAGTTGACTGTACCATTGGACACTGACAAGGCAATAGCCAAAAACATGGCAATAGCAGTAATGACCATGACAATCCAAAATAAAGCAGTGGATGTTTTTCTTCCCATAGCTCCAGCTTTTTCAACAGTTTGTAAACTAATGTACATGCGATCAGTAAAATATATTCGAAACATGGTGAAACTTACAAGATGGTCAAAATGAAAGACATTAAGAAACAACTGAACGGAATCATTTGAAGGAAGGAAATGACATTCTCCAAGAATGCAGTAGCCCACATTAATTTCAAATTTCCAATCACAGTTTCCTTATCAATATTCGAATAGTTTAGATTCACATGAAGCCCAGTGGAATTATAGATTAATCTAAAGAACAAGGCAATGGCATGAGTAAAGACGAAACTGAGCATAACACCAAATAAAATCTTTTGATTTCTCATCATCTTATCCTTTGCCTTGACAAGGAAATGAACAGTAATGGCAGTAATAATCGAATAAATTATTAGAAAGAAGCAAGAATTGGCAACAGATGTTGAATTCTGAACAAGTTGAGGAAATCTACTGCCAGCTGTTATTTCTGCTACTGTCAAGTTAGTAAAATCAATTTCCAATGGTGAGAAGAAATCAAAACTTGCAAGCGAATGTAAACCCTTCCTTTCGAATAACTCTTGTTGGAAAACAAATGATAAACCAGTAGTCATGACTAATATACAAGTAAATGGTTGAAGAAGTGCTTTGTTTTTTTCTTGATTAATTTGCTGCCGTAAGTGTTGAACCAACTTCAGCAACGCAACTCTTGCATTAAGTATTGTACTTGCCTTTTTAGATTTTTAAATACTTTCTCACAAGATTTATATTCTTGAAAATTGCTTCTAAATATCGCTTTAAGCCTTGAATGGACATTCCAGTGCAGAAAATATATGAAAAGACATCTAATTTCTTGGTCTATATTTCATGTACCAATTGACCAACCAATATTTCACACTTTTAACATTGTGTTATTTTAACACAATTGCCGGCAGTATATCGTGATGAGATTATTTCACTAAGATAGTCAGTTTGAGCGGTAAAATTATGGATGTCTATTACCAAATTGGATTGTGCTGGAATTCTCATATGTAAACATAGGGACAAGCTTGAAGATGTGAAATTCATGGTATTGGATGTGAACTCTTTGAAGAAAGTCATGACAGGTCATTACAATATATCACAGAGTGAGCTTTCTGAAAGTGAATTAAACAATAAACAAAGTAATGTCACTTCATTATTGGAAAGAGTTGAACTATTTGTCATCTCGTTATCATGAACTATTTTACTGTAGATTAACAATTTACTGTAGAGTAGTCAATTGAAATATTGATGTATAATACTATTTATAAAGTGAAAGGATTGAAAATGCATGAATGATAATGTGTTGGAATTTTACAGATTGTCAAATGAAATAACAAATCAATGCATGTAAAACAACATGTGGAAGCACATCTATATGCTCAAAATATGCCATTCATGGTACATTTTCTGTATGCATCCATACGATAAAAGAAATCAACAGAGTAGAAAACTCCTCAACAATCTCCTTTGAAAATCTAAGAAATTTTCCAACTCCTTCTGGGTCTACAATATAAGAAATCAGAACTCTAAGAAACTGGTATCTACGAACTCTGGAAAATGTAACACTTATACTCAATTTTTGATTCTTCAATCCTTAAATTACTCCTTAACAATGATGAATCTCAACCGTCCTTAATTGGTTGGAATGAAATTGGAACCGTTCCTACAGTAATTCAAAATGTTCACATTTCACCCACGCAAAATAATAGAGCGAGCGCTTGATAATGCAAATTTTTACTAAGGAGCGACTGATGTTGAACCAACATCCAGTTGTGTGTGAATGATTGTTGCATTCTCCACAAACAACGACACAGCACCTCAATTCGCTGAGTTATTTAGAATGAGAGTGGAGTTTCTGCGCATCATCAACTCCTCTGATATCCGTATTAGACTGCCTTAATCCCACATACTTCTATGAAATTCAACAAACAGATTGCACATTACTCCCACGAGACTTTAAAGCTCTTGTTTCTAGTTGGAAATTGCAAATATGAAAGAAAAAATGCAAAAGAAGCAATTGATTATCACATTGGTGGTCTTGTTGAGCGCCATCGCTTGTACTGTCTATGGTTTCTCAGCTAATCCATGCACATTCTGTAAAACTAGCTTTGATATGGTTGCTACCGATAAGAGTAAGTAAGGTATTTCTTTTTGAATGAACATTGAACTCGTTACATATTATATAATAACTATCACATGTGTTTGCAAATACTCACTTAATTCCCTTAATACATCTACAATGCTTCGTTCATTTTCATGTTATTGCATATATAACAGTTAAAACTGGATCTGTTCTTTCACTTTGTAATCATTACAGACATAATTTCTGTTCCACTCTTGATAATGCCTTGAAAACTATGCAACAAGGCAAGAATAAGAATAAGAATATCAAGACCTTGATTTGCAGAGATCACTTAAAGTTGTGCAATGATACTGCTCCAATCAATCCTAAACCAATTATTCCACCAGTTAAGCCAGTCGTTCCTCCTGTTGTTACACCTGTTACTCCAGTTGCTCCAATTGTTCTCCCAGTTGCTCCACAAAACGCAAGTGAAACAACCATCTTCTCTGATAGTAATGGAAATGCCACCATGAAGGGTTTTTACACTACTACCTCATCTAATAGTTCCATCTTGAATGGTACCTTGGTCACTAATGGTAATTTCACACTCAACTCAACTCATAGTTTGCATGTTAATGGAAGTATTGCTCACACCGATGGTTCCATGACAGTTGGTAATTTGACTATTGAAGGTGTTTTCAATGCTAGTGGAATTGTTGCCATGATTAATGACTCGTTGATTGTCAATGGTTCATCATTCATCAACGCTTCAATTGATCACGGATTGATGCAAGTTAATGGTAGCATTGCTTCAAATGGTTCCTTAATGATTTCCAACTCAACTTGGTTCTCTAATGGATCTCTCTTTATTAATGGTTCATTCGATGCTGATGAAGTTAATGCTTTCGAATTGAATGGTACATTGGGTCATAACGGCAGTTTCGTCTATTCTAACAATTCTTTGAACACTAATGGTTCTTTGACCATTCAAGGTAACTTGACTCTTCCTTCCATGGACGAATTCAATGGTACTCTTCAAGTTAATGGTACTGTTAACTCCTCAATCAGTGGTGATTTGAGCATCAATGGTTCGATGGTTATGAACGGTTCTTTCAATGGAAACGAAACTGATTTCAATATGAATGGTTCCTTGGTTCATAATGGTTCATTCTTCCAAGATAACGAAACTGTCCACCTTAATGGTTCTATGAACTTTGATGGTAACATGTCTCTTCCATCCAATACCTCAATTAATGGAACTATCTCAGTGAATGGTACTTTCAAATCCATGTCAATGGGTGTCTTGTCTGTCAATGGATCCATGCTTATTAATGGCAGTTTCTCCACTAATCAAACTAATTCATTGGAATTGAACGGTACTTTGGCCAACAATGGTTCATTCGTCCATGATAATTCTTCAATGAGTTCAAATGGTTCCATTACCATTGACGGTAACATGACTCTCCCATCTAACAACTCAATTAATGGAACTATCTCAGTCAATGGTACTTTAAGATCAACTGCTTTCAGAACATTGTCTATTAATGGTTCAATGCTCATTAATGGTTCATTCTCTAGCAATTATACCAACTCTTTGGAATTGAACGGTACTTTGGCAAACAATGGTTCTTTCTATCATGATAATTCTTCAATGAGTTCAAATGGTTCTTTGGCTATGGAAGGAAACATGACTCTCCCTTCATTGGATTCTATCAATGGTACTCTTCAAATTAATGGTTCTATCAATTCCACTATGGATGGTCAATTGTCTATCAACGGTTCCATGCTCATTAATGGTTCTTTCGATGGAAATGAAACTGATTTCAATATGAATGGTTCCTTGGTTCATAATGGTTCATTCTTCCAAGATAACGAAACTGTTCACCTTAATGGTTCTATGAACTTTGATGGTAACATGTCTCTTCCATCCAATACCTCAATTAATGGAACTATCTCAGTCAATGGTACTTTCAAATCCATGTCAATGGGTGTCTTATCTGTCAACGGCTCCATGCTCATTAATGGCAGTTTATTGGGTAATGAAACTCTTGAATTGAATGGTTCTTTGGCTCAAAATGGTTCATTCGAAATGGATAACTCATCCATTGCCAGCAATGGTTCTCTCCAAATGATTGGTAACATTTCATTACCATGCTCCACCTTGATTAATGGTAATTTAACTGTCAATGGTACCCTGAACTCAACAGTTGGAAGCATTTTGACTGTCAATGGCGAAACCCATGTTAATGGTAACTTGACATTGAATCATGCATTGCTCATCACTGGTAACTTGACAATTAATGGAACTGTTCATTTGAATCACTCCAATGCTGCTATCATTGTTCAAGGAGGTGATTTCACATCTATTGGAGGTATTGTTGTTAATGGCACTGCTGTTGTCAGTGGTACTTTCAGTGTCAAGTCAACTGATGTTGAAAGTTCAATTGTTTCAGTTTCTGCTGATGGAGCTTTGAGAGCTGACAATGTTATTACTGCCATGACTGTTACTGATATGGCTTTCACTAGTATCAAGATGAAGAGTTCAAGAAAGAAGTAAATTGAAATTCTTAATAAAAGTTATTGATTAGTTGTGAAATATTAAACATTTGTTAAATAGTTTACAAAAAAAATGTTAAAACAACTGCTCATCAATAGCAGCAGTACATCTCGCAAATCTTCATTACCCATTCTGCATCCATCAAAATCACAACCATTTATATTCAATTCCGCAAGAAACTTTGCAAAGAAAAGAAAAATGCTCGAAGAACAATCAACAGAAAACGAAGAATTCATTCCGATGATTAAATGTGAAGGCATTCATGATGTTCCTGATGTGATTCCAGAGATAATTGTGCATCGATATGAAATCCATCACACCATCGAGGAAAATCATACACCAACTTCATTAAATTTTGTGAATAATAATCGTGATGAAAAAGTGGAAAATTCAATTCAAGTGCTAGAACACTCGGATCCATACTTTTGGTTTCGGGAGAAGGAGAAGGTGATGGATTATATTAAAAGTGAAAATACCTATCAGAAAACCAAGATGAAACCATTGAAAAAGTTGCAGGACAAGATTTTCAATGAAATTAAGAATAAGATTCAACAAAATAATGCATCAGTTCCATATATTTGGAAGGATTACTATTATTATTCGAGGGTAGGTTCAAATCATTGAATTTTATCAATTTAAAATCATTAAAACTGTGTGGAAATAGATTCAAGAAGATAAACAGTATAAAATCTATTGTAGAAAATCAGCAATGGAAAAAGATGCAAAGGAGGAAATTCTATTGGATTTGAATCAAATTGCACAAGAATTCGAAACAGAGTATTTGGATTTGGGTTTTTATGATATTTCACCTGATCAAAATATTATGGCATACTCAATTGATGTAGATGGTGATGAATATTATGAAATGTACTTTAAAGATTTGAAGAGTGGAAAGATTATTGCTGAATATATTTCAAGAGATGAATGTTTGGATACTAGTTTTGAGTTTGGAACAGATTCTAGAACAATTATATTTGTGACATGTGATGAAGCTCATAGACCTTATAAAGTCTATAGAAAAACTTTGAATGTTGAGGAACAAGTTGATAATATTGAGGATTGCAAAAGAATTTCATTGGAGAATGAATGTGAAATGGTGTATTGTGACATGAATGAAAAATTCAATGTGGCTGCTTACAAGACTTTGACAGATGAATTTATTTTTATTGAATCCATTTCGAATAATACTTGTGAATATAGATATTTGAGAGTAGATGAGTTACCGAGTGGTGAATTTAAATTATTTGCCAACAGGGAAAGAAAGGAAGGTATTGAACTTTACATTACTCACCACAAAGACCATTTCTACTTTTGGCATAATGATGAAGGATTTGTAAATTTCAAATTATTCAAGACAACTGTAGAGAATCCAGATCTTGACAATGCTCCAGAATTTCTTCCTTACAATCCAGATTTTTACATTGAAAGTTTGGTAGCGTTTGAAAATCATTTAGCCATGTTTGGAAGAAGTGAAGGTGTTCCAAAATTAGTAATTTTAGATCCTAATGGTGAAAAACAACCAAAAGAAGTGGAATTCCCAGAACCTTCATACGATTTAGGAGAATCTGAAAACTACATTTATGAAAGCAATCTCATTCGTTTGACCTACTCATCCTTCCTGACACCAGAAACAACCTATGAATATAATATGGACACTCACGAATTTAAAATCCTCAAACAAGAGAAAGTTTTGGGAGATTTCGACAAGAATAATTATGTGCAGAAGAAATTAATGGTTCCTTCTAGAGATGGAAAAGCTAAAATACCACTCCACATCCTTTACAAAAAGAGTTCAATTAATGGAGATATTGAACTCGATGGTTCACATCCATTACTTCTCTATGGCTATGGAGCTTACTCCATATGCAATGATGCCTCCTTTTCCTACTCTATTTTCAGTTTATTAGATCGAGGTGTCATTTATGCAGTTTCTTCTGTTCGAGGTGGTTCAGAATTGGGTAGAGATTGGTACCTCCAAGGAAAACTTCTCAATAAGAAGAATACCTTCTATGATTTCATTGACAGTGCAGAATATTTAATTCAACAAGGATGGACTAATCCAGGAAAACTTGCAATTGAGGGTGGATCTGCAGGTGGTCTATTAATTGGATCTGTCTTGTGTATGAGACCTGAAATTTTCAGGGCTGCCATTCTGGAGGTTCCATTCGTTGATTTAATTTCCTCAATGATGGATCCAAGTATGCCTCTCTGCTGTACTGAGTATGATGAATGGGGAAATCCAACAATTAAGAAATTTTACGATTACATGATTCAATATAGTCCATATGATAATATTGATTGTGAGGAGAATGTGAATAAGCCATTCCCTTCGATATTGGTGGATCATGCACTGAATGATTCAAGAGTTCAATATTGGGAAGGTTTAAAATTTGTGGCCCGTTTGAGACATTTTCAAAAAACACATTCGAAACCTGGACTCATTCTCTGTAAAACAAATATGAAACAAGGACATGGAGGAGCAGCTCAGAGATATGAAGGTTATAAGGAATTAGCTTTTCGTTTTGCATTCATTCTTAGTCAAATTCAATAATAACATGTTGGATTCAACCTTTTTATTCGAAACATAATATTTGTTAAACATTAACCCATCCATCTCTGTATACAACAACCTTTTCCACAATAAGCCATCCCACCATCATACTCAATCGATGAAACCATTTCTCCAAAAGACATGGCCGAATCCTCCATCCGAATCCTTTCAAAAAAATGAGCGCAATTTTTAAAATCATCACAAAAAAAAAGTCACCAAACCGCCTGTTGTCTTTTTCAAAACTTTTTGCCACAACGTAAATTCATACGCTTTCATTGAAGTGAGAGTATCATCATCATATCCATTAAATTGGCCATAAAAAAGCGAATTTTAAAATCCCAATCGATCGCGCCTCTTTTACTTGGTTGATTGGAATATTTAGGCTTTTTTGCAACAACAACAACAATAAGAATACCAAGTTGTGTGTCAATTTTTGATAAGAAAGAAACATTAACATCATGAATAGAAGTAGTGTGGGACAGCAGAGAGCAGCAACCATCATGATACCCAACTCATCACTGGTGAAACATTACAGTGTCTCACAGACATGTTTCAAGTCAGGAGTCATGACGAAACAGGGAGCAAAGGTGAAGAATTACAAATCGAGATACTTCTTCTTGTACTCTAATAAGATTACCTATCACAAGATGAATAAGAAGAAGGAGCCAAATAAGACTCCACAGGGTGAAATTTCACTCAAGGGAGTTCAATCTCTGAATATTTATGAAATGAAAACTATTGAACCAAAGGCACAAAAGGAAGGTTTACAGTTTGGGTTTATTGTGGAGGATCAGGAACGTTCGAGAAATTACTTCCTCTTCACAGAAACTAAAGAGGAAACATTGGAGTGGATTGAAGCAATTAGACAAGTTGTAACATTGAGTAATGATGCTTTGCAATTGACCAACAATTCAGCAATTACTAATACCAGTCCAATTATTGTTGATGATCAAACAGCAACACCTGTATTAACAAAGCAACCATCCTTTGAAATAAGCAAGGGTGATGCTCACTTGCTTCACAAATCGATAGATATCAAACGATTGTCCAATCTTGCTGCTCTTGGCACCTCTCCAACAACTCCAAGAGGTGGTCTCAATTCACCAAGAGGAGTTACAAGCTCACCTGTATATATTTCTTCCTCTAACTCAACTTCCTCATTTTCAACTGCCAACACAACTGTACTATTACAAAAGAATTCACATGAATCAGAGTTAACTGATATCTCTTCCTCATCAAATTCTACATCCTTCCTCGAAATGGAATTACCACCTGAAAGCTTTGTTCAAACTGAAGAAGGCATGTCACCTTTACTGTATGATAGTGGAAATTCTGTGAGAAATAGCTCCATGAATCAAACTCAATCCTACCCTTCAATTCCTGTCCAGGTAATGTCAGATGAAGATGAATATAATATTGCTCTTAACTCTGCAGCCATTTTCCTCAAGGATGAAAAGCAGAGAACTCCTCAAGAACAGGCCTATGTCATTGCAATGCATCACTTTAGAAGACAAATGCAAGATCACATTAGACGATATTCCTGCAAACCTGTTTATAATTTGGCTGTCGGTACTGTCATTTTTTGCATTCCAGAAGAAGAAAGAACAGCAGATGAGGAGGAATTTTATCAAGATTTAATGGAACAATTCAGAGGAAATGTGGAAATGTACAAACAAGCCACCAGTATCTATGTAGATAACAATGCTGGTTTATAGAAAATCTTACTTTTGCCATGGATCAACATTTGTCAGATATGTCTCACCAATTATCTCATCATTCACAGGATATTCCTTTACATGTTCAGGTAGAAATTGTAAAAGCATTCAAATTTATTAGCAAAAAAAGCCCATCTGAAAGAACTGAAGAGGAAGAACTATTCCTTTCTCGGTTAGCTGAAACACATGGTATTCTCAAACGCTTATATTACAGACATGGTCTAGTTCCAAATCAAATTACTTTGATTGCTTCCATCCTCTTGGATAATGAATGTGAACTATTCGACAATTATTACCTCCTAGAACAGAAGAAATTGAATTCTGAAGAGGAAAATTCATCTCTTCCAATTCAATATTTTTCCAACAGTGTAGATTACAAATATTACGAACTGAAACAAGGTAAACCAATTCTAGATAAACAATAAATTTGTTTACCTTTTTTCAACTTGCGAACTAGAATATTGAGAATTTAGAGTTTTATTTACATTAGTTAGAAAATCAAGTAGAATAGTTCAGAATTATTCTTTCTTAACCCAATTAGAGTGAGAAATTGGTGAAAAATCGATTTGAGTCAGAGCATCTTTTTGGTCGCCTGGTCTGAAACTAAACTTTGATTCGAAAGCAAGAGTTTCTACTGATGGACGAGCATCTTGGAAAGCTTTTCCTTGTTGATTAGTTTGCCATTGTAAATTAAAGTATGATCCAGTGCTGAGCAAGGCCAATCCAGTCATCCAAACATAAGGCTTGTAGATGAAATATTGGAAACCAATTTTGTGAGCAGACATGTTTAGTTTTGTATTTAGTTGTTGTGTTGTTTTTTTGTTGTTGGATTTGAGAACTGTTTTCATGGTTGTATTTATTCGAAACTAAACTATTGCCAAAAATGTCGTTTTAAATTTTTGACTATTTTTGGACTTGACATTTTTAGAGTGAAAAATTGCTAAAAACATATTATCTTTTTTGACAGATGCCCAATAAAAACAAATCCACAATAAAATCCATAAAAATAACTTCAATTTTAAACACTTTATTAAGAAATTTCATAAACTTCCATTTTTATAAAATTAAAATACATTGCAACAATTCAAAGATTTAAGAATTTTAAAAATATGAATTTAAAAACATTAACAACGTTTCGAGGATAATGCCAAACGAACAAAGGTGGATTCAAATAGAATTATCAGAACAAGAAGAAAAAGCAGAGGAATCCTTGGCAATGTTTGCTTGAAAAGTTTACATTCGGTTCAATAAAACCTGAAGTAGATTATTATTATTATTGCATTTAATTAAGCAAACCCCTTCAATATTTAAAGAAACCTCTATCACTATGACAAAATCCAATAGAAAATGGATTCATTGAATTAATATCATCATCATTTACTTCAGATCCATATTATTGGCAATAATGTTATTATAATGATTGGGAAGAAAATTAATGAAATTGTGGAATCTTTGGAAAGCTTTCTAGATTTGGACCAATTGCAATCCAACCACACTCCAGAATTTCCCTTACATTGCATTCACTGTTACACCACATGTACTATGTTCACAATTAATGCAATTATTTGTATTTCCATATCTGTTACGAGTGTGCGATGATCTTGTAAAATCAACCTTTTTCAAGTATTGTAATCGACTTTTCAATCCAACATAACCTTCCAATACAAACATTCTCATTGTGTGAAAAACATTGTTCATTACTCCAACCTGCTACTAATCAAAAAAAATGTCAACACATCAATATTACGAACTCAATGAAATATCAAACTCTGATTATTATTCTCTCCAGAACACAACTGCACACCCATATGAGAAATATTTTCGAGCAAAGATATCAGATTATTCATGGAAGAAATTTTTGCTTTTGATTTATCAAAGATTTCTGTCAAGTATTGTTGCATCTTTTTTGCTGTCACTTTTCATTGTGGCTAATGCCATTGTTATTGTTATTTGTGAAGTGGTTATTTATCCAAAGAATAGCAACTTTAATCATGACATTCCGAGAGGTTTGTTGTGTTCTTCGTTATGTGTTGCAATATTACTATATTTGGTGATTTCATTTTCTTGTGATAGTATTCAATTTTTAAAAAATAAGAGAATGGAGAATATTGGAACTATCTATGAGGGTTTAAAGAATAGTTCTCCTTCAATATCTTTCCATATTAAATGTTATTCGAATTTTTCAGATTCATGGTCAGATTCTAATGGAGAACATACTCAATCACATAAAGAGCTAGTGGATGAAAGGAAGCAACATCTTAGTTATCACACATGTACTGATTGGACCAAATATCCAAAGTAAGTTTTACAATTTTTATTAAAAGTTTACCAAGTAACTCAACTTAGTGTTAAAAAACAAACCTTAGCTCTAAAATGTGATTCATTCTTCTTTGCATCAGATAGAGAAACTCAATCGAAAATTGATCGTTCCAGAAATACAGTGGTTAAGATTGATAAGGGAACTTCACATTATTATGAAGAAAAGTGGGAAATACCAAACTTTTCAACATACTTGTTGGTTAGGAGAGATGAAGTCAAATGGTCATTCTTTTATTCAATCCCATTCTATGTGTGCTGTTCATTATTCTTTTGTAATTGGTTGTACAGATTGATTTTTGCTATTGTAAACCAAGTAGAGAATGTAGTTTGTGTGAAGGAATTTACTATTAATAATTCATTTAACAGAAAGGCAGATTTTAACGAGTTGTATTGCTATAGAGGTTGTTCTGGAAAGAGGGGTTATGCAACTCGTAGAAATAAATACACCAAACACCTGTGGTAATTATTTCAATAATATGTTACTTTACCTAATTTTGGATATGTGTCCTTGATAATGATTCAATTCCAATCATAACATGAAAGCCATTACAAGTCTTTGGTTGTTGATAATTACTTTACTTCCAACTTGATTTTCCATTTCCTGTTTGTTAGATTTGGGTATAGGATTATTCTCATCTCTAATAAATATTCTTACTCAATCACAAGACATTGATCGCCTCTCTACATATGAAGGAAAAGCATTTGCACAACATCTCTGTTGGTGCATCATCTATCAGAGAATTTGTTGTTGATTGTGAAATCAGTTTTTTTGGTGATATTTCTACAATTTCTGCATTCACTTTAATTTAGTGTCTTGATAAATAAAATTGATATTATTTTACAATATTTTCTTCCTTAATAGAATGACAATGACAACAACAAGCAGAACCATAAACCCACATATACCAAAGAACCAATACAACGAATCCTCATTCTGTCCCGGAACTTGACAATTCATACCCCATACAGTGCCAATTAATGTTAAGGGTGCGTAAATCATAGCCATGGAACTCAATCTATTCATGAATTTGTCTGTTATGGATGATGCTTGTGCCATTTCAATTTGCAACTTGGTCAAGTAATTGGTATGGGATTCAGAGAGAGCATCAACAGCCATTTCCAACTTGTCACAAGAATATGTCAAATGATCCAAAACGTCTCTCATATAAATTCTAACATCCTCAGCAAAATAAGATGCAGTAAGATAATGTGAAACCAAATAGACGAACATTCTCTGTTTTGGCACTATCAGTTTTCTTAGAACCACAATTTTACGTTTGAGATCTGCAATATCCTCAACCACTGAATTACCTTGATATGAGCTGGAAAATGATAGAGCAAACTCATCAATCATGTCACACGACTTTGTAATACCATCAACTGTTGGAATAAGTTTCTCAACAATGGAATCCATCAAGTTGTGAAAAACAAAAGAAGGAGATGCTGCAAGTGAATATTCCAAACTAGAGGCCGAGGATATTGCACTCAGATTATCTTGACTTCTCACATATTTCACTCTTCCAGTCATTCTAGCATACTTTCTCTCCAAATGGGCAAGAGCAATATCAAATCCAATAAAGGGTTTCTCATGGAATGTAATTATACAATTCTCGAATAAAAGTATAGACAAATAAATATGGGGAAATAAATTAGGTTTTGGTTTTCTGATTATTTCAGGTTCCTGTTGCCAGAAATATTTCTTGATACTTGGAGCTGACTTTTCATTATTCGATTGTTGTTTTACTTCTTTCACTCTAACACTCGTGGCACAAAAGAAATAATTATCAAAATATTCCCACTTTTCCGAAACTTCAAAGTGATCACAATAACAATTCTCTGCTGTGGTTGGTTCAAATTTAAAGTAGCTCCTCAATTTGTCTACATCTTCGTTGGGAGAAAGTTGGCAATCCAACCAGAAAGGTTTTGCTTCATCATTTTCCACACTATCAAAATGTCCACTCTCACTTTTCAAAAATTGAATAACATCAAAAGCAGATGAGAATAATCTTCTCTCTTCGTTGGCCAATGAAAAGTACATAAATCTAGTTCCTGAAACTTGAGAAATTACATCCGACTCCTTTCTTGATAGTGTTGCTCCACTCTTCTTTTTAGGAATATTATTTGGTGTTTTATGAAATAAATACTCGAGTGCATCATCAATTGTACTTCCAACTCCTATTGGTGAAAGTGCCTTCTCTCCACCATTGGTTGTTGTAGTTGAAATGAGAGGCATTGCTTCTCCTTCCTCATCACTTTCTAAATATCTTACCATAGGATGATGAGTTCCAACTGTTGAAATATCATTTCCATGATCTATCATTTCCTCTTCATCTGTTGTATTGGTGTAATACTTGGCACCTCCAACTCTTTTACGTCTGGCAAGACGACGAAGTAGAACTGATGATGAGCCTATCATTCTTTGCTCATTTTTCTTTTAGATGAAAGAAGAAGGCTTGGTTTCCCTTCCATAATTAGCTAATTCGCCATGGTGAATCATCAGTTGCTGATGGAAAGATGAAGGCTTTGGATTGGTTTTAATATTGAAAGTATTCACTGTTGGTTCCGATGAGTGTGGTTGTTTCATGCCAATGAGATGTTTTTAGATATTATCAATTGATTTTTTAATTCAAATCTCATAAAGGTGAAATTTGCAACCTTCATTTTCTCGCGTTTTGAAATGGAAGATTATTATACAGCCAGCAGTTATTAGTTTATTACAAGAAATAATACATTTTGATTTACATTATTGTGGTAGTTTGTTTGAAAAGGAGTGAGGGATTGATGGAAAAATTAAATTAGTTGTGTTGTATGAATAATTAAATTCGGAATGGAATTTAACTGGATGGGTTGAGGAAAGTCTTCTTTGTTCTAAAATCTTCTTCTTCGACAAAGTTTTGAGCAGCGTCCTTTTCGCTCATAAACCAGTCATCCTTTTTAATTTGATCTTCCTCGACAATATCAAAACTGAAATTAATCTTTTCCTTCTTATCGTCGGTTTCTGGTGCCTTTGGTGCTTTTGGATCAGCCTTCAACAATGCAGCACATGTATGGTATGAGAATTGTTTGTTTGTATGGAAGGAGAGAGCACGAGATGATTTGATGATGCTAGTAATGAGTTTCATTGTGATGGAGTAATTTTTTTTGTTAATTTTAATATTTTACGAAGAACCAATGTATCCTTTTATATTCTTTTCGCTATTTCGCCAAATATAAAAGATGTCCACGAAAGTCACTTCAAAAATCTGCGGTTGTAAAAGGCATTCCTCTAGTCTAAGACAACATAAGGGGAAATAAACACGCCTTCTTAATTTTTTTTAATATCGGAATCCACACAGATGATTCCTAAAGCTGTAAAATACATTGAGGTTTTGTAAAGTAGATTTCTGTTGTTGGTTGGGCCTGATATGGTGGTGTGCTGTGGAAGGGGCATATTAAGGATTTTAGGGTTTTTGTCAAGAGTAAAACCCTTGTTGGGCATATCTCTTCCACATCAAGTTGTTTGCTGTGGGTTCATCTGCACTATTATACTTCTGAGACATTACAATGGAGAGTTGACAATTGGGTTGTTATTGTAAATAATAGCAAAATGCTTGATTTACAAATTTCCATCAAGAGCAAATTAGAAATCTGGAATCTGGTAGGGCTTACTGGAAACGATATTAGATACGTTGATAGTATCTCCAAATAGTGTTTTTGCAAGTGATACATATCTCTCTTGTCCATAAAGCATAAAAGTTTCCAAGTGTTTTGATTTTTGAAATGCATTAATCATTTCCTGTTTTCCAAAATAATTAATAAAGAAATTGAACCAGTCTTCTAGAAGAGTAATTTTGTAAGTACCAAATTGCAGCTCGACAACACTTAGCAGTGCATCCAATAAAGAGTCTGGTCTGTCTGTTTTAGGATTGTTGTAATATAATGAAAAGGACAAGGTATTTAACATTTCAAAATTTGGAAATGGAAATGAAGCTAGAATACATAATAGTACTGCTGTTGTTTGAACAGGCTTAGAAGATTTCCTCATACAGTCGATTACTTTTGGTGTGAAATGCTTCTCTATCAACACTAGTTCTGATGACAGAAATAAATAGTGATAAATGGTTTTTCTAGGATTGATCTCTCTACATAAATCATTCTCAAAATATTTGGTATAGATTGCCATGTTTTTGTCTATTTGTTGTATCATTATTTCTTTAAAACCAGGGGTTTCACTTAGCAGGGAATAATATTTGTAAAGTTTAACTAATCCAATAGTGGAGTGGCTAATGAAATCCAAATTTTTACATTGACTTCTATCTATATCAGTTACTATCCTGACATGTCCATGTTTAATTTTAGATTTCTTCAAAACGAACGATCTCTCGGTAAGGAATTTGATTTGGAATTCCTCACTAAAGTTACGAAGAATATCATAGATAACATCTAATGTTTGTGAGTAATAGGTAGGATCCCATTTTAAACAAGGTCTATACGTAATTAGGTGTCTGTATATTGTTTGAAGCTTAGAGACATAATATTCCAATTCATGGAGAAGATAATTTCTATACAAATGACGCCATTGTGTTCTCCATTTGACATATTTCAATTTAGGGGGTTTCAATTCAAAAGTGATGGATTGTTCTCTCTTTGTTTGGTTCCAAATTGATGGGTTGTTTTTCCTGAGTTGAGAATTATCAATATATAAAATACCTTCCTCTTGGCATTCATTTGATAATGGTGAAATATTCATTGGGATACAAACTCTGATTGATCTACGAAGTGAATTATCAATTTCTAATTTCTTTTCCTGATAAATATGTGGAAATTGTTCATAACAAATTTCAATCAGTCTTTTCAATTCACCTCTCAATTTGCTCATGGATGTTCCACATGCTGAACATTGACACGGCTCCTCGTGTAATACTGACGACGAACCCTACCTCTGGTATTATTTCTTCTAAGCTCTGCTAGGGTTTCAAGTAGAGAACCAAGATCATGTGTGTTTGTTTCTTCATCGTAGTCATCTGAGCCATAAATATGGAATGGTCGACCAATTCTTTTCATGCAATTTTCTAATTTTTTGACAATTAATTTTTCATTCAATACCCTATAGAATAAACCACCATCATGACTGCATGAATTGTTGATTGTGTGTTCTTGAATTTCGCATCCAATTAATGATGAAAATACACGAGTAGAAATTCCAAATAGTTTTTCTTTCACTAATAAATCATCCAAACTTAAAAACTGCAATACTGTAAGCCAAGCATCTTCGTGGAGATGGCACAGGGTTGTAATTTGTGACATTTTTTTTGACAGCTTTTTGGTCTTAATTGATACTTGTGCAAAGGTAAAGATAAACTTGTCAGCTTCAAAAATTCTTAATCAAGAAAACTGTACTAAAAGATAACTCCTCCCGATTTAGAAGTTAAGCATCGTCGAGCCACATCAGTACTGAGGTTGGAGACAACTTGGGAACCTGTGGTGCTGTAGTCTTTTTAAAATAGTTCTGTCTCATATTTGAAAACGAAAAAGATATCTCCCCCTGGTGGGCTCGAACCACCGACCTGCAGATTAACAGTCTGACGCTCTACCGACTGAGCTAAGGGGGAATACAATAACTGATATCAATGTATATTGATGTTGTTATCGGGATGAAAATACATAGCAACTTTTGTTGTAAATAGATACAAAACTTAAAAGGAACTATTTATTGATGATTAAAAGTGGAGTTTTCTAATTTGTTCCTCTAATATTTTAATTTTCTCTTGCAATTCTGTATTTTCCTGATTCAATTTGTTATTTTCCATCAATATGTCATTTCTCTGATGTAATTTGTTGATTTCCTGATTTAATTTGTTGTTTTCATCTTCAAGATGTTTAATTTTTTCATTCAAGAAATCATTTCTCTGATTCACTTTGTTGATTTCTTCCAAAAGTCGAGAGTAACTCATCAAGGATTTTATTTCCTTATACTGCTTGATGTCCATCTCAATGTTTGATATTTCAATTTCTCCATTCAAAAATTTAATTACATTCTCAAGAGTTGTTTTGTATGAATAACAAAACAATCTTTTGGAAGAATCTCTTTGAATCATTGTAATAATACATCTGATTAATATATTGTTCACTCCATAATTTGTATCAATTGATTTGTTGATCAGTTGTTCGATGGCATAGTGTAATTTGGTTTCCCCTTCACTTGTTGTTACAACCGTATAGAAATACTTTCCATAGGTTGTGAAATAAATGAAATTATCCTTATATTTTGATAAATCAGAATCATTAACAAAGTGCTCATCTAATTGTAATGGACAATGTGTTAATAATTTCAATAAAATACATCCCAATGAAAAAATATCACATGAGATTGTAATATTTCCAATGTTATGAGCTAATTTAGAATCATTATTTCTTTTAAACATGTCATCAGTGTAATTATCATGTGAAACTTCAGGAGACATGTATGCAAACTTTCCACGAGCAATTGTAATTGAATTTCCTGTCTTGATTACTTTGGAAGTTTCAAAATCAATTAGTTTGTATTGATCTCCAACTTTGACAATATTTTGCGGATCTAAATCTCCATGTAAAATGTTGTGATCATGGATGGACTGAACAGATTCTAATATTTGCATAAATATTCGCAGGATTTCAATTAATTTCTCTTTAGTCATCATGGATGAATTTCTATAAACTTCAATATTTGCCTGAATATAATCTGATAGAGATTCTTCTCCCAATTCCATTACTGAATATAAATGTCTTTCAATCATTCCACAATCAAAACATTTTATCTTTCCACACATATCTGTTCGTTTCAATAAGTTAATAATTTCATTTGTTGATTCTTCGCTATCTTCTACTTCATATTTGAATTTGATAGCCATCAACGTTCTACTTTCTCTGTGTAATACTTTGAAAACAGCCCCTTCTGCACCGTTTCCTAATATTGAAATAAAGTCGTAATTCTTATTGAAATATTTGTAGTATCTATTGAGAGCTTTGAATATTTTTGACAGATCACCATGTTTTTCGTTATATCTTGACAATATCCTCCTGTAGTCAGTAAAAGATTTGTCACTTTCTGTCCATGTTATGAAAAAATACCTGATGCACTTGATTTCCTTTTTGGAGTAAAATGATGTATCGAATTTAGATGAAATACTCTCAACAGTATTCCTCAAATCTTTGACAGTTTTTGGTTGAATTAAAGTTTCTTCCAGAAGTTTATCCAACTTGAAACAAAAGAAATTATAGTTAGTAGTTTCACCGTTGAAAATATCATTTGATGGTTCCATTTCTTGTACTTTTTTCAATATTTGAAATATAACCAATTTTTCAATAAATTCTACTGAATAGGTTGGTTTGAAAGAGAACCAATGCGGGGTTAACGATTTGTCTGGCTCTACATTTGGTAATTCAATACAATAATACAAATCATTTTCAGAGTTGAGCTGTTTTGAGTATAGTTCAATCACATCTTTGGATAGTTTGGCGTTTAGATTGTTGGATTCATCAATAATCTGAGTTAATTGTGGTGAAAACTTTCTGGATAATTCTGGATTATGTTTAGAAAGTAAATAAACCAGAACTGTATCATTGCAAAGTAAATAACTTAAGGTTGTGTCGTAATAAACTGAACTCGTATCGGCACACTCAAGCACATCTCTATTTTTTTTGATTACTTGCAAAATAAACCCTCTGTCCATTTTCAATATTGCATTTACATATAAAAATATATCTCTATTGTGTTGAACAGCTTCCAAAATAAATTTTCTATCATTTTTCAAAGTATCTTTTGCATATTGAAACGGCTTTCCATTTTTCTTAACAGATTTCAATACAATTTCTCTATCTTTTTTCATTATTTCATTAACATATTCAAGTGCTAATCCATTTTGTTTTACAGCTTTCAACACAATTTCTCTATCTTTTTTCAATGTCTCGTTTGCATATTCAAGAGCTAATCCATTTTCTTGAATAGCTTTCAATACAATTTCTCTATCTCTTTTCATTATTTCATTAGCATATTCAAGAGCTAATCCATTTTGTTTTACAGCTTCTAATATAAATTTTCTATCGTTTCTCAAATTTTTAAATTCGATATAATTATTAAAAGCGTAAAAAAGATTCGGTGTATATCTTATATTAGATTCTAAAATAATTCCTCTATAAAATTCTTGTTTTGAAGCCTCTAAAGATATTTCTCTATCTTGTTTTAATGTTTCATTGGCATATTCAAGTGCTAATCCATCATCTTTAACAGCTTCCAACACAATTTCTCTATCCTTTTTCAATAATTCATTTGCATATTGAAGTAATATTCCATTTTGTTTAACAACTTTCAATACAAGTCCCCTATCTTTTTTCAATGTGTTATTTACATAAAGAAATGCTTCGGCATTTTCTTTTACGGCCTCCAATCCAATTTCTCTATCATGTTTTAAAATTTCATTGGCATATTCAAGTGCTAATCCATCATCTTTAACAGCTTCCAACACAATTTCCCTATCACTTTTAAATATTTCCTTCGCGTATTGGAGTACTTTTCCATTTATCTTTACAGCTTCCAAAATAAATTCTCTATCATTCTTCAATGTTTCATTAGCATATTGGAGTACAAACTCATTTTCTTTTACTGCTGTTAATATTGCATCTCTATCGTTTTTAAAAGTTTCATTCGCGAAATAGAGTGCATTTGATGAGTATTTTTTTATCATTCCGTAACTTGTCAATCAGTGATTATCTTACACTGTATTGTCAACTGTTTGATAAGTAATGTAAAGGTCGACTGTGAAAGGTTTCAACAAATCTTTGAACGACTATCCTTGTTATTTACTCAAAACGATACAAAGGAGATATTAAAGCATCTAGTTGGAGTGAAAGCGATAGTGAAGAGGATGAAAACTCATATCAAAATTGAATTCTTTCATTCAGATAAACTACTTTTTAGAGAAGGAATTAGAGAACTTCTTTGGAAAGAACGCACCAAGCTCCAGATGTTTCAATATTCAATCCTTCAAGAGTCAAATCTCCAATCTTGATTCTTTTCAATCCAACAACTCTCTTTGAACAAGCTGCAAACATTCTTCTCACTTGAAACTGTCATTTGACCAAATTATTCAATCTCCATACTTACCCTGATGATATTTTCCCTCCACAATAGATATAGAAATAGTTGAAGGATTGATATATTCAAAATTAGTTATTGGTTTCAGTGTACTATCCTCACTTCTCAATTGTAAATCTCCAGAAAAGAATAACTCTTTCATTTGGTTCAATTCCACATCTGATTCAATGGGAGGCACAAACTCTACAAGATAGGTTTTTTCCACATCAGCCGAAAGAATTCTATGATGTAAATCCCCATCTTGTGTCATTATCAATAATCCACAACTATCCAAATCCAATCTCCCAACATTTCCCAAAGTTGGATTTCTATTCAAGAATTCAGGTGGCAATAAATCATAGATAATTTTGTGATTGGAACTTTCTCTCTGGGTAGAGCACAGATAGGACTCTGGTTTGTTTAATGCTATTGTCAAATTGAGTGTTGGAAAAGGAAAAGGTTTTCCATTCACCATCAAACTCTCCAATTGATGTTCCGAAATTTTGTGTTTTAATGAGAGAATTCTTTGTTTTTTAATTGTATCCATTACTTCATTCTTGCGAATATAGTGCTATATAAATTCATCATATTTTCCAATATTAATATAAATATATTATTAAATAATATAGTATTAAATAATAAATTATTGGAAAAATTGAAAATTAATTATTGGCAATTTTAAAACTCAAGTTCACGTACAATAACATCACTCCGAGAACAAATTCCTTTTATATAATCATTAATCGTCGCCTTTTAAATGCAAAACATACCCATCCCACTCAAAACACGATCAATTCTTAACATTTTTTTATTACCAAGAAAAATAGGAAATTCTTCTTCGTAAATGGAATGATTATTTCACAAGCTAAATAGTTGAGGTTTTTATTGAAAGGTTTACCAATCTAAAACAGTTCCATCATATTGTAAGAATGCTCCATTTTGAGTTTTTGGATCAAAAGTATCAATTAATTTAACAATACCTGAGGCACTTTCATCTGGTTGAACAGGTGCATTCTCTCCTCCCATATCTGAAATGATACACATTCAATTATTATTATTATTATTAAGCAATGTATTAAGAACACTTACCTGTAATTACCCATCCAGGATGGACAGAAATGGAACATACATTTGGCAATTCAATACTAACCATCTTTGTAAACATATTGAGAGCAGCCTTAGAGCAACAATAACTCACTCCACGTTTGGCTTGAGTAGTTCCCTGAATAGATCCCATAATACTTGAAATATTTACAATTAATGCATTCTTTTCCAATAATTTAGCATTATACAAATGTTGAGTAATTAACATTGGAGCAACACAGTTGACTTCAAAAGTACCCAACATGGAAGATTTAGTAGAATTCAGTAAAGTTTCCTTTTGCATTGTAGAATAAATTCCAGCATTATTAATTAATACATTAAATGTACGATTATTATTCCTCAATTTTTCAACCAATGTTTTAATACTTTCTTCATCATTGACAGTCAAGGCTTCAATAATCAACTTTTCGGAATATTCTTCTTTTAATTGTTGTAATGATTTGGCATTGGATGGATCTCTACAGGTGGCGTAAACTGTTTTTCCTCCGAGGAGAAGATGTTTTGTTAAATGTAAGCCAATTCCTCTGGAGGCTCCTGTGAGAAGGACAGTGTATTGTGCTGTGGCCATTTTTTTTAATTGTTTTTCGGAATTGATTGTAATTTTAAAATTGATTGTATGAGTTTACAATAATTATCAAAGAAGAATTAATTAGTTTTTGAGGAATGCAACCTCTATCCTTTTAAAATCTTCAGAATTATTTGCAAGTGCTTTACTGTTTGATAACAATCAGACCTATTTCTTTAAACTTATCGAACACTTTAGATACAAATATTAAAACAACCGATATTTTAATGAAATAGTTACATTTTGAAGAAGTAGTGCAATGGCTAGGATACCTAGCTTTCCCAATAGGTGTTTTAGTTTGATCACCCTAATGAAGCATTGTATTGACAGAATCAAATAAATAATCAAATTATTCGAAATTACTATAATACCTTAGTTAAAAAATGTACAAGGTCGTAAATCATGGAAGAACAAGTCCTTGAGATTATGATAATAGTTTTGGAAAGATGAGTTGATATTATTTGAATAGTAAATTGAAGTTTGGTTAGGGAAATCAGTTTTCTATCCAAATTTGGAACCTTACATCCAACTTTTTTGAGCTTGTTCCAAATGAAAAACTATTCGAAATGGTTTAAATTAGCACCATGTATTGAACTATTCCATCCAACAAAAACAAAAAATGAAAGCAAATCTAATCTTTTCAATTGCACTTCTACTTTTACTTGCAGTCCTCTCAGTTCAAGCAAGTGACAGCTATCAAGCCAAACCTCCAGTCGTCGTTGTTGACAAGTATCACAAGCCAAGAATTTGTAAGAGAAAATGCTTAAAGCACAAGTGGATTAAGAAGTGTTTAAAACACAAGCTCGTTGGTCAAAAGAAGGTCTGTGATCAATATGCCATTGTCGGTGCTGGTAAATGTCTCAAACATAAGAAATATTCCAAATGTGACAAGTATAGCAAGCCAACAAAGAAGTGCGTCTTGCATGCATACAAGATTGTTGGTTGTGCCAAGAAGAAGTATTGGAAAGTTTGTGATTCTTATGGAACTAAGAAGATTTGCATCAAGAAGGGTTACAAGAAATACTGTGCCAAACATAAGATTATTAACAAGTGTTTCAAGAAGGGTGTTAAGAAGGTCTGTAAGAAATTCAAGAAGGTTCCAATCAAAAAATGTGAAAAGAAGAAGGTTTGCGACAAGTACACTGTTGATTCCTACAATAAGAAGGTTTCCAAATGTAGATATGTTAAAAAGTGTAAGATTGTTTCATGGGCAAAGAAATGTGCCAAGTATAAGAAGGTTAAATATTGTAAGGAAAGAAAATCAGTTAAGAAATGTTGTCTCATTAAGAAGAAATTCTTCTGTGCCAAACATAAGATTATCAAGTTCTGTAAGCACAAGAAGACTCTTTCTAAATGTGTCAAATATCAAAAGAAGAAGTATTGTGCCAAGACAATTGTCATTCCTCCAAGATGTATCAAGAAGAAGTATTATAAGAAGTGCTTGAAACGTTCAAAGGGAAAGAAGATTTGTAAGAAATTTAAATTAGTTGGTGGAAAGAAGAAGTGTTGTAAGTCAATTAAGAAGAAGATTTGTATCAAGAGAAAGACATGTAAGAAGTCATCAAAGCCAATCATCAAACCATCTTTGTAAATACTTATTTTCAAATGTTTATAATACCTTAATAAAGCAAACTCTTATTGCAAAACAATTTCAACAAAGGATGCAAGTCGGTATTAAAAGGCAAAACATCCTCCCATGCCGGGAATTGAACCCGGACCTCCTGGGTGAAAGCCAGGTATCCTAGCCATTGGACTACACGGGATCTCACTACTGATTTTAATATTTCCCTAATATTATAATAACGGATGTCTTGCCTTATTGTCAACAATATCTTAGAGATCAATTTATGAATTTTTTTACCCAAAATACTTTTTATCTAGGTGATCAATTTCAAAATCAATAAATGAACTAACTCATCCTCTCTTTCTCCAATCACTCTCTCTTACTGACTCGAAAGACGACGTACCTCACAGTTCATACAGTCAAAGACTGTAGCGGGACAGTCGCCATATTCCTGGCAGGCTTCCCGTCTAATAATTAAGTGAAATAACAAACCATGTACATCTAATCTTTTTGCTTCATTTCGTGTGGATACTCTAATTGAATGTATTCCTATGTAATTACGTGTAAAAATTAATATTTACATTTGTATGTTATTGCTTTCATGTAGTTGTCTGTTGTTTGGCCAATAAATTATTCTTTTTTAGTACCTAAATATTTGGATTTCCAATAGGAAAATGAGCTCATTGTTGCTTGAATGAGAGTATCAAATTCATTGTATAATATAATTCCTAGAGCAGCAAAACTACCAAAACCAACAACGTTATGAGCAATCTCTAATGGTGGTAAATGCAAACATTTCATCATTGACCAAGGATCTCCTCCACATTCGAAACCACAAGCTATCCATTTTGCTAAATAGGAATAGTAAGTCAATTTCTTTAAATCTCCTTCTTCCACAAAAAATTCAGTTCCAGTAAAATATAACGATGCAGAAAATCCAAGTAAGCAATCTATAGCAATAAGAATCCATGGCATTATCTGATTTGAATCTTTGGTAAAATATAAATCTCTGGTAAATCTAAACGATGGAATCCGTGTAAAATACTGTAAGCCTCCTAGATAAAGTCCGATTCCACAAAATAAGGCAATACTTGTAAGATTCATTGTAATGCTTTGTTCAATCATAGATGGTTGATAAATAAGTTGCCTATTGAACGGATTAACTCGGCAATGTAATGTACATGGCACATCTCTTACTTTGTTAATTTGCCTATCATCAATACCATAATCAAATGTGCTATTCAAATCAATAATTAAAGTCCTATTTGGAATTATAAATTCTTGTTGAGATACCATTATAATTGTATGTGAGCTCATATCATCTAAATAATTTTGACCAAGCACAGAATCAACAATTTCCAAAAATATTCTAAAATCTGAAAAGTGTTTCCAATAATTAGACCTCCTTTGAGAAGCAAGGGATAACAATCTTCCTTCAAATGAAAGATTAAGAGCCTCTCTTTGCTCAAAATTACAATTAAAGGAATGTAAGTCATTAATGAATGGTTTTCCTTCATTAAAAACTCCTATTAAAACTACATAATCATTTTCATTCACCAATTTCGAATATAATGTCCGATAGAGTGATATTTCCTTAAATCTCCTCAATATATCATTAAATTGTTCTACAATAGGATTAGTATCTTTTTGATTTGAATCAAATCCCTGTAACGCTGATCTAGTCACTCTAATCATAAAGTGACCATCCTCATATGGTTTGAAAGTCATTTCAATATACTTGAATCTCAAAGACATTCTCAATTTAATTTTAGCTCTTTCATATCTATCAGTAATTGCTCCATCCAAATTTTCAACAATCCTCAATTCTCTCTCGTTCAATAATCTTCCTAAATGCAAATACTTTCCCAGACATTCATCATAACCCTCCAAATTTGATCCAATCAACCTAATGTATCGATCATCATATTTTGTATTATCCTCACCACCATTTTCTTCTTGATGAATATTAATACATTGATAAGTGGCTCTACACACCGATCGAACATTAAAAACAATATCGGAAGCACTCAGAAATTTGCAAATATCAAAGACACTATCCGATGATAATACAGAGAAAATATGCTGCGGCATTGCTGAAGAGGTAACAGAAAATTGGTTGCCAATTATTTTTTTGTCAAATGATGAACTTTATTTTCCTTTTCATAAATTGTAAACTTTTTTAAATTGTTACAAAGAAATTGAAAAGTTCTAAGAATTTCAAAGAAAGTAGTACATTAAAAATTGCTGGGTGAAATATCAATCAAAAAAAAAATGTCAAAACCAATATTCCCAACGCGAACGAAACGAAGCCCTCTTCCACTACACACACGTTCTATCATCTTTCCTCCGCACACACTATTGAAAAATTCTGTCTTGGCTATGCATGCCAATCAACAGACATTCTCAATTTTGAGTGTCAATTCATATCTTCTCTCAATTTCCCAAGTTAAAAATACGAATATGATTTACATGAAAGAATTCAAGCTTACAAATCCAGTTGTTTCCATCTCAAGTGCTGCTTTCATTGATGAAGATTCATTGGTCATATTCAACAAGGGTAAGGGGAGATTTGAGAGATGGAATTTGAGCAGAGATATCAAAGTGCAAGTGGCGTGGAATTTTCCAATACCTTCAGAGAAACAAAATTCGATGAAATGGTGTATCGATCATCATGATAATCAAATGTTTTTATATGTGGACAAGGGTATTACTGTACTATCTTTGAGTGATGGTAAGGAAATAGGAAAAATCTTAAATCCACCTCAAAAAATTTCGCACATGCAAATGAATAAGATGAATTCCAATCAAATTATTTCAATTTCTTCCAAAGCAGAGATTTGTTACATTGACAAGAAGACCTTTGAAACAAGTTCTACAATCAATGTTGAACAAATGATGCTCAACAAGTTAAAGAGAACAACTATTCATCAAGTGAAATCAGTAGCTCAGGATGAATGCGGTTATATCTATCTTGCTGTAGATTGGTATTATCCTATGATACAAGCACATTCAGGGATGTATGATAGCGTATTCTATTTAGTTACTTTAAAAGATAATATGATTATATTGGAGGATAAATTAATTGAGTTCAAGACAGCGTTCATTGGATTTGATAATAGGTCAAAATTATTGTTAAGAGCTAATGGCGATATGCTCCATTTTATTAGATTGAAAGAATTTACTCTTTTTGAATCCTGTTGTGAAATCTTTTCAGATATCACCTGTGTTTTTGAATAAAACATGAATCATCCCACAAAGAAATCAACAAAAAAGCTGCAACCGCCCCACGTGGGGCTCGAACCCACGACCGTTGGATTAAAAGTCCAACGCTCTACCGACTGAGCTAGCGGGGCTGCTCATAAACAATTATTTGTCTATTACAATATAGATTGATTTGTTGCTTCCTTTTTATAACTTGGTTGAGATTGTCAACAACCTGGCCTTAAACTTGTGTTGGGAATGAGTGAACTTTGTCCTTTTACCTTACTTGTGTGGTAACATTTCTTACAGATATTAAAACTGCGTGGCAAGATTTTCAAAAATAATCAAACAAGAAAAAAATCTCAAAAATCTCAAAATGGTCGTTGGAGGGTATTGTATCAATTTGTTTTAATAATTTGATCGTATTAACAATTCATTCAGAATTGGTCAAGAAAAGACTGCTGATAATGAAGTTCAACAAGTTATTGATTCAGTCAAGACTGAAGTCGAACAAAAGCTTGGAAAGACATTGTCTAAATATGAAGCTTTAAAGTATTCTACTCAAGTTGTTGCCGGAACTAATTACTTGTAAGTAAAACACAACATACAGTTTAATCTCACATATTCCGATCTAAATAGTGTTAAAGTTGATACTGGTGATGATGTTATTCATGTTAGAGTTTATGCTCACTTCTCTGGTACTAAGACTTTGCACGGAGTCAAGTCTGGTGAAACTCAAACTTCCCCAATTCAATACTTTTAATTGTAAAATAAATCCACATTAATTTATTATAAAACTTGATATTATTAATATTATTAATTAAATAAATATTATTATAATTATGAATTAATAATAATGATGGAAGGAAATTTATATTTTTAGCTTAAAAAATGTACAGAAGAGTCATCAGTAAAATTTCACCACCAGCTACATTCAAGCAAGTTGTAGCTACTACAAAGAGCACTATTGCTTTTTCATCAAGTTTGAGAGGATTCCATATTTCATCAATTTGTAATAACGAAAAGAAACCACAATTATTTAAACAATTTACCGAGTTGGAAAAGGTTTTGGATGAAGATAAAAGAATGTTGGAGTTGCTTTCTTTCGGAACATCTGTAGAGCCATCAGATTTGGCTAGACATCCTGGATATTCATATGATGTGAAATTGTACAAGATGGGATGGGATGCTGATTTTAATGAAAAGGAATTTATTGAAGGAGCCAAGGAAGCCTTTAAAACTATTAGAGAATTACTCGTTGAAGATCCAACTCAACTCGAACCAATGTTTACTCAATCTGCTTATGAAGGATTCAAGGAATGGTACAAATTTATTACCGAAGAAAAACATTGTAAAATAGTTGGCAGTCTTGAAAACCTTGGTGAAACTGAAATTTTGAATATTAGAGTTGATGCTGATGGTGAAACTATTATCAATGTTAGAGTAAGTTCAATATTTAACACTTGTCATTATTAAATCAATTAGTACAAATTCAAGGAAGTTCTCTACTTGGAAGATGAAGATGGAAATATTGTTAGTGGAAAGAGATCACCTCTTCACAAGATTGGTATAGTTTCATTCTTTAGACAAAATACTGAATCTGATTGGCAAGTGAAAGCTGTCGTCAACCCATACATTCTCAGTCATGAAGCTTAAACTCTTTAGTGAAATTCACACAGACAAGAAATCACTTTTTAAAACCACCAACAAACAACTTTCTTGTCAATAATAATTAACAATTGTACTACTCACACATAACCTTTAGATGGGAAATTTCAAAAACTAAGGCCACTCACTACGAGACAAGATAAATTTCCGAACCAAAATCAATACATTAATAATTGGGTGGAGGAATAAATAATAATTTCTAAAACAACACCTTCTCTCAATTGTCATCTCAGAAACAATGTTCCGTTTTACAGTGACCAAATAACATTAAGGGGTGAACAAAATTATCATCATTAAAAAAAATGGTTGGAAAGAAAAAGAAGGTGAAGAAGGAAGTGGTTGAGGAAGAACCATGTCCTTTAGTAGGTTGGTTATCATCACAATTTTAAACAGATTGGAGAATATATTTATTGATAAACTTTAGTTTTTACAACTTATATTGGAGCTGTTCCACAATCACTTGCTCATTGCAAATGGTTAGAACAAACTTTTAAAACCCTTAATGTAAGATATAACAAAGTGGATTTGGGAAAACACACTGAAAAGGCACAATTTGTTAGACAAACAAGTGGAAAGAGAACACTTCCACAGGTGTTTATTAATGATATTTATATTGGTGTAGGTTGAACAATATCGGATTTTCTCTAAGCAACTCGTCATGTTGATATTAATTTATAGGGATATGAGGAATTTGTTGATTGGAATGAAGAAGGAAATGTATATTATGTGCTTAAGGAAATGGGATATACAGATAATGTTCCAAGGGTTAGTAATCATTCACAATTTAACATTGAATAATACTTTCTAAATTTCAATAGGCTTTTGATAAATCAAAGGAACAAATAGAAGAGGAACAAAAAGAATACATTGAAAAGAATAAGGAAGAATTCGAGAAGGCTAGAGAACAAACTCTGAAAAGAGAAAAGGATTTGGAACACTTACAAGGAGTGAGACGAAAGTACCTCTTCCAAAGAAAACAACGTTACTATGAAAGTTTGAAAGAGGAGGAAGAAAAGAAAGCTCAATTGGAAAGGGAGAAGAAACAAGCTGAATTAAATTCAGGAGGTGTAAGTTTGAAGGATAGAATGAAATCTTTGGGAATCTCTCAACCAGCTCAGCAACAACCTCCAAAAAAGACACCTGTTGGAAGAATTTCAAGTAGACTGGATGATGCTGGAAGAAGAGTTTCAGTTTTGGCACCAGTTCAACTTGGAAAAGCTCCACCTCAACAACCTAAAGAAACTCTGCCAACAATATTAGAAACTCCACAAGTTGAGGACGTTTTAGAGCTTGACGAATTGCCAATTCCTCCACAGGAAGAAGAAATACCAATCCCACCAGAAGAAGAAATCATTCATGAAGAACATCCAATTATTGAAGAGAAATACCAATCCCACCAGAAGAGGAGGAAATTACACCAGTTGCATTGGATGATGAAGATATACCAATACCACCAGAAGACGATGAAGAATTGGGTGATATAGCAATACCTCCAGAGGATGAAGAAGAAATACCAATACCTCCTGAAGAAGAGGATGAAGATATTCCAATACCACCTGAAGATGAGGAAGAATTAGATGAACCTCCAATGCCTATTGAAGATGAACCAATAGACGAACCTCCAATACCTTTTGATGAATAACTCTATTCCAGTGTTAATAAACTCAATTGAATTCACATTCATTGTTAATCTCCAAAAACGTCCGAAGGCTTCATTCACATTATAATTGTCATTAATCCAAAAAAATCAAATTAAAATTAATTTTTAAATTATAATTTAATTGTTGTTTGATGATGAATATATTTACAAATCTAGGGTTTTTAAAAGTTAGATCGTTTGATGATTAACAGATCAAGTACAGCTAATGTACTTAATATCCGAAACCGTAGAGTGTTCTTCCTTGTCTCTTCAAGGCATAAACAACATCCATTGAAGTAACAGTCTTTCTTCTAGCGTGTTCAGTGTAGGTAACAGCATCTCTGATAACATTTTCCAAGAAATTCTTCAAGACAGTACGAGTTTCATCGTAGATTTGTCCAGAAATACGCTTAACACCACCTCTTCTTGCCAATCTTCTAATAGCTGGCTTGGTAATACCGGCAATGTTATCTCTGAGAACCTTCTTGTGTCTCTTAGCACCACCCTTACCTAAACCTTTACCACCTTTACCTCTTCCAGTCATTTTGTATTCTTAGTTTTGTTGTTTGATTAGTTGTTGTTTTTTTTGATTTGAAAATATTTCCAGTCTTTAAATAAGTTATCGACAAGTCCACCGCCTTTTGGAAAAAGTAACGGAAGACCAAAATAATTACGTTATAAAATTTGGATCCACTCTGTGAAAAAAAATTATTGGATGAAAAAGTTTACAAAAAATAAAAAGGTTAATGATGAATAGTCTAGACTGGCGAGCTGATCTGTTTGATGTACATACATCAAACAACATTATACTGTTTGGTTTTGCAGTCATGTTGGACTTTTTCACTTGATTTCAAGATTGACAACAATAAGATTAATGAACAAGGTTAGATTTATTATTATAATTAACACATTCACAAGAACATCAATGGTTAGGTTCTCAACTCGATTGAATGTTAATGATGATGGTAAGAGACGAACACTGCTGTTTGATTATTTGAAATAATCATGATGGATGCTTTTATTCTCTAGTAGAGCTGGTATCTCCTTCCAATAGATTGTTTATAGGATTGAAGAGCTTTTAACATGATACATTAAAGTCGGATGGCAGGTAGTATTCTAATCATTATTGCTCCGAAGTTGTGATGATAAAGAATGACATGGCAATGTGTTAGTAGAAATGTTTTCAATTTTTTATTAAATAAAAATATGTTTTATCGATAATATTTTAAAAAATTTAGAAGCTTTATGATGGCATAACAACATGATTATCTAAAGGTCGAAGAAGAGAATTACCATTATCGGCAAGAATACATATGGTATGTATGATGCACTGAGCTTGGAAGTACAATGATTAGTGAATCAGCATATCATTCTCAAAGTATTTGTCCAACACATAGCCTTGTTTCTTCTCATCATCAACGTTTAAGAAGATATAAATTGAAAGGAATAATAACAATAATAATACAATTTAATATTTACAAAAAGATTGCTTCATCCAAATTTCTTCTTAGATGGCAGTGTTTCTTCCCGGACTGATTGGAGACTTCAAGTCTACAACTACTTCTCCTGATGATGGTGTTGTTGTAGCTGTTGTTGTTGATTTTACTTCTCTGGTGAAGGCTTGTCTCCTCATGATTACATCCAAGTAGGTGATTGGAGTGTCTTCCTTTCTCTGTGTGGTAATACACGAAGAGGAGGATGAAACATGATGCTGATGAATTGTCTTTCAAGAGACAGGAAATGTAGTGATTGGCATGTTGGAAACGAGGAGATTTGAAACACCAACCAACGTATCCTCTTGCTATTGATTTCATTGATTCTAAATCATGGTATTGTTCACATTCTGTCTGTTCCAAACTCTTCATTTCTTTCAATACTTCGATACAGTTAGTCAAGGCATATTCCATGTTAACTGTTTGATTGTTAAGGAGAAGAACATAGTTATTCGAGATGGATGAATGTAAATCTTTTGGGAGTGAACAAATGTCATTAATCATCGAAGATAAATGACAACACAATTGGAAATATCTAGATAAGCCAAGATTAAGGGATGGCATGTTGGTGACTAACTTCAATTTGAGAAGCATATCTGTCAATGAATCATATTCTCGCAATTGAATGTATTGTTCCAGTGTTGGATGTTGGTCATTTGCCCACATTGAGGCAATTTGATAGGAATGTTCATAGAATTCAACCATTCCCTGAATCAAATAATTGGATTGCTCACAATTGAATACACTCTTGATTTGGCTAATAATGAAACGAGCAAGTTCAATAGATGGATTAGATTGTTGGTTTGTACATTTTTCATTATTATTCAAACAATTAATATGTGTTTGTAATTCAGCTCTTAAAAAACCATCAATATCCTTTTCAGAATCACAGGCATCATCAACCACAGACAAGTAGGACATGATCAATGAATATAGATTGAGGGTTGTGGAATCAAGTTCAGGGAAACACAGACATGTCCAGAAGCAAACATCCTTGATTCCTTTAGTATGATAGTCATTGTTTGGGAATTTACATTGTTGGAAGACAGTGGAAACATATTGAATGGCAGTTTTGAGTTGAGCGTTTGGAAAGAGTTGATTAATTTTCAGTTCATTCAAAATCATGTTAGTCAGTTCATCGACTCTATTAGATTTAGTTTCATTGATTTGAGGAAGATTTTCAAGACCATTGATTTTCAATGAATATTGTTCAGCAGTGTAATTAGTTGTTGTAGACATTTTAGCAGTATTGATATGTTTGTTTTTTAATTGTTGATTATTGGATTCTCAACATAGCATCCAATTTATACTGCCAAAAAGATTTGTAGATAGGCTAAACACAATCCCATTTTAATTATTGTGCACAATACTACAAACCTTTTAAGGGAGGAAAATCTAATAATCAACGTGACATGTGGATATGAAAATTGAGAATAGAGAAATTAGATGCTTTGGATAATTGCAGAACTGTTTGGATGAGATAGTGACAAATTGTTTCATGCATGAATAATTCTTTACTCTTATTTATTCAATGATTTGGAAAATTAAGCACCATTTATGATTATAATTTCCAAAGAAATTTCAAAATGCTCTAAATTGGCTCAATATCATACTATTCTGTGAGTTCTATCTACTTGCACGTCAAAGATTGTGTAATTATCATATCAGTTTTGAAAATGACCGCTCAATATTTTAATATGTTGTTTCAGATAACAAATATCTTTTTTCAGAAGGAAAAACCAAATTTGCAGAAACTGTTTGGAATAGACGGCTATTTTGAGATTCTTTTAGAAAAAAGAAGGATGAACTTCTGAACTGGGTTTGAATTTATTGACTTTGGATTTAATATTCTAATTTCAAAATGAAAATCATACAACGGCACTTCTACTTTCGTTAATTTACGGCTAGGATGATGCAGTTTTATTTCAAACTCAAATACAAAATGTTGATGTATTTCAATAATAAAATTGTATTCGTGGGAATTGAATTTTACATCTAGCAAAACACATCTTCGTACTCTTGATCTTCAAAATTAGCCCTAAGCAGTTGATGATTATCGCTTTCTTCCATAGCATCAATATCGTAAAATAGCATTAAAGCAAGCAAATCATTTTTTCTAAATTTGACATTATCAAAAGTAATGGTTTCGTCGTTGAAGATTATGGAGCAAATTGTGAAAATTTGATGATGTTTGTCATCATTAACAGAAGTAAGGTTTCTGTAAGCATCAAGTAGAATGACAGGATCTATTTGTTTTGTTTCTGGATTAATGACTTTTGTGTTGATTAGCTCATTATAAATTTTTGAAAAATCAATTTCATATTTGGCCTTCTTTGGTAGGAAATACGATGTCAAATCAAAGGAAGAAACAGCTTTCAAATTTGAAAGAAATTTAGAGAGTTTGTACCGTTCTGGTCCATCCTCAAAGAGAATATATATTGGAAAGTCATCATTGTCAGTTTCTGTTATTTTTACAGCATATGCGAATTGGATAGCCTCTCCCAATCTATCTGTATTAAAGTCTCCTCCAATAATTATTCCATCAGGATTTTCTTTCAACCAATTACTAGCCTCAGGAGGAATCTCATTTGACCTATCTTTTGTGTTTGAATATTTAAATGGAAAAGGTACCAAATAATCTTCCTCTTCTTCCTCTTCATCATCCTCATCTTTTACTTGACTTTTTGAGGATTCCTCTTCATCATCTTCCATTTCATGGTTTTCATCTCCCTCTGTGTTCTCTGTTTCACTTGGGGTACTAACATTAAATCTGAACATTACATTTTTAGGGAATTGTATGTTCATGAAATATGCAAGTGCATCTGACAGTATGTATTCATTATTGTATCTGTATTTCACAATTTGTTTCGGCAAGACACCACCCAACTTTTCAATTAATTGGCAATTATTACTACTCAACGGTATATCAATATGGTTGGTTTCAACTTTGCATAATTGTAAAATTTCAACCAATGATTCATCTCCTCCAATTCTGTAAAGCTCATTATTCGAAGGATTGTACGAATAACGAAGAACATCTCGGGAGTTTTCATGGACAGTGTTGATCTTGGAGACTAACTTCTTTGAGTTTCTATCAAACAAATAAACTAAAGATTGTTGTGAAAGCAAATAATAAGGAGCTGAGAGATCCATAATAATACCGGAAAATCCCTTATTATTCAACTTATATTCTTCCTCATCAAATTCAATAAGAACCTCACAATTCACATAATTCTCTCCATATAATCTCAATAAATGACATTTTCCCATATAATTTCCATTATATTCTTGATAGGTATACAAAGAAAGGGAAGTAAATGCGTAAAGACTTTCAGTCTTTTCATCATAGTATAAACTTTGAACTGATTTAGTATTTTCATTTGCAATTTCATACTTTAAAGAGCCACTGATTGCATCCAACACCAAAATCTTATGGGCTTTCCAATTGGCAACAAATATTTCACTAGTTGCCTTTCTATAAATCAATTCACACTTGGACGAGTTATCTTTACATACTTCCCAATCAATCTTTTCCTCACCCAACAAACCCAATCTAATAATGGCCCATTGTTTTCTACTATTAGTAACAAAAACAATAAATTCACCTTCATCCCCTACGACCATTCGAGTTGGAATATAATCAAATGTAGAGATCGTCCTCTTCAATTCTCTACTCTCTACATCATAGACTCGAATTTTACAATCAGTACATGCAACAAATAATTCCTTCTTCTTTTGACATGTAGCAACACAAGTAGCACGGATACTACTACAATCAATTCTAATACATTCCAATTGGTGAATTATCTTTAAATCAATTAGAGAGGATTCTATCTTTTCACCTCCTAATTGTTTCTTGAGATGTTGGAATGTTGTCTCTTCCGATGAGAAGGCACGATCTGAGAGGTGAACCAGAACTTGATGATCACTGGAAAGTTTTATCTTTTTGGTGGGTTGTTCAAATGATGACATTTTTTTTCAAGTTTTTTTTAACAATTTAATGATTTTAATTTGGATCAAATGGGGGTCATTCATTTAATATTCACACAGATGGATCAAAGATTGAAAACCAAGTGGGATTTGGAATTAATATATTTAATTCAGAAAATAGAAGTTTCAAATATTCCTTCAAGATTCATGAAGAATATTCCAATAACGTGGCTGAAATCATGGCTTTTTTGACAGCAATCAAAATGCTGCCAAATCATTCCAATGCTAATGTTCCTACTGATAGTCAAGTTGCTATAGAAGTTTTAAAAAAGAGTTACAGAGGAGACTTTCAAGGATTTCAAGAAGAATTCTTTGGTACCATTAAGGATAAACATTTAAATATCCATCTAGTTAAAGTGAAAGGGCATGAAGATCCAGAGAATATTATAGTTGATAAATTAGCAAAAGAAGGTGCACAAGGACAAAATATGATTGATATTACCAAACTATTATCCCAAAACCAAAAGATTTTAATTAATACTAATAAGAAAACAATCATCTTTGACTATAGAAAATACATCAAAGATATCCAGAGAAAAGAATATTTAGATATTTTTGAGGATAAATCTGACTTACCTTTTAACCAAAGTCAGTCCCTCACTCATATCAATTTGAAATATATGGATCAAAGATTTGACACTGAAACCAAATTGTCAATTTGGAGAAACATGACCGACTCACATATTAGACAATTTCGTCAAGTTTATTGTGATAACTGTGAATGTGAAGTGGATTTGGAACGTTTCATATACTACTGTGAAGAAACCGAATGTTTTAGAAGATATTTCTTAACTAAATTCACGAATCTTACAGGAGCATCCTGTAAGCTTCGTCCCCATGACACTTTTTGGGATAGACACAATTCAATTCTCAATTTAAATCATAGAGGCTTTATTAAGGCTTTAAATATTATTTTAGTTAAATCCTATAATCCTAAAATCATTGATAATTGGCATGAAATTCAAAGTCTATTATCACTGCTTGTTGGTAAAGCACACAGAAAATATTACTCATGTTCTCTTAATTCAAGATAATACCTCATGATCCTATTGGGATCAGCTACACTGAAATACATTTTTTTTTCAAGTTTCCAGAATTTACCAAGTTAACATTGTAATGTTAAAAAAATGAGTTAAAAATTTCATGGCTCGCCACGTTTACCGTCTCGGGAGGAATCGAACCTCCGTCAATGGATTCAAAGTCCACTATGCTACCATTACACCACGAGACGAGCACATTTATGTTAAAATTCTTGTGTTGATATAATTCTACCTTTTATGAGCTAGTGGGCCCATTTATCTGAATTTCTTTACAATTTTTAAGAGCGAGTGGATTCGCTTTCATTACCTTCTTGATAAGAGTGAAATCCTTAATCTTACATAAACCTTTTACATTAGGACCACCTCCAAAAGCTGCTTTCAGCATGACACTAGGATCGTTTTGATAGAAATTATACTACGTCAAAAACTTCTGAATTAAGATCCACTGCTTTGATAACGAAATTCAAATTAAACAAGTCCTTATCCAAGTCATATTATTTGTCGGCGTGATTTTTCAAATATTCCAATGCAATTATTGGATTATCTGAATTTTGGATCAAACATTCGTAATCCATGCTTAATATGCGAGGCGAGTAAGACCATCTCTCTATCATAACAAAAGGAAGGATAAAACAATTTAGATCAATTATCTCAAAATTTAGACACTTAAGATGTGTGGTTGATTTTTAAATAACCTCAGATTGATACCTATTTTTTTACTGAATTTTTCATTTTATTGAGTAAATGGTTTTAATTAAAAGTAAATGGAATTATTAGTCCAAAAAGGAATCATAATATGCTAATATTTGTGATTTCAAAAAAAAATGAGAAGAATTTTTTTACTCCATACAATCAGTCATCTAAGGCACAAGCTACCCTCAAACGGTTCCTACATGATATTCAAAAATTGAGAATGGACCATGAAAGAAAAAGAAGCGACTGCGTCGACCGGGAATTGAACCCGGGTCACGGCGATGGCAACGCCGTATTCTACCACTAAACCATCGACGCTTCACATTCATTTAGAATGTAACCTTAATTCGACACTAAGGGATACGAAGTTACCAGTTACTTTAATTTTTCGGATAAGGTAAACTATTTTGCGCCTTCAATCATCCAATCCAAATATTATATAATATAATATCCATAATGGAGAATATAAACTGCTTATTAGTTGATATTGTAATCCACATTGCAGCCATACCCATAAATGATGATAAATTTGACTGTTGATTACAGTGCCATTGATCTTTACAATAGAACTGTAATGCAATCAATTCACAATAAATATATATTCAGAGTAGGTCTAAGTATTAGCAATTGCCGTAATGTGGCACAAAGCATCAGTTAAGAACTGTCTTTTTCTAATGTAATAGAGTGAGCAGACAAATAGTACAGGAAAAGAGCCAAAATTGAGAACTTCATGTTAAAGTGTTTATTTTGAGTTGTTTTTTTTGTTGAAGGAAATGCGCCTTAACCTCAAGTGTAATACTTCATAGTGTTCATTTGACAACTATATTGAAGAAACTTGCCTCGATGATTGGCCTACAATTAATAATGCCTCTAACTCAATCATCTTAAAAGAATACAAATTTGGCACTAATGCTGGACAATCTTACAAAATTGATTCCCAATTTAGCCTTAATTCAAAATTACAAATCTATTTTTACATCAATCAACCACAATTTCGAATTTCAACAAAAATTAAAAATGAAAGAAGATCATCAGTTGTTGGAAATTCCAACGGAAATTTGGCAGTGTTGTATTTTCGAGTATTGGCTCGGACCACTTCATCAAATTGAATTAAATAATCATGATCAAATTATGAAATTTAAAAAAGTGGTTCAACCTCGGATGATTGAACGATTGGATTTGAGTACTGTGAGGACGATACAAAAGTTTTGTTGTGCTGTATCTAAGAAATTTAAAGCATTATTTGTTGTGGAGATGAATGAATTTTGGAGGAGAGTTTCAAATGTTTTGGAGATGGTTGTTTATTGGCAGAGATTTGCATCATCGGAGGGATTGTCATTGGCAAAAGGGGATATTTCAGTTGGGGAATCAATTGGTTATGTGAAAATGCAGAAATTAATTGAGACCACAGAAATGAATTGCAATAGAGAGTATGCTGATATAATTGATACTTCAGAATGTATTGATAGTTGGGGCGGTGCTAATGTTGATATAACAGAAATTGAGAATGAATTTGATACTCATGAAGTTAATCAACAATTTGAGAGAAGAATTCAACAGTTAATGTTTTCAAATGAAAAATTTGAAAAGATAGAAGAGCATAATCAAATTTTAGCATATGATTTGTTTTTACACAAGGCTCTCATGTTATCTTTGGATATGATTTCACACTTTGATAGCGAAAAACATAGTGGATATTATAACAGTTATGATACTTTTGAAAATTGTTGCTTAATTTCTAAAGGACTATTCACTCAAAATTTTTCTGATACAAAGGCCCTTGGATTAATGGTTGATTTGAATAATTTACAAGATTTTTCTATTTTTAAGCAAATGGCTTCGAATTACATTGCTTTATCAATTAATTTAAATGAGTGGACCTATCAGGGATTTTCTATACCAGATCATATTCAATATCTATGTTTTCGTTTTAGTACAATTACCTACTTTGATGAAGGTGCATTACTCTATTCAAATTTTCTAGAGGAAGAGGGAGTATTTCCAAATGTTCGTGATCTGACTATTCGATACGACTGCCCTGAATATTGCGAAAATATTGAGAATTATGAAAAAATTGAAAAGAATATTATTGCTGGGCTAACAAGAAAAAGATTTCCCAAACTATTGAGAATCTCGTTGCAAGGATTTTCAATATTGGAAAGATTTTTAGAATGTGATTTATTAAGAGAGATTCCATATGTAGAGATTATTCCTCAATCAATGGACATTCAATACGAACCAATTACTAATTGGTCAGAAGGAAAAGTTCACAATCTTGTCAAGAAACATTTTATTGAAAATGAATCGCTAATTCACCACCTTGTAATGCATGCAAATATATCTAGAGTTAGTGGTGATGCAGATTATGACTCCATTAAGGAGTACTATGATTTAAGCATAGGAAGATTTGTGGCATCCATTTCACATTCATCATTTGTTGAATACTTCGATAAGTGCTATGAGTAATCAATATAGAAAGTTCAATATTCTGTAAAGTGCGGGATTGATTTATTACTGTGGAAGTAATTGATTTCTTTGCGTGTTCATCCAATTTCTTGGTAAGGGTCTTTATTAATTTCTTCATTGAGATGAATTAATGGATATCTAAACGTTAAAACACAATGGATTAATCCATATTCTCTATCATATAAATGAAGGAGTTTCAATGCAAGAACATGTTGGTTGAGCACAGCTTCAAAGAATTTTCACTTGGAATATGATTCTCTAACATTATCCAATAATAAACAAAAATTATTGGCTTGAAAATAAGCACAACACCTCAAGTAGTTTAATAAGAGTGTTGAATCCATTCCAGAATTGACCAACAAGAAAAAATGTCTAAATCATTTTGGCTGGCCAATTATTTTGCTTCAGCAAGTAAGTATTATTATTTTATCGGAACGGAGACTAGAATTACATGATTTAAATTGTGATGATGATAATTATTATTCATGGAATAGATTTGGGATTGGAAAGTACAACTAGATGGACAAAATATGAATTTGATGACTTTAAATTTAGTAAGATATTGTCGGGGGATAGATTTGTCTTTTTTGTTTGTAGTGATACCAATAGATTGGTAGAATTTACAAGTAAACCGCGTAGTATTGCAGATAATTCTATGGCTATTAAAATTAAGAAGAAATCAAATGTTTTTGATTCACTTCTGATGGAAACAGATACTACACCACAAGAAGTTAAACATGTCACTGGTTATTATATTAATGATTTAATGGGAAATCCTAAGAAAATTCAATATAGAATGGGTGGTGGCCACATCTTTTTATTGGAGAAGACAAGAATTGGAATAATAGATTATATTGAAACTGACCCGAAATTTAAAATTGAGGACTATTCGAGTTTTGGAGGAATTAATAAGTTTTTCTGTGGACCATTATCTTCACATCATGTAGTATTAACCAATGATAGAAGAGTATTTGTTAATAATCAGCAATTTTCATTGAATACTAAAGAAAGCCCAACAATTATTAAACTTGCAGCATGTTGTGGAAGTGGAGTAGTTTTGGCTTCAGATAAGCATCTCTATGCCAGAGGAGATAACACTTTTAATGTGTTCACCTCAGTTAATAATGATTTTTCATCAAGTTTTTTCGAAAAGATTCCATTTGAATTTCCTGCAAATATCAAGGATGTTAAATGTGGATTTTTCCATACAATTGTTCTTTTAGAGAATAATCAAATATTCGGATGTGGTTACAATACTTTGAAGCAATCTACATTTGGTATTGCTGATGCTGGTATTGATTCTCTTTCAGATTTCAGATTAATTGAATTTGATTTTGGAATTCCTAAAGAGATAGCATGTTCTTCCAGAGGAACTGTTGTAATTAATAGTAGGTTTAATATAATTTTCCATTTATTTAACACTTTTCTAAAGCAAATGGTGATGTATTCATGGCTGGTGAGGTTGTTTCAGATTTTCCTCCATCAGAACTCAAACTTAATCCATCATTGTTCAAGTTTAATATTACTACATTTGATAGGGAAGAGTTCAATACTATCTCAGTTGGAGGTTGGCAATATGTTATTTATTATGAGATATTTGACGAAACCAGAAAGGGTGAACTACATATGAAACGGAATCTTGGCTCTTTGCTGTCCACTAAGGCTTTATCGGATCTTGTGATAATTATTGATGTGTAGTATTCGTGAAATAGATGCCATCAGTCATTGACAGCAAAATCTAATGCAAAAGCAGTTAACTCTAATCAAACTCAGGAAAACAATATTATCTGAGATATTCTATTTGTGTGGAAGGATTGGACATTCAGTAAATGATTTATTCATTAGTAATTCAAATTCTAGTATGAAGAAAATATTTAAATAATCAATAGTGATCAATTTAATAGTATTCAACAATTTACTTTGATATCTGAATCTGTACTATTACTATTGTTTATTTTTTGAGTTTTATCTCAACGCTCAATACTTTAATGCTTAAATAACTGCTTTGAACTATTAAGTATTGATCTAACATTTAAAAAAAAATCTAAATAGTTTATTGTTAGCACCATTGGTGCTGGTACATTTAAAAAAAAATGGAACAAGATGAACTTCCTCAGGGCTTAGTTTTTGATATTGGTTCTGGTCATACAAAATGTGGGTTTTCAGGAGATGATGCTCCAAGGGTTGATCTTCCAACATGTTTGGGGCAATTCAAGAAGATGAATGTTCTCCAGTTAGGGGAATATGTTGGATCCGATGCTTTGAGTAAGAGGGGAATATTGAATATTAGCCATCCTTTCCAAAGAGGATCCATCACGAATTTCGATCATTTGCAAAAGATATTTGCTCATTGTTTTAAGAATGAATTGAGAGTAGATCCAATGGATCATCCCTTACTAATAGCTGATTCTCCTGTCAATACTGTGGAAGGTAGAGAGAAAATTATGGAAATTTTGTTTGAATCATTTGGAGTTCCTGCTCTATATTTTTCAGTTCAAGGTGTGATGGCTATGCAAAGTTCTGGAATTGTGAGTGGAACAGTTTTGGATTCAGGTAAAGAGCTGACCTATGCTCTTCCTATTTATGAAGGAAAACCAATTAGAAACGCTTTGCAAACAATACCATTCGGAGGAGGGGATTTAACTAGATCGTTGTATTCACTCTTATTGGAGTCAGGATATCAAAGCTACACTGCTGCAGAAAGAGAAATTGCAGGAGATGCCAAGAGAAAAGTCTGCTATGTTGCTCAAAATTATGAAAAGGAGTTGACAGAACCAAAGACTGAAGAATATGAGTTACCTGATGGAACAATAATGAATGTATCAACACTTAGAATCAAGGCAACTGAATTAATGTTCCAACCTCAATTGATGGATCTTGATTTTGTTGGAGTTCACGAATTAGTTAATAGTTCTATTAGAAGTTCTGATATTGATATGAGAAAGGATTTATTTAAGAACATTGTTGTCTGTGGAGGAAATACAATGTTTCCAGGATTTATTGAAAGATTCAACAGGGAATTTTCAAACTTGATTCCCTCAAGTGTCGAATGTAAAGTGAGTGAGAAACCTACCAGAAAATACTCCTCATGGATTGGAGGATCTATATTTTCTTCCATGTCCACCTTCCGAGAAGTTTGGTTAGACAGGCATGAATATGAAGATTTTGGAAAGAATGTTTCTAGATTTTTGTAAATATTAAGTATTTATGTTGAAGACATTTCAGAAAGGAGCTAAACGCATTTTGGAAACAAAACAAATAATTAATCCATTAACAGTGTTGTATTTCAGAAATGAAACAGTTAATTTTAATCTACCAAACTTTACTTAGTTAGCAATTTGAAGCCAGCAAAATCCTGTAAAGTGAAACAATTATAGTATTTGGGATAAAATAGTCAAATATGACAACTCAATAAGGTACAAATTTTGAATATTACTTCATACGTATTGGAAACTATCCTAATGTACTTGCTTGTTTAATAAAATTAACTAAATTTCAAAATTAAAATATTAAAAAAAATGAATAACGAAGATACAGAAGATACAGAGGAAATTATCGGATCAACACACTCAAATAGTTATGATGGTATTTTATCATCATCGGAAGAATTATTTGATCCGAGTAGAGATAGATATCCCTATTGTATTGTTTGGACACCAATTCCATTGATAACATGGTTTTTACCATTTGTTGGACATATGGGTATTGCCAATTCAAAAGGTATTATCCATGATTTTGCTGGACCTTATTATATTAGTGTTGATGATTTTGCATTTGGAAAACCAACCCGATATTTAAATATTAAGAATCAATTGAGTCAAGAACAATTGGAAAATTATGATTCGAATATTAAGAGTGGAGCCAAATGTTTTAGATCGAAAATGTATAATTTCTTTTGTCAGAATTGTCATCATTATACGGTTCATTGTTTAAATCAAATGAAATTCAAGAATAGAAATATTGGCATTGTTGAAATTGGATTTTTAATGTTTTTCTATGGAAAATATGTTAATGGAGTGAGTGGCATATTGAAAACTTGGTTACCCTTCTTGATTCTCTTAGCATTGGTAGGTTTAATTGTAGTAATGGCCGTTGTAATCCCATCCGTTGTTTTGAATTGAAAAACTTTAATATTGAAATTAATAAGGTTTTGAGTTTTTTCACATATGCTTTTAGATTTTAATTTTCAATAAATAAATACATAAAAGCGATCCCCTTAGTGTCGAATTAAGGTTACATTCTAAATAAATGTGAAGCGTCGATGGTTTAGTGGTAGAATACGGCGTTGCCATCGCCGTGACCCGGGTTCAATTCCCGGTCGACGCAGTCGCTTCTTTTTCTTTCATCCAACTTTCAATGTCCATTCTCAATTTTTGAATAGTATGTAGTAACCATTAGATGGTAGTTGATTCTCAAAATTTAGACACTGAAGATGTGTATCTATTTTTTAAATAACCTCAGATTAATACCCATTTTTTTCTAGATTTTTCATTTTTAATTTTTTGAGTCAATAGTTGAGTATTAATTGACTTTTTTACTGAACTTTGTTCCAAATCGTTACCATATCTCATTTAAACAGCCTTCAATTTTTTTGGTGTGTTTGTCGTAACCCTTGTTTAAAGATTACAAGCCAAATAATTGTAAACCAACTCTTCAATACAAGCAATCATTGAATAGTTTAATCCACTTTGAATTTCATTGGTGTATTCCATTAACAATTCACTTGCTATTCATTAACAAAAGCTATTAGGCGCGAATGATAGCATTTATTGCTCTAATTTCTCTTTCATAATAGCTTTATTTACGACCTGTTTGTTAAAGTCAATTAAACATTTAAATAATTAAATACAATTGTAAAACACATAAAATATTGTAATAACAATATGATCATCATTTCGATAATTTGTAACAGAAAGAGTTGATAACAGAATCGGATGCTTCAAAATCTCTGTTCCGCCAAAGGACTTTTAAACCTCTCCACACCAATCACATGCCAGTTATCATTTTGTAAACCACTCCGCTCTGTTTTTTTCACCACAAACAGACCCAACCTCAAAAAGTCACCATCAAGAAGATGCTCTCTCGTTAACAATTTCACAACAGCCTTTGATGTTGGAAAGTGAAGCGAGCTGCCACTAATCAATTTACCGTCAAAAAAAATGAAAATCATCTCAACCCTCGTTGTTTTGGCTTTGATCGCCACTTTTGCCTATGCTCAACAACAAGTATGTGTTATTTTGTATTGATCATCATATTTAACATTTATTCTAAACTATTCGAATGTAAACTATTCACAGCATTGTATTAGCAAGGCTTTCATCACTAGCGCTGTCGTTATCGATGCTTCAAAGGCTTTCGATGACATTGAAAGAATTTGGTATGATGCTGCTACCAACAAGCAAGTATGTAACAATTTATTATTATAGTATTAATTTAAATTATTTAAATTTTGATTACAAAAAATTACATGTTATCTTTAACAATGAAATATTGCGATCGCACTTGTATCCGCACCTTGTTCATAATGTTATGATAACATATTATGTATAATACTATAATATTCTTTACAACAACTATTTAAAATATTTAACAACAGAGAACTGATATTGAAACTTTCCAACCTGCTCGTAAGAGTATTTCCCTCTACTTTAGACATGATTTGCAAACTGGTTATGAATATGATAAGCTCACTGGTACTTGCAAGAGTTTCCCAATTAATGGTCAATTGCAACCTTTCTGTTTGGCTCAAAATGCTGTTTTGAATGGAACTGTTACTATTGGTGGTAGTTTGAAGTGTTCAGTCTGGAATGAAGCCCTCAGAGGATTCAATATTAGATTGGTTATTGCTCCAAATCCAAACTTTGGTGTTCCTGTCAATGTTATCACTAAGGGTGGTCGTATTGGAACTGCTTTCCAAGAATTCTTCAATTTCCAAGCTTACAGTACTCTCCAAGATCAATCTGTTTTCAATGTTCCAACTTCTTGTAATAGAGCTAGATCAGCTTCTGAAATCTCCCAAGATGCTTTGGATGTCATTGAAAGACATGCTTGGTTGCACTAAATGTTGTTCTATTATTTTGATTGATCTATTCAATAAATAACAAAACACTTTAAACATTTCAATGGTGCACTTTTTGTAAATTTATTTGGTGTGATCTCTTGATCTCTTTCACATCATTAAGGAAATTCACACTTTGTTGGTGGTAATCTTCAGTTTCGATTCGACCAAACCACAATCAATTTATTATTGATCAATTTATTCAATCAAATAATATTATGAGCTCAATCTAATACCAAGGAGTGTGGCGTAATTTGTTGGATCGGTGATAAACAATCAAACTCCAAAAAAACTCCTCTAAAAATGTCTCAACAACAAGAATTAATTACACTCCACTCCTTCAAACCATCTTCTTCATCATGGAGAGTACGTGCAGCTCTTCATCATAAACAATTGTGGGAAAAGACAACAATTCATGAAGTTTCTCTCCTCGAAAAAGACAATGAAAAGGAAGAATATAGAAAAGTAAATCCAATGGGACAAGTTCCATGTCTTGAAATTAATGGACAAACATTAACACAATCCATTCCGATCATTGAATATTTGGATGTTGAATTTCCACAAGAAGGTGGTGATTTAATTCCAAAAGATCATTTGCTTGCTTTCAAAGTTAGACAAATTGCCGAAATTATTAATTCAGGAATTCAACCAATGCACAATGGTAAAGCTATTAGAATGTTGCCAGAAGAAAAGAGAACTGAATGGATGGAATTTTGGATTAGAAATGGGTTGACTGTTATTGAAAAGATTTTAGCTGAAAATTATCCAACTCAATTGAATGATGATGAATACAAATTCTGTGTTCCACAATATGGTAAATTGAGCTTGGCTGATATTTGTCTCGTTCCTCAAGTTTTTGTTGCCAAGACTAGAACTTCCATTAAGGTTGATACTGAATTCCCAATTACCAATAAGGTGTATTCTAATTTGATTCAAATGGATGCTTTTGCTAAAACTCATCCTCAAGCCAAATAAATTTACAATTATTAGAATATCTCACTCGTTGCCTCAATAGACATGAGTGGATTTATATATTGACTCGAAAATATAGTTCCACAATCCTCTTGATAACTCTTTCCGATAATGGTTCTTTCTCCTATTGAATTTTCAAATTCACAAACCTCTTTTTTTCAAGTTATTTCAATTATTAATTACTCATTTCAAACTTACGCAATGATGGAATCACTAACCAAACACAATTTCTGAAAATGCAATTGGTAAACTTGATTCTCTTTAGTTTTTTGAAATTCTTCTTGAATAATCTAAAAAGACTGCAATCCTCGATATTATTAATATTATAAACGACAACTTGTTCAACATTCGGCAATAATTTCATAGTTTCCGACAAGTTATGCATAGACACACTTGCAATATCTATCCATTGTGAGTAGGCCAAATGAAAGGAAACTTGTCTAGTCAGAATCTTCTCAAAATACACTTTCCAATCCTTGTTCAACCTCCTCAATCGAATATAATTTGGAATTGGAGAAAGATAGGAAAATATTTCCATGAGTAACTCATCAGGAAGACATGAAAAATCAGCATCATGATGAGCAATTGTATCTGGATGTTGATAATATTCATCTTCAAGCATCATTAATTCATTACTCGGAGAGGAACAACAATAATCTTGAGAGGATGATGGTGGAGACAAACTGATATCATACAAGTAGGATTCCCTATCTACTAGAGTTATTTTCAAATCCATCATGATTGTATCTTCCATTTTGATTTAGAGTTTCGTTTTTCTCTTTATACAAAGCCTTACTTCTTTTTAGCCTTAATTTCAACCAACCGATTTGTGTTCGGAATACTTCTCTTTAATATAATAATAAACAGGTTTTTTGAATATACTTCTCTATGCTACGAAAATATTCAATGTTTAATAATACACCAACAGCAAAGGAGGAGAATTGTAATTGATTTTTTTAATTTGAATTTAATTCTTACAATGTAATTACATGCAAAGCGCGAGTTTATTTTAAGAATCCATCAAATTTCTGTTCTAATGACGCAAGTGTATTTATTTTCAATAAATCTTCAATTGTCTTCAAAGGTGCAGGTACTATCAACCATTTTCAAACAAAATCAGCAAAAATTGGTTGATTTGTAACTAATTCAATTTTAGTGTATCCATTATTCAAGTAAGTGTTGACTGTTAAAGAAAGTGTAAGGGGTTGAAGTTTGGTATATTGCAACGTTATTAAATGTTAGACTGTATTACTTTCCATGAATCGAGTAACAATGTCTTGATCTTGAACTAAATAACTTGTGACTTTAGAAACAAGCTTTGGATCCAAATCCACAACTCCAATATCATAATCATGATCTAATTGATTCTCTCCTCGAGTCACATTAAAGGTAATCATGACTGAACAATCCTTAATACCATGAGCTATGAGGTACATTCTCAAAATGTGCCACAAAAACTCCTCATTCTCAATAGTACACTCCTTTACAAATTCATCCAAAGATTTCAAATGAGGTTTGATATTAGTATATGGATGATGAGCTTGCAACTCATTTTCCAAAGTGAGTGATACATCCTTTGAGAATCCACTCAAAGTACAAATGAATTCCTTGCACTTGTTGTCCATTGAAGATAATTCAGCTTTGAGAGGCTCAATCCATTCAGGAATAGTCTTCCAATCGAATAATTTGGCTTGAATTACTTCATCACTCTTGTACTTATCCTTGAGTGGTGGGTAAACATACTTTGCAACAAATTCAATATCAAATCGATCTAACATTTGCATTCTCTGAACACATTCCATAATATTCGAATCTAAAATGCAGAAAATTAATCTCTTAATAAATGTATCCAAATTGTCAATATGATATTTAGTCAGAGTGGAAATCAGCTCCTCCTTAAAATCTCTGTTTGGAATATTATTGTCATCAAACCAATTCAACTCTCCATTAATGTAAATTTTCATATTATTTTGTGGATTTTGAATCAAGTCCTCAATGGCTTTTCTAACTCGTGCCTCTTCACTGGAAAATAAATTTGTTGGGCAAAATTTAGTAAAACTAGTGATGAGCCCTTGTTTGAGTTTTGTTAATTGTTGACAACAAAATCTACAAGTTTCATATTTCAATGGCTTGTTTTCATCCTTGATAAATTCTGATCTACAAATCATTCCCCACTTTGGTTTAAACTCTACACAAAATGTGGCATCATCACTATTGGTTTTTTGAGTATGTTTTCTGTTATAAGTAAAATCACGCATTAACATTCCACAATCAGCATTGATATCAAAATCTAATTTGTATTCCAACATTTGAGTAGGTCTGACAAGATCAATTTTACTTTTCATTTCTCTTAGAAATTCTCTACTCAAAGAAATGGTTTCCTAAATGAATTATGATCACAACGTAAAAATCCAAAAACATACACCAGCATCAACTAATCCACTATTATTCGGATAGCAAGTAGAAAAGAGTGATCCAATAACATCTCTAACATAAATTGTTAAATAATCTTCTCTGGAAATTATTCCCTCCGATTTTGAATACATTTCATCCATGGTTGATTTGTTGGATGTTAGTTCGGAACGAGGACATTTTCTCACTCTCAAAACTCTTCCTACAAACTATCCACAATCATTTAATATATGAAATCTTCAAAACCTACTCTTGGATTATTTCCACAATATCCCAAAATTACATTTCCGAGTCCTTCACATTTATAGTGCCACTCTGATGAATCAACAGATGGTTGAATTGACATTTTTTATTATGAAAGGAGAAAATTAAAACCAAGTTCTCCTTTATGTGAATTTAATATGTAAAATTATACTAGAAATTTGATAACAACAAAATAAATATTTGAATAATTATTTTTTTTATATTTTTATGAGAGAAAATTTAATCATGGGCAACAGTTGGGACGGAGAGATCTTCCTTTGGTTCGTGGACAGAGACAACGTCTGGTTGTGGCTTTTGGTTGGAACCGGCTTGAGTACCGACAACCCATGGAAGCATAACCTTAACCTTGATACCCAAAACACCTTGCTTCATGTATACGTGACGAACAGCAATATCAACGTAATCCTTGACTGGTTGACCAGTTCTAATCATGTATCCTTCAGCGAACTTCATGGACTTAGCTCTTTGAGCTCTGAGCTTACCAGAGACAATAACAGCACCACCCTTAGCACCAGAATCCATAACGAATCTCAAGACACCATAACAAGCCTTTCTAACAGCAACACCTTCCATCAACTTTTGCTTGAGGGATTCAGCTTGAGCAATGGCAGACAAACCCTTATTCTTGACGTTTTCAGCGTACAATTCGATCTTACCTTCTTCGAAACCGAATCTCTTTTGGATGACTGAAGTCAATTCCTTCATTCTTCTTCCGTTATCACCAACGACAGTTTGTGGACGAGTAGCACGGATGATGATTTCAGTTCTGGCAACAGTAGCTCTGACTTCAACACCAGAGTAACCATCTTCGGCCAATTCTCTCTTCAAGAATTCGTTCAATTCAGCGTACAAGAGACCTTGGTGAACAAAGTGTTTCTTCTTGTTAATGTTAGCTTGGATGACCATGTTATCTGTAGATGATGTTAGTAAATTAATTATTATTCAAGAAAATTATTAGAACAACAATTCATAAGCCCGTGTCAGAGAACGTAGAAGCAGGTAAGGCACTTACTTTTTGGCAATTTTTTTCAAACAATTTTTAATATTGACCGTGTATTTTTGTATTTTACAATGAAAAATTTTTTAGAAGAACATTTCAACAACAACCTCATTTCCCAGCATGATACTCGCAGCAAAACAATTTGACGACTGCCCTATACTCTGTCCGTACTCTGATCATGTACATAAAATTGGCTAGTAATAAGAACATGCTTGGTGGATAGAGTAATAACATTGTGAATATTTAACTTTGTGTGAAGATTACCTTTCAATTTTCTTCAAAAACTTTTCGGATTTAAATATTTACTTCACCAATTGCATATTGTTCCTCCTCGTAGAATGATGATGGTAAGAAGAGATGATAGTAGAACGAAGTACTTCTTATGAAAACAAACAGATTGAATAACTACAAACAATTAAAAATAAAATTGCTTTTAAATAAAAAATGAGACTTTCATCATCATCTATTCTTCAAGTTCTCCGAAGAGGAAAACAACCAAACATTGCCAGACAACCAAAGAAATTAATGGGTCATTACTCTCAAAGAAATGGTTACTTTATGTTCGAAAAGGAAAAGGTACCAATCTTTGCTAGCCCAGACCTTTCCGACTTTAAAGTACGTTCATTTAAAATTAATTTGTTATTGGAAATATTTAATCATGTTTACCATCATCCACATTACTTTGATTATATTTAAATATTTTGTGGATTGAAATTGAATTATTTAAAATAATAATAACAACAATAATATTGGAAATTCTTCTATTGTTTTGGAACATTTAAAAAATAGTTAAAGCCATACGTTTCACATACCACACCAAAAAACCCTGAAAAGGCTGCTGTCAAGAAGACTGCTTAACTCCTTCCGATAGTACTGATTTTTAAACAAACAATAATAATTACAACATCCTTAGTACTTGTTGGATCAAATTTTGGATATTAATACTGTAGGAAATATACAATCACTCTAGTTCACCTTTATTATTGGGATGATTTAATGACATTCTCAATTTACTCACCACAATAAACAAAATATTATCAATATTACAACCACAGTACAAAAAGAGAAGTCAACCAAACACGAGTCACACATCCAGTCTTGTTTGTGAACTCTCTATTTGTGGTGTTTTTGTTTGCGATTGTGACCATCTCTAGCCATAGCTGCCACCAGTTCACTCTTATTCTTACGTTCACTACTTTCATGGGTTATGAAAATCATCGATTTGAAACCCATTATCTCCACTTTTCAGCCAGTGGAAATACTTGCGACTCGACTGACATCCAGAAGTAAAAAAGTAGCACAATAACAACGTTCTCTGCAAGGATCCCTCTTGTTTTTCGTTATCCCACAAACAAGACAACATAAAAAGAGTGTTCAACTTGTGAACCAAGCCCAGCCGACACATCACCGAAATCATTCGATACTTTTTGTTTGTCAATACCTTTTCCAACGCTTTAGGTATTTTCATCACAAAAAATTACCAAACAACAACGCTATTGCACTGCTGTGGTGGTTTATTCATTGACTTTGTCAACACTATCATCATCTTGTCTTTAATTGAATAACACCATTATCTAACCACCACCTTCCTACCATCCTCTTCTCATCTCTTCTCACAGTGCATTATATTAACTTGTTCCAACAAACCGGAATTTATTTTCATCTTGTCAACCAAGAATACATCTAACTGAAATCAACAAGTCACACCTCTTGCATTGTGTTTTGGACTGGTTATTGTTATCGATCTAAATACGGTTCCATATTTGATTCCCCTATTTTCGCTTTTTGAGAGTTAACTAACGTAACAAACCAATTTACCTCAAAAGACGCGATAAATTCTCAAAAAGAATTATCTGAACAACAACACAGCAACAACAGAAGAATAAGATTCTTGATTATCATCATCACACATTGCAGAAACTCACTGCAATAATCACCACTTAATTTTCATTAAGCAACACAACAATAGTATTAATTTATTAATAGTGGTGGTTACCCTACTATTGTAGTACTACACACCATCTTAATCCCTAATTTCCAATGACACCTCCTCCAAGCTCATCGTCCCTGCTCAATAATAATCAGCAGACAATCACTCGACAATCTCCTTCACAACAAGACGTTATCAAATCTTTAGTGTTGAATCATCCCTTGAAGAGACGTTTATCAGCACTTGAAACCTTTTCTCTCCAATCCTCCCTAAATAATCAGAACAATAATAACTGTACAATAATACAAACCTCCCTCCATGCTGACTCGATGGATACAAGTGTAGAATCTCCTCAAGACCTCAATCAAACCAAGCCTCTAGAAATGAGAAAGAAAAAGATGAAGACACCAAACAAAACCATTAGAAAGCAAGGCTATCTAATGTTCCACCACTACCAAGTTTGTCCAGAATCTCATATTGACAGATTGCAAATGAAAGAGCCAGTTATTTGTATACTGAGCTCTAAAAAGATACAACTTTTCACTCCTAAACTCTTTGACAACTCTTTCTATCAGAATCAAGTAGAACAACAACAACAATTACTGCAGTCTTTGAGTGATATTTCAAATACCAACCAGGCTATTACCAACAATGTGATACCAATTTGTGATAAGTATTCTGCTCATCTGATTGGTACCATCTATTTGGATGATAGAGTTTGTCTTGGTAAAGTTTTGGTAGATCCTCTTTCATCTACCACCTTTAGTGTGTACATAGAAAAATCGAATGAAAAAACAATCAATAACGACAATGATACTCAATGTGTAAAGATGCATTGGGAAAGTAGTTGTAAATCTCCACCAACAGATGGTACAAGTAGATCAGAGAATGCATCACCTTCGTATTCACCAAACGTTGATGAAGAAATGACCTGTACAGATATGAAATATGAATCAATTACTGCCAACGCAATAGCTGAGGATAGACTTGTTTTTGAAGCAACCAATGAGAGTGAAACACTACAATGGATTAGTAGCATTAGACAAGTTGCCTCTTCGTTACACAATGAAAATGCTTACATTCTTACAGAACTTTTACTAAAGATATTCGAATATCTTGACGAAAAGGCCCTGGCTGATGTTTCTCTCACATCAAGGAAGTTTAATGAATTGAGTAATTACGACTTTTTGTGGTTTAACCTTTACAAGAGTAGATATGAAAAACAGGCGTACGACCTTTCTTATTACAAGAATATGCTTCGTAATATTTCAATGACCTCCAGCTCAAAGTCAGACCAAAAAGATGATGAAGATGCAGTCTATGGCGAACAAGTAACATGGAAATATGTTCACAAGAAGAGAATCATCTATGAGAAGACTTTCTTACCACCTCCAACTCCACCAGAACAACCATCCAATTCAGCAACACCCACAACTAACACAGCACCTACTGCTCCACCACCAACTGATCAGACAACAACTAATGCAGCAACACCTTCTTCCTCATCTACAGCAGCTGTGCCTCCACCAACACAGAACGATAATCAAAAGCAGGATCAAAGTAACCTATCTCAGAAAGAGAGCCAAGCCACCAATAATGAGCAAACAGAAATCAAACCTCCAACAAAAGAAGAAATAGAAAAGCTTCAAAAAGAAGAGGATGAAAGGAAAAAGAAGGAAGAGGAAGAAAAGATCAAGAACAAGTCGACACAATTCCTCAGAAAAGCAAACAATCTCTTCAATGCAGCTGACAAGGCCAACAATGTCTACAAGAAGAGAATGTTATGGATGCTCTGTATGGACAATTATGAAACATGTCTCATGTATAATGACAAGAATTGGACGGCTGCAAGAAATTGGTGTGTATCTCTGATCAGATTGGAGAAGCTTGTTCACAACTTGAAAACAAATGAGGCACAACTTTATTTGGCCTTCATGTTGAATCAATGTATGGAAAAGTTTGATGTTTGCATGAAAAATGCACCAAAGAATGATGAGGTATTGACACTATGGGCTGGTACTTGTAGTGACATTGCCATTAAGGTTGCAGACATGGACTTGAGTGATAGATTATTCAGAATGGCTCATGAAAAGTTTGAAGAAGCTCTCAAGATCAAATCTCACATTGGTACTTATAACGACTATGGAATTAGTTATTGTGATTGGGCAGAAAAAAAGATTCGTCACCTCAAGAAAAGGCTGAAAATATCTACTTCAATCCTCAAAAAAGGTGCACATATTCACTTGGAAGTTGACTCAGGTAGCAAGTCTCCAAAAACTCCTTGCAATGGTATTGGTTTCTCATCGACTCCTCTTCCTCTTTCAAACTTTTTCCCATATTGTTCACTGCTTTCGGGTTTTTACACATCTACTGATTTGAAAGAATTAACATATGATGAATTTGAAAGAGAAAGAAAAGTGATTGATGGTTATCTTGATGAAAGCTCCAAGCTTTATGACAAGTGCCTCAATATCAAACCTGAATACTTCCATGCACTTAATAACAAGGGCTTTAATGAGAAGTTAAAAATTGATCTTTTAAAAGTCAGAAAACATTCCTTAAAACTAACTAGAGAACAAGAGATGGAAACCAACATTGAAAGAAAAAGACTTGTAGATATTGCATGTGATTTATTTAGAAGATGCATTGAGATCAAAGATTTTGTTATTGCTAGAAACAATTATGGTAATATGCTGCTTCAAGAGTCGAAAGAAGAGCTGGGTATGGATAGATATCAATTACTTGAACAATCGATAGCTCAATATGAACAAGCAATGATATTGGAGCCTAATAATGATGGATGTATTTGTAGATGTGCCATAGCTTTCCTCATGAAGGCAGAGGTTATTTTGAATGAAATCAAGAATGGAGAGAGAGCAGTAACATCTACAATTGGTACACCTGAGCAAGTCAATTCTAATCTTGAATATTTATACGAAAGAGCAAAAGTTGGATTCAAGTGTCTCAAAAACACTTCTCTCTCACATTACAATCTTGCCTGCTTAAACGCTATTTTTAATAAGAAGGAAGAATGCAAGAATGAATTAATGGCTTGCATTGATATCGTGTCAGAACAGAAATTGAGAGAAGACAAGGATTTTGAAAATGTAAGGGAAGAACTATGGTTTAAAGAAATCATGGAAAAAGCTTGCAACAAGCCATCTGTAATGATAGGGCCAACAAATCAAAATTTAGATTTATAAATTCTATCAAATTCGCAACTTTCAAAGATCTATTGTTCCTTATCTCTTTCTGTTCAATAAGCAATATGTTGGGATTTATTGTTTATTCATACCTCTTTCCATTGACAATCAGTTGATACAATACTTATTATTTCTAGAATTCTAATAAATTTATCTGGAACAATTTCAATAAATTTTTGATTAGTTTTATTTACACTCGACTATGGTTTTTAAGGATTGGTTTCCTATCTCTTTTCAATTTTATCATCAATGATAAGACCCCAATTACCAGCATGACAAATCCAAGTTAATTTCTTTCCTTCTAAAGCCATCTTGGCATACTTAGTCTTCTTTTCCTTATTTTGTTCAATATAGACAACTCCATCAACTCTTACAAATCTACATGAACTTTCATTCATTTGAATTGCAAATTCAATACCATTAATTTTAACTTCTGTACAAGTACTATGAATTGCAGTGTGAATCTTTAAAATATCATCATCTGTAACAATATATGAACCTAATGATGTAATATCATCACTCTTTTCACCATCATCAATCATCTTATCACTTGAAGACATTGTTGGTTTAACAATTGTAACTTCACCTGAAACTGCTCCATCAATATGTGCTTGCATTGTTGTATCATTCATCATAATATTATCAGCAGCTTCTCTATAAATTAATCCACAAAACATTTCAATTGTTTTTTCAAATGTATCTAATAAATATTCAGATCCACCTGTTTCTTCTGAAATTGTTTTGTAAAAATCTTTTGTTGACCATGAAGATGAACCACATCTAACACTATGAATTTTAACATGATGATTATCAAATAAATTACTTGTTTCTTGTTTCCAATCAATATTAAACCATTCAGTTGATTTGTGAGGATCAGCATCACCAATTACAACAAGTGATCTATTTGTAAATGTATTTTCAACATTAACCCAAGATAAAGATTGAGCTTCTAATAAAACAGCTTCATAACATTCATCACCATCATAACCACTTGTTGAATTAATTGATTGAACAAATGAAATAATTTGTTCAATATCTGTTGTAAAATCTAATTTGTATAAACAATATGAACCATTATCTTTAGAATCTTCATAATCACCATGTGCAATAATTGCAATTTCTAAACCTCTAACATCATTCATTAATTGTTGACATATTGTTTGTAATTTAAATTTCAAATTATTTAAATATGAAGACATTGAACCAGTTGTATCAAATGAAAAACAAATTTGAACTGCAGGTACTCTATCACTACCAGTTGTATCTAATTTGTGATTATTACCAGGTACATAATAACATCCACTTAAAATATCTGAAATATTAAGTGATTTGTATCTGATAGATGTATCTAATTTTGACATTGACCATTTAGAAGCATCATCTGACCCTTTTAAAATCTTATTACCAGGTGTTTTTTCAATTAATTTGTTTCTAGCTTCAGATGTTGATGTAAAAACTTTAAATTTTGGATTAGTATAATCTGTATATGGTGTAATTGCAGATGAAGATCTTTTAGAAATTGTTGTTGAAGATGAAGTATAATATGATGAAGATGGCTTTTTTCTAATAGATTTTTTAACAGCTTCCTTCTTTTTCTTTGTTGCTTCTATGGCTTCTTTCTTTCTCTTTTCAGCTTGTTCCTTCTTTGAAATTTCAGCCTTCTTCTTTAATAATAATTTTTGTTTCTTCTTTTCTTCCTTTTCATAATTCTTTCGTAAATCTAATTCACCAACGATATAATCTTCCAAATGAATTGGTAATCTTCTTTCTCTTGTTGGTCTACTGCTTGACATTTCTGTTATTATTGTTATTATTGTTGTTTTTTGTTGTTGGAAAATTCCATCAATAACGCTGTGAGTTATTTAAAGAAGAATATGCTTTCCACCAACAAGTGGATTATCAACGAATTTCTGGCATTTTTTTTGCTTCGTAAAAGTGGATTTTTTTTTGGCGGTAAATATCAGGATATTTTTAACCAAAAATTTACCTCAAATCGAATTGTTATTTCCCACAAAACTTAACGCCATTCATCAAGAACAAGAAGCCGACATAGCTCAGTTGGGAGAGCGTAAGACTGAAGATCTTAAGGTCCCTGGTTCGATCCCTGGTGTCGGCAAATTTTAGTTCATGGATAAGAGCAATTTTTTGGAGGTTGTTTGTTAATTGTGGATTGAACATTATTCAAAATGGTGTTTATTTTCTTGAATGAATTGTTCCAAAGATCTTGGTTTCTTTCCAGTGACAATCTCAAAATCTGCATGTACATTAGCAGAGGTTCCATTCAATTTGTAAAATTGGAATAATCTCACCAGCCCAATAACTAAAAACTTTGGTAATTGGCTTAATTGATTAGCCAACTCAATTTCATCAATTTTAGTCCAAGTAATTTGTCTGCCAATAACTTTGGAAATAATCTCAGCTACTTGATCATAATTCAAAGATTGAGGTCCAGTTATATTGTAAACTTGTCCTCCATGAATATTTGGATTTTCAATGAGAATTTGAGCTGCCATATCGGCAATATCTCTAACATCAACATGACTAATGTGATATGGAATTCCATGATCGTTTCTTGGTTTGAAGAATTGAGATGAGTTTTTGATTGAATGAATGTCATCTCTAAGGAAGTTTTGCATGAATAGATTAGGTCTTAAAATTACGTAGGAAACGCTTGGTGCCTTATTTGAAAGTAAATTACCAATTACAACTTCAGAATCGCCATGATATCTGAATAAACTATTCGATTCAATGGTTGTTGAAGCTCCCAATCCAGATAATCTTATCACTTGTTTCAAATCATCCTTTGAATATTCAAGAATCTTGTTAATTAATTGTTCTTCCACTTTTGGTTGATTTGGTTCGCTCACTGTTAAAACGAAAACCCTTTCAATCTTTTCAAAAATACTCGATGGAATTAATTCGAATTGATTCAAGTCACCTTGAATATATTCTACATCAAGATTATTTACATAATTTGCAAGTTCTTGTTTTGCCTTTTCAATATTCCTCACCAAAACCTTCACTGATTGACCAAATGATTTCTGTTCAGAAAGTGACTTCAATAAATGCTTTCCAATTGTTCCTGTTGCTCCAGTAATAAGAATACTGCTCTTGTTATTTGATGTTGTGATTTCGCTTGACATTGTGCTTTGTTTTTTTTTGTTTGTTTTGTTTGACGGTTCACTTTCCTAAATAATATAAATAACTTTTTCATACTTATGATTAGTACGTGTGTGTGGATAAGCTAAAAAATTATGCTTATTAAAAATAGTGCTTTTTTAATTTGCGAGTACGCACAAAAAATTCTTACACGATTCGTTAAAAAAAGGGGAAATTCATTCAACAGATTAGAATAAGAAAAAATGTCAAGAGCATTCGAAACTGTTAACGTGTATGTGAGTGGAGTTATTCCAAATGTTAGTGCATCAACCGTTTGGTCACTGATTGGTTCTTTCAATGGTTTACCAACTTGGTATGATACTGTTGCCAGCAGTGAAATGGACAATAATCAATCGGATAATACTGTTGGAGGTATTCGAAAGCTCACCATGAAAAATGGTATTGTTCAACGTGAAAGATTAATTGCCATGGATTTACGTAATTCTTCATACACCTACTCTCTAGTTGATGGTATCCCATGGGAGGGATATAATAATGATTACTTTGCAACTATTTCAGTAAAGTCAATCACTACAAATGGAACAGATAAGCTCGATAACACATTATTGGAATGGAAGGCAGAATTTACATGTCCTCATGGTGAAGGAAAGAAATGGCAACAAGCTATTGAAGGAATATTTGAGTATGGAATTAAGTGTTTACAAAATATTTACAACAAGTAATAAGCAAGATTATAAAGTTTCAATAGACTTCCCCTTCCTCAAAATATCGAAACCTAGATTTGCTAATCATTTTACAATTTTGGAATGACATGTTTCTATTAATAAATTTAGTGCACCTCATCCCGTCCGATTTGAGAAGTTAAGCATCGTCGAGCCACATCAGTACTGAGGTTGGAGACAACTTGGGAACCTGTGGTGCTGAGTCTTTTAATCTTGAACACTATTTCAATATTTGAAGACTCAAATTCGAAATTTTATCGTTTATTGATCAACCACAAGTTTCTTTCTAATTAGATCAAATTTAAAGGTGATAAATAGATGGTCACGTAGCAAGCTTTTCTAAACAATAACTTACTGAACCAACAATCAATAGATTAGTTGCCTTCACTGTTCATACAGTCAAAGACTGTAGCGGGATTGTTGCCATATTCCTGGCAGGCTTCCCGTCCAAAATAATAATTGAAATGTGACAATAACAACCACTAAGATATTATATTTTCTGGTCACACTCTGGTTCTTACTATTAACATTTAACATTTCATAAGAAATCATAAAAATTTTATGTTTTTAGGATTAATTTAATTTATTTACATACTGTTACAATTCAATCAAAGAAGTGTTAAAATACTGTGAAAAATCAAAGTAGGCTCCCTTTGAATTGTTTTAGTGGCAGCAACCACCATCACGTATCACGTGAAGGTCCAAGCTCCCGTCTCCATAATTAATTTTCCATGCTTTGAAGGATAAGTATGTACTTTTGATAGGCCATTCATGGAGGAGAAGCAAGTTTTCTTTGTGTGAGGCTTGCATTCAATTGGGCAAGTGAAAGACTTGGTGTTAGGCTCATTGAGAGTAAAGATGAGAAGGTTGGTACATTGAAAATATTACTTGTATCAAGAAGTTTACTTCAAAATTTAACTGTTTTACATTCCTTGCCTGGTAAAAAGATATGCAAAAGGACCCTCCCATGCCGGGAATTGAACCCGGACCTCCTGGGTGAAAGCCAGGTATCCTAGCCATTGGACTACACGGGATCTCATTCATAGTAAAAATAGTACCTTAATAATGAAAATAGTACCTTAATCTTATACAATTGATTTTAAATTGTTTAATTGAAGCTTGTTCCAAATGAACTCACTTCTATAGGATTTCCAACATTTCTTGAAATTTGTTTGCAATAAGAGTTTGCAGAATGGTTCTGGCTTTATTAAGGTATTAGAAACATTTGAAAATAATCATTTACAAAGATGGTTTGATGATTGGCTTTGATGACTTCTTACATGTCTTTCTCTTGATACAAATCTTCTTTTTGATTGACTTGCAACACTTCTTCTTTCCACCAACTAATTTAAATTTCTTACAAATCTTCTTTCCCTTTGAACGTTTCAAACACTTCTTATAATACTTCTTCTTGATACATCTTGGAGGAATGACAATTGTCTTGGCACAATATTTCTTCTTTTGATATTTGACACATTTAGAAAGAATCTTCTTGTGCTTACAGAACTTGATAGTCTTATGTTTGGCACAGTATTTCTTCTTAATGAGACAACATTTCTTAACTGATTTTCTTTCCTTACAATATTTAACCTTCTTATACTTGGCACATTTCTTTGCCCATGAAACAATCTTACATTTTTTAACATATCTACATTTGGAAACCTTCTTATTGTAGGAATCAACAGTGTACTTGTCGCAAACCTTCTTCTTTTCACATTTCTTGATTGGAACCTTCTTGAATTTCTTACAGACCTTCTTAACACCCTTCTTGAAACACTTGTTAATAATCTTATGTTTGGCACAGTATTTCTTGTAACCCTTCTTGATGCAAATCTTCTTTGTTCCATAAGAATCACAAACTTTCCAGTACTTCTTCTTGGCACAACCAACAATCTTGTATGCATGCAAGACACACTTCTTTGTTGGCTTGCTATACTTGTCACATTTGGAATATTTCTTATGTTTAAGACATTTACCAGCTCCGACAATGGCATATTGATCACAGACTTTCTTTTGACCAACGAGTTTGTGTTTTAAACACTTCTTAATCCACTTATGCTTTAAGCATTTTCTCTTACAATGCTTTGGCTTGTGATACTTGTCAACAACGACGACTGGAGGTTTGGCTTGATAGCTGTCATTTGCTTGAACTGAGAGGACTGCAAGTAAAAGTAGAAGTGCAATTGAAAAGATTAGATTTGCTTTCATTTTTTGTTTTTGTTGGATGGAATAGTTCAATCCATGGTGCTAATTTAAACCATTTCGAATAGTTTTTCATTTGGAACAAGCTCAAAAAAGTTGGATGTAAGGTTCCAAACTTGGATAGAAAACTGATTTCCCTAACTAAACTTCAATTTACTATTCAAATATCAACTCATCTTTCCAATACTATTATCATAATTTCGTACTTGATTCTGTCAATACAATATTCTCAATCTCAAAGAACTGGTTCTTGCATGATTTACGATCTTTGAAAAGTTAGTGATATGATTGTTAATGTAAAAGTTGGTTTTATTACAATTACATTATACAACATCGAAAGCCAATAGTCCTTCAAGTCTAGATCCAGAACCACCAACAAGATTGACTTTTCCTGGGGCTGTTGGGGTGTATTCACCTTCAAACAAACCATTTCCCTTAGAAACAAGTTGATCACTTGGTGGTATCATTACCATGGCAACCATTTTATCAGCTGGGAATTGAATCTTGAATGAATAGGTTGTGCCAACTTTCATTTTACCAGTTTTTGGTGAAATTAATTCACCAGCATAGGTCTTCCAAGAGCCGTATTCAGATGGATAGGAAACTTCCTCAATATTAGCTCCACCTTCAACTCTAACGAAATAAGTCAACATTTCTTCACACTTTCTAACACCTGCAAAAATGGAAAGTTGGTAAATAACACCAGGTTGTGGAACACAAACACTGATAATAATATTGTGACCATCAACACGAGCAGAGGCAGCTTTAAGTTCTTCACCAGTTGACAAATCAGCAACACTTGGAATCCATTCTCATCGCATTGAATGACAATGTCAGCAATATTTGATTCTGTCAATACAATGCAAGCTTCATTATGAGTGATAGTGCTAATTCCATCCGCAAATCCATGAGTACTGATACGAACTCTATTAACGAAATCATCAGGACTAACAGGTGGTGAAATTAATTGCAATTTTGGATCTTCTGGATAGTGGGAAGCAATCATTTCATTTGGGCTCATGAAGAAGTATCTTGATGTGAAAATCTTTTGGAATGATGATCCGCCCAAAACACCAGCTCCCCAACAAGCATCAATCAATCTGAGAGATCCGTCTTCAAGTTCAACAGCATTCCATTCATGGTTTGATTCCTTAATATCTACTGGATTCAAAGGATTGAAACCAACAAGCTTTGCAAAACCAACAACACATGATACCTTTTGAATGCCTGATTGAATACACATATTCTTGAAGAGTCTTGCGTAACCACTGCAAACACCCTTCTTTTGAATGAAGGTAAGACGAGAAGTTGGGCAGTACATCTTCTTTTCATCTTCACTAAAGAACTTGTCGTGTTCACTTGGAACATAGACAGCATGCTGATTGGAGAGGAAACTCTCAGCATCATAGACAACATTTTCACAAATCCAGACAAAGATGGATCTTGCCTTTTCCTCAATGCTAGAGAATGGTTTAGTGAGGTAGGTTACCAATTGTGTAAGGGTAGATGTTTCACTGGATGGAATAGATTTTGCGTGGGCATCAATTTGTTCATAGTTTTTAAGTAACTTGTAGTGTTCGCCATCGGATTGGAAAGGACCTGTTGAAATGGAGAGGGTGCTTAATTGTTGAGCAACGGATTCGACCATGGTTTTTGGGGAGATGTTGTTGATTAAGGTTTTTTTTGTGGTGTGATATTTGTCTTGAATTTCCGCACAATGAACCTTTTGACCAAATCAGGTCACTTATGAACCTTATGGTTCAGTTGGTGCGTTTTACAGTGATTACAATGTTCTTGAACGACTTTAAGCTTCAACATTTGATACGATACTGGTATTCCACTTGTAAATATTTTACAATTAAATCAAAAAGTCCAATAAATTAGAATTTGGATTTGAGAGATCTTAGATTAACTCTCAAATTAAGGAGAAATATTAGAGGAAAGTAAATATTTGAGTAAGGCGCTATAACAAATAATTCTCTTTGGTTCTTCTAATTGGGTGTTGGTTATATCTAAATGCATTCCACCAAAATTGTCAAATGCAAACTGATCTGCTTGTTCATTTGACATACATCTCTCATGATTCTTGTCTTTCTTTGTTGTGATGAAAATTATTTCTGCCTTTGGTGCATGCTTCTTGATAGATTTCAACCTCTCCTCTAGTGATTTTATGGCATATTCTTTGTAAGAGTTAGGATCAAGCAATAGTAAAACAGTAGCAGCGCCTCTATAAAACGACATGGAGATAGATCTGTAACGTTCTGGACCACATTGATCCCACAGTTGAAGTTTAACTCTTGTTGTGTCTCCAAAGTGAAACATTTTGATTGCAAAGTCAACGCCAATAGAAGGATAGTACGCGCCATTTTGTTCCACAACCAAACCATTCATGGAACAGTTGAGCAGTGAAGTCTTTCCACTTCCAGAATCTCCATCCAATAGTACTTTAGTGAGATAATCATGGGTTGGTGGAGGTAAATTCTGAGTTGGAGTTGCACTATTGACAACATTACTGGTAATTGATTGGGAATTTGATTGAGCATTTGATTGAGAATTTGATTGGGAGTTTGATTGAGTATTACTTGAAAAGAAGGATCCAATAAACGACAAGGCCCCTCCAAAAAAGCCCTTCGATGATGGTTGTTGTTGAGGTTTCACAATTGCAATATTTGGAGATTCTTGTAAATCAGAATATCTTTCAAAGTAACCCTTTAAAATTCTCAATTCTTCATCAACCCATTTTTCTTTCATGGCAATAATTTGCTTGTTACCTTCCCCATCTCCTGACCCAATAATTGATAATTTGCAAGCAAGTTCATAAACTTGTTTTCGGAGTAAATATTTGGTGAATTTTCTTCCCTCTTTAGAATCTAGAAAATCATCCAAATCCTCAACTTGTTTACAACTCTTGTTGAGATTTAAAATTGTTTCTTGATAGTGATCCCATATTAATTCATGACAAATACCTCTCCAGTAGCGACAGACATTTCTTAGCGAAAAAATTAGTTCAACATGATGAATGTGGCCACAGATAATTTCTCCGATCAATTCATTGGGTAAAATTTGAAAGATTTCTTGTTGTTGCATTTTTTTTGTAAAGTTCAACGTCACATTGGCATTGTAATGATACGTGTGGTAACCAATCATCTACATTTTACACAAGAGATAGGGAAGAAAGGCTTTATTTTGAATGCTATTTTGCTACGGTTGAACCGTCAGAAAAGATTAATTAATGGTGCACGGAGCTTTAAAAGAATAATAGACGAATGTACACTAGTGACTCACAGATAATTGCAAATATTATCACATATTTAGCAGCTGGAGGAAGCTTATTCCAAAGTCTGGTTAATTTTGAAAATGGATCTTCTTCATTTTCTTGATTTTCACTCAATTCCAATTCGTAAAAAGGTTGACCACTCTTTACAACTTGTCCTTCCTTGTGCAATAGACGAACAACAATTCCATTGTGTTGACTCTTCCAATCTACTACTGTGGCCTGTTTGCTGCTTGATTTGAATGAAGCATTGAGCTGTTCTTTTTTAATGACATCCATTTCAGAAATGTGAAGTTTGGCAAGACGAAATTCTTCTTGTTGAAGAGGAGACGAATCTGAAAGATTTGGAATGGAAATCGTTATTTTGTTGTTGTTGAGCTCATGATTGACCAGAGAAGTGGTGAAAAATCTTTTAACTTGTTGGTGCTGAGGGTTTGTGGCTTTGTAAATACGTTTCACTTGTTTTAACATTTTTTCTAGTAAGATACTAATCTCATGTGCCACAAGCGAACCTAAAATTTATCAGTAACCCGAGTATATTTCCATAAAAAGCCAATGGCGTTGCGTGAAGTAATTTGGGCCAGAGTGTTTTATGAGATTTTGATTGGCCAAAAAGCAAAATGAAAAATTATCCTCCCATGCCGGGAATTGAACCCGGACCTCCTGGGTGAAAGCCAGGTATCCTAGCCATTGGACTACACGGGATCTCATTCATGTAGAAAATATTATCTTAATATAATAATGACATCTTAATATTGATACTATTTATTACTCGTTTGTTGCATGGTTGGATTTGAAATAGTCCCAAATATAAACCATATCAGAGTGATATCCCTTATCAAACCAACCTTCAATACAGTTGTCAAGTTCATTTCTTGTTGTCCAAAGGAGATGATGAAGGTTAGATTGGAAGGGATTAGCCAATTCTTCATGGCCATTACTCTGCAGCCATTTCACTCCAACTGGTTTCATGAATGGACAAACCAACCATCTTATACATTTCTTGTAGGCATTTAAAGAACTGTTTCCAATCTTATGAGGTGAATATTCCAGATTCTCAATTGTTGTTTCTCCATTCTTATTTACAATCCTTTGTGGATCTGTTGTTTCAAATAATCTTATTGCATTATTTGTTTGATTGTCATCTTTAGGATCTGAAACAAGACTGAAACTTGTAGAAACCAATAATTTCTCTTTTTCTTGGCTGTCTAAATAAAATACTAAATCAGGACCGATATTGTCGTCTGGTTTCACTAAATTGTCTAATAAAAATCCGTCAGTCTGAGTAACCCACAACCCAGATAATCTTTCATTTCTTTCAATACTTTGTTCAGAGAAAACAGGAGCGCGTACGAAACTGTTAACTTTCAAACTGTAATTCTCAAACTCCTTTTTTGGCAAGCCAGCAAATAATTTACAATCTCTGATACTTCCATACTTTTCGCTTTCTTCAAGTATTAATAAATGCATAAAATATTCAAATACAATTCCCTTCTGTTGTTTCTTGATATTCTTTCTGAGATGATTCCACAATTGACCTCTATAATTCTTAAACATCGTTTGATAATATACTGAAAAGGAAATTGGGTCAACAATATCAAAGTGAAGCTCCTTTTTACCAACCTGAACCACATGTGCAAAGGCTGTCTCGATGAATGCCTTTCCAACAATGTTGTTTAAAAGTGAATCTTGAGGCACAATGTATTTTTCTCCAAAAAGCAGATTGAAAATAGTTTCTTTGATTTCCTCCCTTGTTTCTTCATTAGAAAATATTCTATCCAATCGTTTCCTTGAGCTATCTTCCTTGTTACTAATAATTGTTGATAAGCAATTTCTGATGGATTGGCTTATAGTTGTTTTTTCAGATTTTAAATCATTTAAAAGAAGTCTGTGGAATGATGTTAAATGCTCAGGGGAGCCTGAAAGTAAATAACACAGAGAATACAAATGTGGAAAAGGTTGACTTGAATTAAAATTGAATTTCTCTTTGAGCACAATCTTTACGTCGTGGCGACACCACGGATACATTTTACCAACAATTTGGTTGGTAAACCTTCCTTCTTCCGAAGTGAGGATTGCTGAAATCTGAAATGTCGTCCCAAGGAACACAGGATTATTGAACCTGGAGATTACTTTGTAGACAGCGTGGAAAAGATTTCCTTTTTCTGAATTGCTCATATGAACAGTACCCACTCCATGTGATGTTAAATTATTTGCCTCGTCAAAGGCGAAAACTACCTTAAACTTTTGTCTCTCAAGCCATTTACTGTATTCTATATTCTCATTTTCTATTATTTTTATAAAGTTTGAATTGTTTCCAATAATCTAAAGCATCAAATAATTTAGTATTTGGATAAAGATAAACAACAAAAAATCGGTCAACATCTTCAGTGGAAGAATGAGCAAGATGAAAAATCGAAAAGGTTTTTCCACTGGTCGAAATATCAATTAAATGAAGAATGGTGAACAGCTGATCTCCCTTCCCCACTTTACAATTTCTTGAAAGAGCTTCTCTTAGATGATCACCCTTATTTTCAGGATGCCTAAATGGATCAAAATGACCTGTCCATCCAGCATAATCATTTCGTCTAAATGCTTCAAATCTATCTGGTAGAAAAACATTTTTAAAGTAGTCTTTCAAAAGTGCTTTTTGCTTACTTGATTCATCTTTAATCTTTTCAGTCCAGAGCTCCAAAGATTCCTTAAAGATTTGAAAGATAGACCTTTTGTCATGAATAAAAGTAGCACCAATACGTTGGGAAAAATCTACTCGTTCTATTTCATAGGAACCATGTTTGTCTAATTTTCGTGCCCAACTAATTATTCTAATAAATTCTAAATGAAAATATTGTGAGAGTCCGTAGGTAGTTACCAATTTTTCTATCACGGAATTATCCTCACTTTCTATTGCTGCATGTAACTCGTAGCCTGAAAAGCCTATTTGAAATAATACCCAAGCACTGCAATGTCTTAATTCTGGACCGTTGCATTTTCTTGAGGCACAAAAAAACGAACACAGATCCGATTTTGACCAATTACTCATCTCTGAGGTTTTTAAGAGTAAGGTGTTAGCGTTAGCTGGTGAATTCATTTTTACTTTTTTTAAATGATGAAATGGTTCAACTTTTATTATAACAGACTTTCGTCCATAAATTAAAACCGATAAAATATAATAAATTGTTTGTAATTGAGATACCAGGAAGAACCTCCTCTGTTCTAATGGCATAATCCTAAGCTTTTTTGTTCTATAAAAAAAAGATGAAAAGGTAAAAAGGCATGGGTGGAGTTCAAACACTGAAGCTGTTTAAATTTTCTTTGCAACAAAGAGTGCCCAATCAGCTCTTGGTTTAAGAGTCTTTCCATCTTCTAATAGCTCTGTAGACATATGTCCAGCAAACATTTCAGTGTCATAAATTGTTCCGTTATCATCGACAACAATTGGAACACTGACATACCCTCTTGGAATAACATCTTGATCAATAATAGGCCATTCCATTGTGGTTGTTTCCCCCCAAATATTCACAGATTTTTGATCTCCCACCCAATGACCTTTATCTGAGAATACGCAAAATGAAGTTATCCAACCAGACAAATAGGAAGGACCTGATCCACCACCACAATGATGGGCAACTCTATTCCACCATTCCTTATCAGGATTTCCTTTAATAGATTCCACAAATTTGTCCAAAACTGGGAATAATAGTTTGGACCATTTTTTCATACAGTTTTCCTTTGTATCAAATTCCAATAATCTATTTGCTCTTTCTCTAATTGAAACCCAATCCTCAACTTCGCCCAATAATGTTACATTTGGTAAATTGCAACACAAACTAAACATGTAATCAAAATAATTTTTCATAGCAGCCATTAATACAACTGCACCAATCATTCGATCTGTTTCGGTAGTTGTTGTAAAATCTGGCATTATCCATTCTCTTACACTTGGATCCTTAATATTCTTTGCAATTTGTGTTGTCATATCTAATGAAAGAGAAGCATAATCTGCAGTCATCAAAGTACCTCCTCCATACACAATTAATTGTTTCTTTCCTTCAAAATCCACGAATTTGTCTCTCAATTCTTCTGATCTTCCATTTACATAATTGGAAAATTGAGTACAAATAGCAAGCCATACATCATCTGGTTTAATTACCCAATTATGATGACTAGAATAGGCAATAGCAGCACTCATCACAAATGAATTCTTTCCCAATGCAATAGGCTTTACAGGAGAAGCATCTAAACTTGATCTAATTTTTTGATAGGTTACTTTCTCTTGCCTTTGTCCAACATAATAATTGTCAGTGTTAGATTGATTCGGAAGAACCTCTTCTACAACAAACGGTTGGTGATAATCTCTAACTGGGGTTGCTTTAACAGATGATACTTCAAAGGTAATTGGCATTTTTTTTGATCTTTCTTATTTCGATCATGAAAGAAAAGTTTGAGAAATAAATAGATCAAGGTTCATCATTTTCCTCGGAACTTGGTACACGGTGATTACTAGAGTTAACAATCAAGTAATTTAATTTTCAATGATTCCAAATTGGGAATGGAATTTTCTCCAATAACTTGTTGAGTAAATTCTTCTTCATTGGTTTCCGAGGTTAGAAATTTCCTAGCCTCCTCCAATTTATTCTCATAATATTCTAAAGTTTCCTTCTTGCTTTCCGTCGACGATTGTAAATTTAAAATTTCAATTCTACATTCAATCATGAATAGCTTTCTTTCTGTGATCAAAGTTTCAGAGTTGATTGGTGTAGTGCTTTTTGCAGCTGTGTTTTCCTTCCTGGTTGCTCCAGATAAATAACGGTTAGGTCCATAGAACGTTCTCATATTTTTTTTGAATTTATTGTTAAATTTTTGTAAAAAACTTGGAAAAATCTTGAGAAGAAAAATAATTGGATATCAGAGGAAATTAAAATTTATCTGAAACAGGAACAACCAAATTTTCTTCTATTTGGTTGGCTTGTTGGAGTGTTTTCTTGTTCTTGTTTGTTATCAGCTGTAATTGTTTGTGGTTCTTGTTTGTCAATTGAAGAGGTGTTTGGAGAGGAGGTGTCGATAATGTGATAGGCAATGTCAGTAACTATTGATTTCAACTTTCTTAGGTTGACATTCTTGAGAATGATTGATTTTTCTGTGGAATCTCTTCCCATGTGATAGTCAATCTTGAGAGCCAATACATGATCGATAATTAAAAAGTCAACATTTGTAATTTCAAATCTAACTTCCAATAAGGAAATGAGGTAGACAGCTCCTGAGCATAGAGATTCACGAGTTTGATGAGATAGTGTAGATAATTTCTTTGAAACACTCTTTCTGATTTCTTCAATAGTATTCATGCTCTTCATGAGTTGATTATTCTTTTTACAATAATCATTCAATAGAATATTCTTAAAGTTTTCAATTGCTTTTTGAATGTCATGAATGCACTCTTCGTAATTTTCTTGTTTCTTATTGAATTCATCAATGCACTTATTTAAAACATTCTTCTCAATAATATTTCCTAATCTTTCGTAAACATCCTTTCCAGTTTCTGCTATATTGTTGGTGATATTCAAAATCTCATTTCCCATTTTAGATAATTCCTTCTTGATACTATTCGAATAGTTTCTCTTGGCAGTGTTCAATTCCTTTTGGGCTTTTTTCAACTCAACTTCAGCATGAAGCTTATCCTTGATGAATGCCAAACATTTTCTCAGGGTTGACTCTTCTTTTTCAATTTCTTTTTCAATTTGTTCATTGGAAGAAGTTGGAATTGGCTCTTCCTTCTTCTTTCCTGCTGCTTTGAAACTTTCAATGGCATGTTTGATGAGGAATGCCAATTTCTCAAGTCCTTTAACTTTTCCTTTAATTTTTGGACCTGTAGCAGTTTGTGAAAATTTGAATTGTACACTAATTCCTTCTGCAAGTTCAATTTCGGCACCAAAAGAACACTCTCCTGAACTAGGTTTAAACATAACTTCAGCTCCAAATTTGAACATGTCCAAAAACTCAATCATACCAGAAACCTTAAATTCTGGTAATTCAAAATTATTTGGAATAAATTTGAGGTAAATTTCAGGGCAATTTTCAATTGAAATTAGTTTGCTATTCTTCTCACCACTCTCAGAAGTAGATGATGGAAATAAATCCTGGATTAGTTTGAAATCAACTTTATCCTTTTCAGATTCTTCCTTCTTCAAACTCTTATTTTCAACAACAATCAATTTTTGTTGTAACTTCTTGTCAATATTAAATCCACTAACAACAATGTTTCCATCCCACAAATTGAATGAAGAAACCTTGCCAAACAATTGAATTCCATATTTCGGAGAAATAACTGAGGCAATTATTCCTTCAATTTTTTGACCATTCAAGATATTTGGTAATTCGATCAAAATATCAGAAAAGAGAGTAATACCCATTGGAATCTTTCTCTGTTTGACAACCATATCACCTGAAGCAATATTTAGAGTAGTGTAGCCGTCTCTAATCATCATGGTCTTTGCAGAAAGTCCAATGCCTGCCTTCACAATTCTAATGTATTCGTATTCTTCCTTAATTGAACTAAACTTGACATTAATCATTAGTTCGGTCAATTGCACAATATCTTTGAATCCTAAGTTTTCCAAGTATAATATAATGAAATCGTCCACAATATTCTCATTAATCGAGAGGTACATTCCGCACTTTTTGTCATTTACCAAAGTTGCATTACACCGAATAGAAGCTCCAGAAGGCAGGCCTGTTGTTGCAATCGTTGCATAATTGATGTCTACTCCAAGTTCACAATCACTGATAGCAGTGAGCCATTTCAACCCAAAAGGATGTTTCCAATCTCCTTGCATTCTTCCAGTCAATTGGACATCAGTCGTGCTGATGATTCCTTCAAGGGAAAATAGTAATGGCGATGGCTTTTCATCTATCTTGACAGTAATTTTCTTATCTTGTGCGATATCCAATACTTTTTCTATTGATTCGTTTAGAATATTCAAAACTCTTTCGAATACATTTACAGGAATCAGTTCAACACCAACCTGTAACACAACTTCTGTGTTTTGAGAGAAAGATAGAGCAAATGACATTGGTACGAATGCTAGACGACTTCCAAGTGGAAATTTCAAGTTTCTGAACTCAACACCCAAACCAACTTGAGCAGGTTGTAACATATTTCTGCCATTTCCAATAACCATTCTTAAAATTGTATCAAAATTAATACTAAATTCTTGGGATGTTACATAATGATAGTCATCAGTATTTATCATATCATCTTTTCTTACCAATCTTGATGATATCAGTAAATAAAGAAATTGGAATGAATATTTGAGTTGATCATTCATTTCATACCACTTGTTGTTATTCGATTCTAATACCAATATGAGATTTAAAGTATTGGATTTGATATCAAAATTGAGATCACCAATAGAATTCATAGAAAGTAAGTCCTTATTTCTTGAGGTTTCGTATGCATAATAATAATCCAAAGTACTTAAAATAATATAACCACTCTTGAATCTAATGTATTTCTCGACTTTTTGAATTAGGGTCTGAATTTCTGGTTTGTCTTTGAAAAGAATTGAAATTCCTTTCTTCTCTGATGAGTTATTAGTGGCTGCTACTACCATTGAAGATTCCTTCTTGGGATCTGCTAATATGGTTGGAAGAGTTTCCTGAACTTCACAATTCAAACTATTATCCAGCCCACAAACAATCATAAATTGAGGTATAAAATTGTCCAACTTGGTAGTAAAATAAATCTTGCTCACTAATACAATACCAGTTTCAGCGAACTGAATTTTACAATCCATTCCCATTGCAATAGTAGTTGGTGTCAAAATGCTATATTGGAAGAAGAGTGTAAGTGATTCTTTCTTCAGCTTGAATAAATCAGTTGATGGTAAATTCAGCTTTTGCATCAGAGCATTAATTGATTCTTCATCTTGATTTAACTGAACTAAACCAAGAAATGAAAGTGTGGTTGGGTTGAATTGAATAGAACATTTCAACTCTTTTATGAGTTTGAAGATGGAAATATTACAAGAAATGACAATTCCCTTCTTGATAGAAAAGCCATTAAAAGCACATTCGGTTGTTGAGATGGAAAATGTTAAATCTTTTAACAAAAGTTCACTATTTTCATCTGTTGACTCCTCTTCCTCCCCCGAATTGAACAATTTACCAAAAATACGAGAAATTGATTTGATTGATATTGGATCCAAACGTGTGGCAACCAATGCCTGAATATCATCATTGAGAATTCCTCTAAATTTGAAATCATGCGTTCCAGCACGAACAGTGCATTCAATCAAGAGCTCTAAACTCAATGAAGAATAATTAAAAGAAACCAAAGCATTTTCAATCACCATCTTGGGTATTCCAAGAGCATTTTCCCATTTTACAATTATTCCAGAAACGTTTCCATCAGTATCCATTTCAACATTGCTCAACTCTACTGATTCCAAAGTAGGAATACCAGAATTAAGTTTGCATTTAGCATTCAAATCAAATTTGGATGAAATTTCACTAGATGTAACTTTCGTATTAAGAGCTAGGACTGGATCTATTAAAACTAATCTGTTTTTTTCGTTTCTAATTGGATTTCTAAAAGAACATGAAATACTATCGGCACTATTAATTTTCAATTCTGCTTCAAGATTTTTCAAATTTTCATTCTTGTACAGCTCAGGAAGATTTTTTGACAGGAATGACAAATCCTCGATCACAAAATCAATACTGATCGTGAATGGCTTGTAAGTTGAACTTTTCTTTGGTATAGAAATGGACTTGATCAAAAACTTGGCATTAAAAAACTCTTTAGAAACCTTATCAATTTTCAACTTTTCATTATTGAATTGATTATGATTGAAAATGGAGAGAATTGTTGAAAGGGAAAATTGTTCATTATTGGTGAGAGAAATATTCAACAATTGTTCATCTTCACTGTTGATAGATGCACTGATTTTAATAGAAATATTGTTGAAGAGAAGTTGTTTATCGTCGGTGAGTTGGCATGTGGATGAATTTATCAGCAATTTAATCTCATCATGGACGAGTGAAATTTCTGACATTTTTTTCAGATGAAAGTTGAAGCTTGCCATATTTATTTAGATTTAAATGGCAATAATAGTTTGGTTGACTGGGATATTGTGTTTTGCTCAATAATAATTGACTCAACATATTATAGTAACTGAATATCTTACATTATCAAGTATTTCAAAATATTTACAATTAATTCTTCTTTTAAATTCAAGAATGGTGATTTACATGAAACTCTCATTTAAATCCTGCCCACCATATGATGGTTCAATCACCTCATCCATATCTTCAATATATCCATCATTTAAATCAAAAACAATTGATCTGCCAACTTCATCCATTTCCTCCTGAAGGGCAGCTTCTTCATCTTGATATTCAATTTGTTCTTCATCCTCTTCTTCAGTATATTCATCAGCCATTAAACTTGTTGATGGACTATTAGATCGGTACATTGAATTCATGTTTTGTTGTTGTCTTTCCAATGATAATTCATATTCCCGAGCAAGAACATCCCTTTCTTTTGCTCCTTCTGTTGATACTGCTGAAAATAATTGTAATTGGAAATGTTCTAAATATTCTAAAACAAGTTCTTCTTCTATAGGATGAGGATTATCTGTATGTTGAGTTGATTTACTGTCACTACTCAAGTACCAGAATAATGGCTCGGCACTTGTCATTTGTTCGAATAGAGACATTTTTAATTAAAAAAATATAATATTAAATTTGGGCGGCATTTGATTTTGGAGGGATGTTATCAATTTGCTTGATTGACTGTTGTTCGATTTCTTTGAGATATTGTTCAGTGTTTTCATCCCTCTTTACTCCATGGTTAACATTTGATGAAAATCCAACACTCTTGTACAATTCAAAGAATGAATGTTCTGGGATAAGTTCTGGTAATTTACAATTATTTACCATCATGTTCGAAACTGTAGCATAGGCAATAGCTTTAAGATTTCAATAAAGATATTCACAAAGAAAACACTTACCAGTATGTATGTAATTGTAACCACCTAAATTGTTTTGGTAAATCAAATTGAGAAAATATTCGAAACTTACCTCCACCAACAATAATCGTTACCTTTGACTTTAACTCATTCTTTACAAAATTGGTTACATATTCGAAACTTTCCAAACTCAAATTCCATGTACCAAGAGGATCTCCATTCAGATTATCAGCTCCCATCACTAGAATAACAACTTCTGGTTCAAACTTTTCGAATGATTTTGCAATTACTGAAGTGAAAATTCTCTCAAAATTCTTATCTGACAATCCCTCTTTTAGTGGCACATTGAGATTGTGATATTTTCCTCGACCTGTTCCATTATTATCAGTGGTACCAGTTCCTGGATAGAGTCCAGGTCCAAATTGATGGAATGATACTGTAAATACTCTCTCACTGCTAAAGAAAGCCTCTTCAGTTCCATCACCATGATGTATATCTATATCAATACATAGAATCTTCCTTCTTTTAATCAGTAATGATAGCATTACTACGTCATTAACATAACAAAATCCAGCTGCCCTTGATTTTCTTGCATGATGTCTTCCACCTTCAAAATTCAAAATGGTCAATCGTTCCTCACTAGAGCTACTCTTCAAAAAGTGATTTACCTCTTTTGCTATGGCATTGCAGGACCCACCAATATAAAGAGCATAATTAAACTATTTGTAATATTTCAATAAAATCCAATTTCATTTATCCATACCATTCCCTTAAAATCATGAGCATCATCCACCAATCCAAATTGTTTTTTTAATTCCTCAATATCAGTTGCATCATCATTATCACTATTTGAAGATTCATCACTCGATACTTCTTCATCACTCATATCTTCCTCTTTATCACCCAATGACGATCTTGCTTTCAAACTTTTATCGATTTTATACAATGCATGAACGTATTCTTTTGAGTGATAAATTTGTAAATCCTTCATCAGAGCCTTTTCTGGTTCAATGCTTTCCACTTTTTCCAAAATTCCAAAAGCCTCTTCTCACATATTCAACAAATTATATTTCAATCATCACACTAACCTATCAGAGAATGAACAAGTTCCGATCTTGAAGGTAATTCATCAATTTCCTCCTGTATTAAATTAGCAGCACTACCATAAGGTTGTTCCGAATGTCTATTATATGCTGGTAGTTTTGAACAGGCATTCAAATACCTCTCACTGTGAACATATTTGATAGTATGATAATCGTTATCATTATCTTTCATTTTTTTAAATTTAATTTATTGTTGTTGTTCCACTTTTTGTTAGACATTTTGAAACTAATAACGATAAATAACAATAAAAACAATTGGCGCCATTCTTAAAGCAGACCTCAAGATTTAATTAAGGAAAAACTTGTTCGATTTTTGTCAAGAGGCCATCTGCTTGTTATTATTAACAACTCACTGTAAACCTGAACTCTTGTTTACAATTTAACGCACGTCTCAAAACACGCAAAATCAATGTGCGTCGCAAGGAGTCCATCAGAAAATGACCAAGTAAAATTCTCTGCATTTTGGTGTGGCATCTTTGAAAGAGCGCCACAAAGCCTAATACTTTATCAGAGAGCAGAATTTGGGCTTGACAATATCGATTTGAAAATTCTTCGATTTTAATTTAAAAATTTAAAAAAAAAATGTTGCTTCGTAAATCATCAAAATTATTCAATACTTCATTGTTGAAGAGTACTTCCTGCATGATGGGAAGTAGAATGTTCTCCCAACAATTGAATAGAGTTTCCGGTAGTAAAGGACCAACAGAAATTGATATTTCTGGTGTGATGGACATTCCAAGTAAACAAGCTCCTCCAGAAATTCTGCGAACACTTCAAGAAAGAGTTGATAACGTTAAAAAGGAAGCAAAACTTGGTGGAGGTGTTGAAAGAATGGAAAAACAACATCAAAAGGGAAAGCTTACAGCCAGAGAACGTATTGATCTTCTCGTTGATGAAGGATCATTCAGAGAATATGATGCTTTTGTTAGACACAGAGCCACTGACTTTGGAATGGAAAAGGATAGACCAGCAGGTGATGGTGTTGTTACTGGTCATGGTACAATTAATGGAAGATTAGTTTTTGTTTTCAGTCAAGATTTCACTGTTTTTGGTGGATCTCTCTCTGAAACTCATGCTCAAAAGATTTGTAAGATTATGGACAAGGCTATGGAAGTTGGTGCTCCAGTTATTGGTATCAATGACTCTGGTGGTGCTAGAATTCAAGAAGGTGTTGCCAGTTTAGCTGGTTATGCTGAAGTTTTCCAACGTAACGTTAATGCTAGTGGTGTTGTTCCACAAATTTCCTTGATCTGTGGACCATGTGCTGGTGGTGCTGTTTACAGTCCTGCAATGACTGATTTCATTTTCATGGTTCGTAACACAAGTTATATGTTTGTTACTGGTCCTGATGTCGTTCACTCTGTCACTCGTGAAACTGTTACTTCCGAACAATTGGGTGGTGCTCAAACTCATACTCAAGTCAGTGGTGTTGCTCATCGTGCCTTTGACAATGATATTGAATTAATCAAATACACTAGAGAATTCATCAGCTATTTGCCATCAAGCAACAGAGAAAATGCTGAAAGTAGACTTCTTGCTACAAATGATCCAGTTGATAGAAAGGATATGAGTTTGGACTTTGCTGTTCCATCTGATACTAATGCTCCATATAACATGCTCTCTTCAATTATTAAGCCAATTGTTGACGATCATGCTTTCTTTGAAATTATGCCAGATTATGCTAAGAATATTATTACTGGTTTCGCTCGTATGAATGGTGAAACTGTTGCTATTATTGCTAACCAACCTTGCGAATTGGCTGGTGTTTTGGATATCAACTCTTCTATTAAGGCTGCTCGTTTTGTTAGATTTGCCAATGCTTTCAATATTCCAATTTTGACCTTTGTTGACGTTCCAGGTTTCTTGCCAGGTACTGCTCAAGAATACGGTGGTATTATTCGTCACGGTGCTAAGCTTTTGTTCGCTTATGCTGAAGCTACTGTTCCAAAGATTACTGTTATCACTAGAAAGGCCTACGGTGGTGCTTATGACGTCATGTCTTCAAAGCACTTGAGAGGTGACTATAACTATGCTTGGTCTACTGCCACAATTGCTGTCATGGGTCCAGAAGGTGCCGTTAAAATTATTAAGGGTATTGAAGGAGAAACTCAAAAGGATCGTGAAGAAACTTATCGTAATAAGTTTGCTACTCCACTTCTTGCTGCTGAACGTGGATTCTTGGATGATGTTATCAAGCCACACGAAACTAGACAAAGAATTATCGAAGATTTGGAAATTTTAAGAACAAAGAAGAAGGAAAATCCAACCAAGAAATTATCCAACATTCCATTGTAAACAAAAACTATTTAATTAAATTATACTATTGTAAAACTCCCACTCTTTGTTTTCTGTTTTGGAGATACTAAATCTGAAAGAAGCAAACCAATAGATAAAGAAAGATGGATCACCAACAAGTCAGCAATAAACTTGATTCCAGACTGCAGCTCATCACTTTGATCTCTATCGTAAAATTTAGCAATGCCTGTGACACCATAAGTACTTGGTACCAGTAAATCCAAACAACTAAGGGTTTAAGAGAATGAGTTGTTTCTTATGAATAAATACTTACTTGATTGAGATGACCAACTCTGGTCTATTTGTTACATACGCATAAATATTAGCAATGGTTCCTCCTTATTATTAATTATTATTAATTTTGAGTTTCAAAATGAAATTAATAACCTACCAATAAAAGCTCCTAGAAGACAAGACATTTCCTCCCCAACAAAGTCATCTGTTACTGTGGTTGTAACATAGACAGCATATGAAACTAGAACAACAAATCCAAATGTTGGCAAGTGAATGGTCTTGATCTTTCTAATCATGTAATGATAAAAAGTTGTGAAATTGTAAAAAACATCATTGTCAGAATAAAAATGTTGCTCAGAATTTGGATCCTTGAAAACAATGGGCAATTTGTAATCCAAATAATTACCCAGAATGATTGTAGGTAAACAAAGACATCCAAGCCAAAGTGGTAATTCCTCTCTATCATCCTGTCCATTCTTGAAATAATTTTCCTCCAACATTGAAATATTGAATAAATAACTAATCTTATCAGCAACAACTATTCCAAATCCCATCTGAAAAATTCAGCATTATTAGAATTGTGCAAATGAATTAAAACATACCTGTAGAATGAGAACAAACGCGTAGAAAACTCTCATAGACCCAGAAACTAAATTCTTTGTAGCCAACTCGGATATTCCATTTGTAAAACTGACATGAGGAAGCAAACCGAATAGTGCACAAAGTGTCACCAGAAAGACAGAAAATGGATATTTGCCCCTGTCCTCCTCAGTCAACATTTTGGAGAAAATAACCTTAGTAAGAGAAGCAACTGTACCTGCAACAATGGCAGAAATAAATGGATTGACTCTATTAAAAGATGGATATTTTTCAGCAATTACAACAAGAATTCCTGTTGCAATGCCCACGATTAAACCGCACAACATTTCCATCCATGATCCATCATAGTACATTACCCACATACTTGCTGAAATAAGATTGGCAATAAATAATCTGATAGCAGATCTCACAAAAGAATATCTCGAAATAATTGTTCTAATTCTTCCTCTTAAATCATCAATTAAATTTGAAAGTGATTCAGGATTATTTTCTGTAACGGCCATTAACTCTGGAATTTCCGAAGCCAATTGATCCAACTCACATAATTTAACCAAATCCATATCTTCCAAATCATATTCATCCAATTTTACAACATAAAACTTTGATTTAGAGAGGTATGCATTACTGTTATGAGTAACTATTCCATCTCCCTCCTCATATTCATCATTCCTATTTAAATTAAAATTTGGGGTAAAGCAAAACCACAAACTTGATGGTGTATATCTAAATTCACATTTCTCCAATGGAAAACAATCAAATAATGTTTTCAAATGCATTTCCAATCTATGTGATGGTACTCCATAAATTCCCAAAGCATACGATAAATCAATAAATAATCCGTGAACCTTTTCTTGCAATGATATTTGTACTGGTTTCTTTTCCTCGTTTTGTTTAGTAAAATAATCCTCCTCCTTTTTAAAAGATTGTTTTTTCATTATTGCAAAATCACTCCGTATTGGATTTAAATTATGTTCACCCTCTGGAGGCTTGAACGAACTCAACTCTGAAAATATTGTATTAGCCTTCTCTTGATTATTACTCGGAGGACTTCCTCCACTCGTACTCGAGCTATATTGTGCCGAGAGAAGACCCGTTGTCTCCCCATAGACATTATTAACTGTATTGTTGTTTTGGTTTAATTTATCAAATAAATTCTCCTTTTTCTTGCTGCCAAAGAGAAAACTCATTTTTTTTATTTTTTATTTTTAGAAATTCTTGCAGATTTTTGAAAAATCTTGAAATTGAAGAATTCAAGTTAAAATTAATGATTGCATTAAATTACCAATTTAATGGAGTGCCATCAAACTGAACATATGAGCCATTTTGCTCATCCTTAAAATTATCAATTACCTTAACAATTCCTGAAACACCAACATCAACTGTCAATGGAGCATTATTTCCACCTTTTTAAGAAAAAACACAAACTTAAATTAATATAATAGTACTAAATCATCACTTACCCAGAAAGATTAAGTCATAATGTATATACTGATGTAATACATTGAGAACCTTTTTTCTAAGTTTTGATTGGAATTTCTTGCATTTCATAATTAAAACAATAGATAGTAAGAAAGTATGAACTCACAAGCTCCTTTTTCTTTGAATTTAAGATTACCACATCTTCATTCAAACACGTGTTTGCCTTTTGATCTTTTATTTATTATTAAAAAAATTCAATAATTATCAAAATATAAAAAAATGAGATCATCAACATTGTCTCACCACACTTTATCATCATGGTGCAATCATCGGGAGATTAAATATTGTACAATAGGTTTATTAGCAATGATGTGTATATTATTATTAATAGGTTTTGGATCTGCGAATGGAGAAATTGGATCTTCTAGTAATTCTAATAATTTATTGTCGGATATTAATCCAAAATACAAGATTAAAATTACAGAAAATATTAATGTTTTATCGGATGTTGAAAATATGGATATTGTATATATGAATTTTGAAAAGGAACTTCACAGATGTCACATTCCAGTTAAAAAGAATAATTCACAATCTGAGGAAACTGTGAAAAAAGAAACCCTTGAAGAAAAGACTGAAAGAATTAAGAAGGAAATTGTTGAAAATATTTTCCCAAAATTTATCAGTAATTGTTATTTCAGAATTGCTGGTTGGTGGTTATACGAATTTTGTTTTAACAAATTTGTAAGACAATTCCATCAAGAGCAACATACTGTCACAAATGAATACTTTTTAGGATATAGTAAGGAACAATCACCTACCAATAAGAATGTCAAATATTTTGATATCAATTTTAATGAGCAAACTCCAGAGGAGAGCTATATTTCAATTCCATTCGAAAAGGGAACACCATGCGATTTGACAAAACAACCAAGAACACTAGAATTGAGAATGTATTGTGCCACCGATTTAAAGAGAAGGCAGTTAACCAATCCTAATGCTCATGGTGAAGCAAGTGCTCACTTTGTTGGTGACATTGAAGAACCAAGTACTTGCAGCTATTCTTTGAAATTCTATTCTAATCACTTGTGTAAATTGGAAGGTTTCGCACCAAAGAAAGAATATGAAAGTAACACTATTTATTGCATTCCAGAGACTGTTTTTTCTAATGAAGAGAAGGATGTCGATTTAATGAAAGCCATTACTGAAGAATCAGAAAAAATCCTCATGAGTGATGATCTTGATTCTGATGTCGTTACATCAACTGAAATAATTGGAGGCGAAGAAACCAAAACTGAAAATCAACAATCAGAAAACAACGACGAAAACTCAAAGACTGAAACCACCTCTACTCCACCAATTGATGCTACTACTAGTTCCACAACAACACAAGACAGTACAACTCCTCCTGAAACTATTGCCGAAAAACAAGAAGAGAAATAAAAAACAAGATGAAGGTTTAGTTTTCAAGTTGAACTATCAGTAATAATGTATAATCCATAGAGTGATTTTGAATGATATTGGAGCAAAATTTGTCGTGTCCATACTCAATTATTTAAAAAAGTTACTACAAGAGTTTCTTGCTTTTGATGGACCATCAAAAGTATTAATAAGACCAACAGTTTTAAAAAAATACTCATCCTAGATATTCGGTAACAAGGAATATGGAAGTGCGTTAAATCAACTCGTTGATGCCTTGCGATTGCGGGTTTCTTCTTCGCAAAACAGGCTTTAATGATGAAATCAAGATAATATATTGATGGAAGGATCAGCTAATAGTAGATAGTACTAAGAATAATTTCCTATCAATCCATTAACTGGAGTGAAACAAGGTTTCTAAGAGTTTCTGAAAAACCACAATGTTCAAAGACACTAACTCCGTAAATAATGGCCATCAAGAAACCTTTAATTATTTGTCGTCTAATGAGTTTAAAAAGACTATTTGAATTGACAAAGATGATTATTTGAAACCGTATAATAGTTAATTGTTTATTTACAAGACCAACAAATCAATGTTGGTGAAAAGTGCTTCTATCTTGAGAGCAATATGTTATTGTCATGATTCGATTCTCACAAATTTTGTCTCTTCGCCATTTTTGTGCACTAATCACTACAGTCCCTCTTTGTTGTCCTAAAATCAAAAATAGCTAGCAAAAAAGAGCGCGTTTTTTGTGTTTGCCATTGTAACCCAACTCCACCCTCTCTTGCAATCAAAACTCTCCAGAGAAAAAAAATACATCCATTCAACACTTTCACCCCAAGTTGCAAGAAGATACTTCAAACAACATACTTCCCTCCAACTTTTAGCAATACTTTTTTAAATTTACCAACCAATCCATAGGATCATCAACCTATTGGTAATATACAAGAAAGATCAATTCCAATCCTATGAATTAGAGACACAAACGGAACACTTTTAAAACCGTAACACTTGTGCCAAAGGATTTATTTGTAGTTTCTCCCAACCTACCATCATACTTTTAAAATTCACCAGTATTTCAATATTAATTGTTTAAATACTCCCATCCAATATTTCCAATATATATATAAGTTCTCCCAACCATCATCACCATGAAATACGAATCATATACAGAACAAATGAATAGTGTCCCTTTAAAAAAGAGATTCCACTCCCAATCCAAGACCTCTCCTACTCACCCAGAATTTAATATGACAACCTCTCCAACTCAACATTCTCCACAACCAACAACACCTCCAACCATAATTAATACAACTACTACACCTCCTCCAAGTGATAATAATAATCAAAATACTTTGGATAGTAGTAACGATTCTATGATGATAACTACCACCATTGATAACTCTACTTTACCACCTTCTACCCCTATCAAAGAAGAGGTAAAAACAGAAAAACCTCTTACCGCACTTTTATCACCAACTTCAACAACAATTGATGCCCTAGCATCATTACACCTTCAAAGTGTATCAGCTTCAAACTCGCCCTCTAACGAATCCACAACCACCACTACTTCTTCTTCTACTTGTAATTCTTCATCACCTGAAGATTCTGGGTCAAATAGAAAGGAACCAACTACAAGTAGTAGTAGTAGTAATACCAATTCTTCAACCTCCTCTATTACAGATTCACCAAATTCATCAAACAAAAAGAGAAGACAATTTATCAATAGAGCCAATAAGAAAAAGGAAGACAAAGGTGACTCTGATAGTGGTGAAGACTCTGATGATTCTGAAAACGATTCCAGTGAAGAGGATGAAACACTCTATTGCAAGTGTAACAGACCAGCTTCTTATGGTTGGATGATCGCTTGTGACCGTTGTGATAAGTACGTATTCTTTACTATCTTATATTTATTAACATTACCTTTTAATAGATGGTTTCATGGAAGATGTTTAGGTTTAAAGAAATATCAAGCAAACTCTATTGGCACCTATATTTGCCCTGATTGTGAAACATCAAAGAAGAGGAAGTCTACTTCTATTAATCCTTCTCCTTCAAAGTCTGGAAGAAACAACAGGTCGGAAACAACAGCATCATCTCTAGCCAAAGATTTACCACCAAAACAAATCACTAACCATCTGTAAATTTGTTTGATTTGTTCATCACATAACTTATTTAAATGTACAAACTAATAAATTGGACACTAGAGAATTCTATGTTTAGAAGTATTATATTCAAATTTAACCACTAAAAGGTTAATAGTTCAATTAATTTCTATTACTTGAAATGATCAATTGAACACCAAATGAATGGTTTGTAACCAGCTATTTCTTGTGCGAGAACCAAATATTGTCTAAGCTTGAAGTTTTATCTTCTAAGAGGATTCTCTGTAAAGTGGCACTTATCTGGGTTGAACGAGTGGTTTTCAATCTATTCAACTACGAAAAGGGTCTCTGTCAACATTGAAGAGAGAATGCAGGCCATGATTGGCATATGATTTACAATAATTTTTCTCCGTTTGTTTGGCGAATAGGGATTTTGTGCTCGTCAGAAAAACTCCAACAAAAAAAATGTCTACCAACTTTAACTACGATTACACCAGGTAGGTTTCAGAGCAATAACCTAGTGCTCATCAATTTTGTGCGAATTTTCCTATCTTCTTTAATTTACGACACATTAAAATTATATGTCGATTGATTAATATTAAAATGCTTTTCATCATTCATAATATTATTATACAACAACAGTACTTTGACTGATGAATTTGGCCATCCAGTTGCTGATAACAACAATTCCCTCACAGCTGGCAATAATGGACCAATCCTTTTGCAAGATACTTATTTGATCAGCAAATTGGCCCACTTTGATCGTGAAAGGTTAGTATTATAAGACATTGTTTTATTAATTTTATACATTTTAATTGTTGCATTATAATAGAATCCCAGAAAGAGTTGTTCACGCAAAGGGTGCTGGTGCTCATGGTTATTTTGAAGTCACTCATGATATCACTAAATTCACCAAGGCTGCATTCTTGAATCGTGTTGGTAAGAGAACTCCAGTTTTTGCTCGTTTTTCCACTGTTGGTGGTGAAAAGGGTAGTGCCGATTCTGATAGAGATCCAAGAGGTTTTGCTGTTAAATTCTATACTGAAGAAGGAAATTATGATTTTGTTGGTAATAATACTCCAGTTTTCTTCATTCGTGACACTATTAAATTCCCAGATTTTATCCATACCCAAAAGAGAAATCCACAATCAAACTTGAAGGATCCTGATGCATTCTGGGACTTTTTGAGTTTGACTCCAGAATCAGTTCACCAACTTACTGTTTTGTTCAGTGATAGAGGTACACCATTTTCTTATCGTCACATGAACGGTTATTCTGGTCACACTTTCAAATTGGTTAACTCACAAGGTGAAGCTTTCTGGGCTAAGATTCACTTCAAGACTGAACAAGGTATTAAGAATTTGACTGTTGAAGAAGCCACTCGTTTGGCTGGTGAAGATCCAGATCATGCTACTCGTGATTTGTTCAACTCAATTAAGCAAGGAAGCAGCCCAGCTTGGAAGGTTTATTTCCAAATTATGCCAGTTGATGATGCTGCCAAGTACAAAGTTGATGTTTTTGATATTACTAAGGTTTGGGCACACAAGGATTATCCACTCATTCCAGTTGGTAGAATGGTTTTGAATCGTAATCCAAACAATTACTTTGCCGAAACTGAACAATCTGCATTCTCTCCATCTAACTTGGTTCCTGGTATTGAACCATCCCTTGACAAGATGCTCCAAGGTAGACTTTTCTCTTATCCAGATACTCACAGACATAGATTGGGCGCTAACTATGCTCAAATTCCAATTAATGCTCCACTTAAGGCTAAATTGAACTGTCAATTCAGAGATGGTTCCATGACTGTCAATGGTAACGGTGGTTCTGCTCCAAACTATGAACCAAACACATTCGGTGGTCCATATGAAGCTAAGCAATTGATTGAACACCCAACTAAGGTTCAAGGTGCCATTACTCGTTCCAAGCCAAATCATCCAAATGATGACTACGTCCAAGCTGGTACTTTGTATCGTGAAGTTATGACTGAATATGATCGTTCTAGACTTGTTCACAATATTGCTTTGCACTTGAAGAATGCCAAGAAGGAAATTCAATTGAGACAATTACAAATCTTCTATAAGGCTGATAAGGATTATGGTCGTAGAATTGCTGAATTGTTGGGCTTGCAAAACTTGTAAAATAAAACTATTTATTAATCTAAAAATGGTTCAATAAAGCAAAAGGTGAACATGGAGGAAAAATTGTAAACGAAAGCAAATCCAAAATAGTTCTATCTCTTTGACTACTGGTTAACAATCAAAAAAAATGTCAGATGATGATGATTTTACAGATGAGATGTTCTACGATGATGATGATTTGCAAGAGGAAGAAGAACTAGATTGGCAAACGGTTGTCGAAGAAGAAGACGGGAAGGAAGTGATGATCAACACAAACAATGTAAGATACTGTTATAAGAAAATATTGGGAGTAAATAGAAGGTTTTCCAATCCATACGATATGTGCGTAGATAATAATCAAGAACTGATATTTGTTTGTGATTCAGGAAATAACGCTATTCAAGTGTTTGAGTTAAATACATACGAATGGAAATACAAAATTGATTGTGGTGCAGATATTCCATTTTATATTGAGTTCAATCCAGAGGATTCAACAATATTATTTGGATCAAATGATAATACATTGTACAAATATTCAGTCTTTGGAAAATTAATTTGGAAAACTACTGGTGGTTTTAATTTACCTTCTGGAATTGCTATTGATTTCAATTCAAAGGAGCGAAATATTTATCTTTGTGATCAAGCAAATAATAGAATTCTTGTTTTAGATTCCAACGGTAATTATGTGAGGGAATTTGGAAAACATGGAAGTGGGAATTTGGAATTTATTCAATCAAGAAATATTTGTTTCGGAAATGATGATAATTTAATTATTACAGATAGATACAATCATAGAGTTCAAATAATATCTAAGGAGGGAAAGTTTATCAAAAGTTTTGGTAAACGAGGAAGGGAAAATGGCGAGTTCAATGAGCCATGTTCTGTCTGTGTTGAGAAAAGAACTGGAAATATTTATGTTTCAGATAGCTTTAATGATAGAATACAGATATTCACATCTGAGGGAGAATATCTCGAGAGTGTTACTGGTGTTGATTATCCTCTGGGTATCTCTTTGAATGACCGAAATGGAGACCTACTTGTTACTGAGTGGAGATCAGGCAGAGTAGTTATACTGAAAGATAATTTCTTCATTTCAAGATATGAAGAACATATCAGAAGGAAAATGTATAAAACAACTTGGAGATGTGATGTTAGCATCACTTCTGTTGATGATTGTGAATAAACATTGAATAATATGATTTTCAAAGTTTGAAAATATGAATCGAATTTCTCAAAAAGGAAAATAGTCAAAAGAGATTTTTGGGATTTAGTTTTATTGCTTTTTCAGATAATTTGCTCTATTATGCACCTTATCTAATAACAGACAATTCCCATAACCTTGCTTCAATCTTGATTAACATTTCTCTGAGATTTAACTTGGAGAAAACATTCCTTTAATTATTCAAATGGAATTTTCTTTAAATTCGATCAAGTTGAAACAGAAAATATTGAGCTTTGATTTCAGCAATTCTCCTATTAACAATCAAAGCGAATCCTCAACAATCATGTTAAATAGGAGAATAAAATTATAATTAAAAAAAATGCCCAACATGAAAGCTCATCATTCATCATCAAGGAATTTTGTGATGATGTTCTTATTGATGACAATGATGGTATTTTGTTATCATTGGAGTGTTGTTGTGGCATCGAATGATGAAAGATTTAATTTATTGACAAAGTGGATGAGAGAAGAGGAACATTCGGAGGTGAATGATAATTTATTTGAAATTAAACAAGTGGTTGATTTTGGAAAGGCACTTGTTGCCACTAAAGATATTAAACAGAATACAATTTTGTTTAAATTAAAACAAGAGACCTTGCTGGATTCGAAATTTATATTTGAAAAATTATTTAAACATGAGAATGCCAAGTCATTGGATACTTTAAAGAGATTACAGGAAGGGGATTTGTCAATTTTTAATGCAATGGTTTTGATGATTGTTTATTTATTTAATTTGGCTCAATCAAGCAATCCTGAAATGAAGTTTGATGCTGATGCTGTCAAATTCACTCCATATATTGGATCTCTACCAAGACCATTTCGTGATGAAGGTCCAAAAGTAGCATTCCTTTTTGGTGGAGAAGAATTAACATTATTGAAGGGGTCTACATTACTTCCATCAGCTCTTACAAGAAGACAAAGTATTGCCAATTCATTTCAAAAAATTGTCAATCCATTATTGAATGATTTGACAGTATTAGAACCAATTAGAAACACTTCTTCAATTACTCTTGGATTATTTGAACATTTTGTTTCTCTCAGTTGGTCTAGAATTCACTCGATTTATGATTACAGAATCAAGACAGATCGTTCATGTTTTGTTCCATTGGGTGATATTATTAACTTTTCAAAGACTGGTGCAAATGTAATTTCTTACACTGACAAGAAGACCAATGAGCTCATTTTCAAAACATCAAAGAGAGTCAAAGCTGGAAATCAACTTTTTGTAAAGTATGGAAAATTAACTCCAACACTGAATCATATTCTCATGATGGATTATGGTTTTTGTCCATTGGATGATCCAGAAATTGAGTTTTTGAATAATACTATCACTGTTATTGATATGAGAGAATCTGTAATGAGGAGAATGTCCACTGTCGATAAGAAGCTCAACAATCAAAGAGTGCGTTTACTCTCAATGACCTCCCTTGATGAATATCATCTCACACAAACTCTCTACTATAATGATGATAGCTTTAATTTAGTAGAACATACTCTCAGTGAAATATTTGATCCGAATATTATTGCCATTATGAGAATATTGAGCTGTGATTCAGTGGAAATTAAGGCCCTCTCTGATATTGCCAATTCATTAGCACCATTGGATCAGAAGAGAGACATGATTGCTAAAATCCTAATCAACCCAATTTCGGATAGAAATGAAAAGATTGTCATTGAAACAATTAGAGGACTCATCAAACAAAGATTGGATAATATTATTGAAATGATACAAGAAAATGAATCAATACTAGGAAAAAGACTTCCTGTGACCATGTCTCAGAAATGTGCTGTCAGATACATTCAATCAGAAAAGAAAATCCTTGAAATTTACCTCAAAATCCTTACACCAACAACTCGTAAGGATGAATTGTAATTAAACTTGGTTTAAAATAAAAACCTATCAACTTGAAACTGTAAAATATCTGTAGTTTCTAATATTGTAACCACTGACTCGATTGATGGATATAATGATGAAGCATCATTTTCTTCCTTTTTTATTGGAACATGTCAGAACATGATGTTGTGTGAATTTCACAACAACCAATAAAATCATTTTGATTAGAAAAGATGTAGTTTTAATTAGATCAAAAAAAAACAAATAAACAATGGCTCCAGACGTTTCCAAGATTTACGGAAAGATTAAATTCGTTGACAGTTTCCCAGATTATAAAGTTAAAATTGTCGATTCCTTCCCTGATCTCAAAGTTAAACTTGTTGATTCCTTCCCTGATTCTGCAGGTAAATGGAAAATTGTTGATTCCTTCCCTGATTACAAGATTAAAATTGTTGATTCCTTCCCTGATTTTAAGATTAAATACGTTGATTCCTTCCCAGGTGTTAATAAATAAATTAAATAATATTTAACATGTCTTTAATAGTTAGTTTATGATTATTATTATTTCAATTTGATTTGATGCTTGATCCAATACTGATTAAATTATTTCTGTAGTCCTTGGTGTCATCATGAATATCTATTGCAATTGGATTTTCAAGAGTTGGAGATGTCCAAATAGGGTCATACGTTTCTAAATCATATTTCTTAAGGCAATTTTCGAATAGTAGGTAAAAAGCTTCGCCACCATTTCCATCATAATTGCATTCAATCTTTACATTTTTACCAAATATCGAATGTGAAATAGTACAATTCCCTGTAAGTAAATAATGTGGGCTTTTTGGAATATTTGATATGATTGGCAGAAAGTCTTTCCATTCTTTCCACTGTCCATGTTTTGGAGCGTCTATGGTGCAGGTAATGGCATTTGCGATTTGATACATGATATTGTAATATTCATTATTGTTTGCCCAATTAATTGCAAAGTAATCAACAAAAATTCTTCTCAATTCAAGTAAGTGAGAGAAGGAGCAATATTTGAAAGTGTCAAGAGCTAATAGCAATTTTTGATACGACTTCTTAATGGCTATTTCATAATTATCAAATTCATCCTCTAAACCAACATTGTCGATAACATCTTCTGAAAAAGTTGGAATGTTTGTATAGAGACAGCTCCAATTGTAAGTATTCAATGAGTTATTATTGACTGGTGTATTCGATAATATGGATGATGGTTCCTTTTCATCAACACATTGTATATTCTCCACAAGCTCAGAATCCCAGAAAATGTAAAAATGGTCACCATCTAAATCAGCTCCAGATATCAGAGAAGGTACAAATTCTGGTCCTAAAGAGGAAAACACAACTACATCTTTTAAATGGGTCAAGCAATCTTTCTTCACTGCCTGGAATAGTCTCATATCGGATCTGAATAGACCTGGTGTTTTTGTAATGAGAACAGGCCCTTCTATCACTTCACATGTTCCACTACTCTTATTGTAGAAGTTTGTTCTAAACAATCAACAGTTGTTTTGAATGTAACATTTATATTCACACTGTTACATAATTTGAAATAGTTCCAAATAGTTCAATGCTGTTAATTTCTGAAATTGAATTTGAAGAATCCATTTCCCATTCCTATTAAACAATCTATTAGAAACCTGAATTTCACACACTAGAAAAAAAAAATGCAAACAGAACACGTTATGAATTTACCACACACAAACAAGGAGTTGGACAATTCGGAAGCCATTGATTGGGAGCAAGAAACTTTATTCGAATTGGGTGAAAGTAGCACTGCCTCGGAAGAATTACAAAAAATTGAAACTCCTCTGAAGAGAATATTCCTATTAAATACGAAAGTGGGTTCGGAAGAAGTGGATGCAATATGTGAAAATTCAAATTTTAAAGGATTGAAGATTTTACAAATTTTGGGAGGAAATTTAGACGAATCAAGTGTTAGAAAGTTAGTTTCTAATAGTGAATGGGAAGAATTGGAGGAATTGAGATTAGTTGAGTGTGAATTGAATGATGAATGTTTGGATTTATTGATGAATCATTCAAAATGGAATCAATTAAAGTTATTGGATATTAGTAGAAATAAGATTACGAAGAAAGCATTGGAAAATTGCATGAAGGAAATGAAATTACCTTCTTTGGAATATTTATTTGTGGATGAAAACTTTGAAAATGATGACAGTGAGGAGGAAACAACACCTGATCGTCACAACTTGAAAGTTTTCTATTCGAAACAAGGGGATGCAAGCATTCAAATCGATCAAGTTTACACTCATTTATTATTGAAAAAAGCACTAGTCTACTCTAAAGAGAAAACTCCAGAAAAATCATTGGCACTAGCTCAATTACTTAGAAATACCTTCATTCTTCCATATGAAGCAAAGCAAATTCATTCACTTATATTAGAAAGTGCCAGATCAGGTTATCCAGAAGCTTATTACTTTGCTGGTATGCTATTCTATAAGGAGTATTATCTTGAATTTGACTTTATTTCAAATCCATTAAAGACCAAATTCCTCTCTTCAAGTAATACAACAGCTAGAGTTTGGTTTGAGCTTGGAGCTGAAAAGAACAATCCAGGATGCATGTATAGGTATGTTAATTATAGTTTTAATGATTGAAATGTTGTAACATAATGTGAAATATTTCAATAATATTTGTCGATTAGATTGGGAGAGTTTTATGAATATGGAAAATCATTTGAAAAAAGTGATGAAAAGGCATTGGAATGGTATAATAAGGCAGCTGATTTAAATTATCCAGATGCTTTAATGAGAGTTGCTGAATTCCACTTTTTAGGAATTGCCACACCAGTTGATGATTTGAAAGGTTTAGAATATTTAAAAAAGGCAGCAGATAATGGAAATCTTAAGGCACTTGGTTTATTGGCTGGATTCTATGAGGATGGAAAGGTTTCAGAGAGTGGACAAGTATTACTGGAACCTAACTTGGATTTGGCAGATCAAACCTATTCTAAATATTTGTCAATCGATCCAAATAATTCTGGTATTTTGTTTAGAGCTGGTTGTCTTCATATGTTTGAACAGGAATGGGAGCAAGCTGATATGGAATATGCTTTTTCATGTTTACAAAGATCATCTAAATTGGGAAATTCTAGAGCTAGTTTCGTATTAGGAAAATTCTTTTTGGATAATCAAAATGGAGAGTTGGCCTATTCATTCTTCCTTATTGCCAAAAAACAAGGACATCCAAAGGCAGATGAAGCACTTTCAATATTCGATGTTATCGATTCCAGAAATCCAGATAACTAGTTAGGATATAAACAATTTATTAAGGTAACAGTATAATATTTAAAACATGGAAATAATAAAACCCAACAAGAATGAACTTGTGAGTGCATAATTATCCTTTGTATATTCTTTGAGTTGATCCCATTTGTGAACTATTATTTCTCTGAAATTAATATTTTGCAATTGCTTATTAGCAGCATCAATTCCAATCTTTGCCAACATTTCATACTGTTCCAAATCATTGACCATCTTGTTCGTGGAGGTCTTCTTTCTAAGGGAGGTTCTTGAAACTGAAGTAAAAGTGGTTCCGAGCAATAAAACAGCAGCAATTGCACCAAAAACAACTCTACTACCAATCCTAATAACATTACCAGACATGTAACCACCCATGCCTCCCACTCCTATCGAAACTAACAGAGCCTTTGATACAAATTCCTTCTTTTCAGCAACCTTGTTTGATGAATCAATAGTGGCAATTTCGGAATTCAAAGTTGGATAAACAATTTCTTTTTGATCATCAGAAGCCTTCTCCAATTCTCTATTCAAATGAACGTGATTTGAAAGATCGATACTATCAATCCCCGCATCCAAAATGGCATCATAATTCCCTCCTGCCGATGATGATGATGAGGTTGCTCCGTTATCTATTGTTGAGACTTGAGACATTGTAAGTTAGTGTTTGCTGTTTTTTTTGAGAAATTTTTTTTAAGGATTTAAATTTGGATAATTTTGATTTGTTTTTTGATTTGTGGAGAGCTATTTTGGGAGATGTTTAGTGAACTTTTTAAAAAACACGAAAATTACAAAATAATATTGTAATGGAAATGTGATTTTGTTATTGGAAGAAGCATGGAAATGATATGGACACAAATTGATTGACCTTAAGAATTCTCAAGTTCATTTGAGTCTGAAAACAATTGTAATCAAATAATATTCTAAAAGCATTTGAGTATTTAGAACAATCCAAAAATGGCATTGAAATGGTTATTATGTAACATGTTAGCGCGAATCTTTTTCAACAAAAAAATGCCTCAACACCTCCATGAACAGCCCTCAAACTCCTCGCCCGATACATTATTGCATTTAACAATTAATAAGACCGATACGACGATATTAAATGCAACATTGCACTCATCAACAAGTATTAATCAAGACAATGATGAAAGAATGTTAGGTGAATTGTCTTCCGAAGTTGGCATTCATGATGAAGAAAAAGAATTCCCAACAATACTGGATGATGACGGTGGTGATGAGGAATTAATACCCAATAATGGAAAGAATGAAAATTCCCTAAAGGAGAAATTAAAAGATTTATTTTTCAATATGAAATCTCAATTTAAACACATGATTGATATTGCATTTCCAATAATATTGATGAATGTATCAAATAAGATGCTTGGAATTGAAGATTTAATGTTTATTGGACATTTGGGAAATTCACAATATATGGCTGGTTCAGCATTGGGAAATGCAATCTTTTTTAGTTTGAGTTTTATTGCTGTTGGTATTATCAGTGGTCAGGATACGTTTGTGGCACAAGCTTTTGGTGCAAAAAACAAACCATTGGTTGGAGTTTGGATGATGAGAAGTTTCATTACTTTAATATTATTTTTATTACCTGTTATGGTAGTTTTGTTCTTTTTGGAATCTATATTGAATTTAGTGGGAATGGATGAAGTAACTTCACATTTATCAGGTCAATTTGTTAGATATTTATTACCTGGATTAATTCCATTTGCATTTTCGAGATCAACTGCAAGATTTTTGACATCTGTCAATATTAGATTACCAAATACTTTAATTCCAATTGCTGCCGTAATTGTGAATTTTGGATTGAATTGGTTATTTGTATTTGGAATTGGATTTAAGGGAATTGGATTTTTAGGAGCAGCCATTGCCACAACATTAACCAGATTATTCATAATATTCAGTTATATTTATGTTCTTTTTCATCATAGAGAGAATATTAGAGAGATTTTAATTGGAGCTATGAAATGGGATGAGGTATTTAAATGGGAAGGTGGATTTAAGGTTTTCTTCAAACAGGCAATTCCAGGAACGATTGGTGTTTGTGCAGAAGTGTGGGCTTTTGAATTTACAACCATAGTGGCCTCGTTCATATCTGCTGTTCAAGTGGCGGCTCATTCCATTGTTTTTAATATTGCTTCTCTTTCATTCATGTTACCATTGGCACTGAGTAATGCATCTTGTGTTATGGTTGGCCAGAAATTAGGATCCAACGATCCGTCAGGTGCCAAATATGCTGCTTATTTATGTATTTTCTCATCTGTAGTATGTATGAGTGTGAGTGGAACAATTATTGGAATATGTTCGAGATGGATTCCACTTTTATACACAACAGATGAATCAGTGAGAAGTGTTGCTTCATCCATTCTTCCAATAATTTCCGTATTTGCAATTGTAGATGGAATTCAGAGAACTAGCACTGGTGTATTGAGAGGAGCCTCCTCTCAATTTCTTACAATGATCCTCAATCTCATTGCTTATTATTTATTCAGTTTACCAGTTAGTAGTTTATTGGCATTTGTTGCCAAGCTGGAACTTTTGGGATTATGGTTAGGATTGACGTCATGTATGGTTCTAATGGCTGTCATTGTTCTTATATATATCATTTTTAGAATTGATTGGGTTAAGGAAGCTAGGATTGCCCACGAGAGAGCTAACAAGATAATTGTTAAAACTGAGAAATCTGAGCAGGAAACTAACTCAAACACTAGTAATACTCAAGAGGAAGAAGAAACCAGAATAGCAAATCCATGATTTTGTGAGTAAAGAAAACCTACACGTGCTTCCCAAACAACAGCAAACTAATAAAATTCGTGAAATTGTTGCTAAGCTTGAATTCCCTTGTATTGTTGTTTCTGTAAGAATTTGCAACATTGTTAGAACGATTCAAAACCTTCATAAAAGCACTAACTATGTAAATAGTACATGCTTAAATTTCACTTGGGATTCTTACGCAAAAAGCGTGCGCACCAAAACAGCTCAATTTCCTATTTAAAAATCAAAGAAAAGATTCAAAGCTGAATATTCAAAAAACAAGAAAAAATGTCAAACACTTCACCACACAAGATTTATGATTTCAATGCAGAGGTTAAGAATGATCATGGAAAATTCGTTAGAACTGCAAGTAAATTTAGAGAATTTGTTGGTTCTGAACAGTTTCCATTAGAATCTGATAGATATGCTTTGATCTTAGCTTACGCATGTCCTTGGTGTCATAGAACAGATCTTGTTAGAACATTGAAGGGATTAGAGAAGATTATTCCTGTTGTTTTTGTTGATAACTTTCTTGGAGAAGGTAAGTAAATTGAAATACACGAAAGTTATTTAATATTCGAAAGAGGGTTGGAGATTTGGTCATGAAGGTGATCAAGACACCATCTCTGGATTGGATGCCAAATTCTTGAGAGAAATCTACTTGCAATCTAATCCAAATTACGAAGGTAAAATTACAGTTCCAGTTCTATACGATAAGAAACAACATTTAATTGTAAATAATGAATCAAGTGAAATTATTCGAATGATGAATGATCAATTTAATTCCCTTGCAACAAGAAATCAATCACTTGATTTATATCCATCAGAATTGAGAAGTGAAATTGATAAAGTCAATGAATGGGTCTATCCTAACATTAATGATGGAGTTTATAAATGTGGATTTGCTCAGAAACAACAAGCATATGAAGAAGCTTTCCATGCACTTTTTAAAACTTTGGATGAATTGGAAAATATCTTGTCAAGTCAAAGATTTATTGTAAAGGGAAGCAAACATGTGACAGAAGCTGATTTGAGATTATTACCAACTTTATTGAGATTTGACATTGTTTATTATACTCACTTTAAATGTAATTTGAAATCTCTTAGACATGGTTATCCAAATATTTATAATTACATGAAGGAAGTTTATCAATTGGATGGTGGAATTCTTTCACAAACTTTTAATGTTGACCAAACTAAAAAGCACTACTTTGGATCTCATAGAAGAATTAATGGATTTGGAATCGTTCCTTTGGGACCTGATATTACTGGTTATTATGATACTCCATTCCATAGAAATCTCTAGTTTTTTTTATTAGAAAGTTAGGAAGAAACTGCAGAAATGATATTTTCTGTAATGCAATAAACTATAGCTATTAAACCAAATACAATACAAATAATTGCCATTGGAATGGAGCTAATGATTGGAATTGTGTATGGAGTTTTTGGAGATGCTTGTTGTCCATATTTAGTAAAAATCTTTCTCTTTGCAACAATGTATAATAGTGGAGGAATTACAAATGTTATTAAAAATCCCAATAATCCAACATATTTCAAAACTGTATTTCATTAAACTTTAAATTTTAATCAATCAAACTACTTACTAGCGTCAAGATTCTTTACAAATAAGGCACCGATCAATGGTGGAATGGCAACAATTAATCTAAACAAGATTTGGATCTTTCTATTGTTGATCCACTTGGTTCCAGAGAAGAAGGCAGCAAACAAATTATTTCCCAAAGTAATTCCATTCTAAATTGGGAATAGTTTCGAATGTGTAAAATTATCACAATAACTTACCAATGGAAATGCAGAAATAACATCTACAGCAGGGAATAACGCTATTGTCCATATAATAACATGACTCCACCATGGTTGTCTCATTCCAAATGGTTTTCCACCTCTGTACCAAACATAATTCAATGAACAAGCAGGTTGAATGTTATCTCCATAATAAATACTAAGCACAATTCCCAATAATGAATAAATAAAGAATGTGGTAATGAAGGTTGATGTGAAAATTTTAGGTAAATGTTTCTTATTCCTCACTGGTTCACACTACATTTACAACAATTGTAAAATATTTCAAAAATTGTTGCAACTTACCAAACCAGGAACTGAATGATGTAAAATTTGAGCATAAATGCAAACAGGTAATAGAGTAGAAAATCCCAACACAGAAACTAAGCTAGTTGGTGAAGTATATGGTCCATGTCTTTCCATTGCAATATGTGGATTATGTTCATATCTTGAATAAGGATCAACAAATATGGAAACCAAAGTTGTCACAACCATCAATGTTAAAGCAACATATCTAAATATTGTCAAGAATATTTCTGAAATTGTAAAATGTTAACTAAAAAGCATGAAATTCTACTTACGAACAATCTTTTGTTCTGTTAAATTCAAACAAGTCATTGGAATAACAAATAAAGCAAAAACTCCAATATAAATTTTGTACAATGCATCACAATTTGATGAACCATCTGTGTAAACATTACAAGTAAACCAATTGTAATTATTAGGTCCAACTGGAAGTGGAACATTTGATGACATTGACTCTGCAAATATAGTTGACAAGGCCCATAAATTACCATACAGACATAATGCAAGAGCTCCTTCATAGATTATTTTACCTGGCCAACCAAGAAGGAGTGCACACAATTCATTCATTTCATACTTCTTTTCTGGGAATGGAAATTCAATCCTTGTTCCTTCTTCTGTTGCAATTGAAGTAGTGTCAACTTGTTTAGTTTCTTTTTTATCATCAGGAGGAGTAGTAGATGTTTCCTCTTCTTCAACAGCATTAATATTAGAATCTACAGAAGCTGACGATTCAACTGTGGGTAATGAAACTGAAGAGGAAGCAGACAACATTTTGTAATCCTTCTTTTGTTCTTCTTTTTCCTTAAAGAATGGCACAGATCTACACAATGTTTCTAAAATCCAAACCAGAACCATACCAGCCAATAATGTAACTATTAAGAGAAAGATAGGACCCATTAGTAGACCACCTTTCTGAAAAGCATAAGGAATTCCCAAAACTCCAACTCCCAATATATAATTCACACAATAACAATAGGCAACAAATGAATTGTAGGTGTGAGGACCTTTCGGAGTGGGTGTCTTTTTAGCTGTGCTGATTGTTTGGTTGTTATGATTCTCTGTCTGAGTTACTACTGTATGATATTTCACAGTTGTGTTGTGGTGGAATGATACTGCTTGTTGCTGTGTTGTGAAATCATCTGGTGCACTGTCATGGTTAATGGAAGTGTAATGTTTGGTGACCATCTCTTAGTGTTTTTTTCAATTCTTCAATTCTATTCACACGCTGAGGTGTAAGTATTAAATTCAAAGGAATGTTGAATTGTGTGTGGAAATTCCAAATTTGAAAAATAAAGATTGGAAATTTGGGAGTGAATTTTCCATGTTTTGGTGTGGTATTTAAAAAATCTGCAACTGATACCGTTCATTATTCATCACTAGGTGGCATTAAGGACAGTTGCAGTCCAACAAAAGGTTGAATTTCTTGAAAATTAAATACTACAGCAAATACATTCGAATAAATTAATTTATTTTTGTTTTAGTGTGTTGATGGAGGTGTTATTCACAGTGGAGGAAAGAGAATGGATGTTTAAATTATTAGATAGCTCGTCTTATTTGGAAGCATGTCTGGCTTTGAAAAACTTGTTGTGCTTTTCCAAAGTGTCAATAATTGGTTCATTAATTAAAGCATCAGCTTCTTCTGGTTTCATACCACCAGCTTCCTTAATTTTGTGCAATCTCTTCAAATCATGTTCAATTTCGTGAGCCCACATTTCCTTATGATTGTATGTGAAATCTTGATCACCTCCATATTTCTTTTCAAGTTGAGACATATCCACAAATGGTTCAAAGAATGCTCTCATATCCTTTTGTTTGGTGCCCTTACAGAATTGAATCTTTTGCTTAGTGACAGGTGGAATGAGAGGAGAAATTAATTTGAAGAACCAATAGAAAACCTTAGGAGCAAAGACCATCAAACACAAACCAAGTCTTTCAGGGAAGTGTGAAGATAAAATTTCAACAGCTTGTTTACAAACTGCCAATGGAGGAGCAGACTTTGTTGTGTAGGAACTGAAATCACAAATCCAAGTCATTTGAGAACCATTTGGACCCATTCTATAACTGGCAGCAATCAAATTATAAACAAGTAAACTAACACCAGTAGCAGGATCATTTGTGAAATCTCTACCGGCATGAAGATAAATAATTGGACGACCAGCCTTATCATGACCCTTGATATAAGTCTTGGCAGGTGATGCTTCTAACCATAATTGTTTAGCAGTTAAACTAAATGGCTTGTATGAGGATTCAATCCAAGTAAGAGAACTCTTCAATAATTTAGTAGCATTTGGAATGTCCCAATCTCTGGCTTTCAAATATCTGACAAAACAGAATCTATCATGGAAACAATAATATTGTTGAAGTTGGGTCAGTTTGGAACGGTCATCTTCAAACATTTGGGTAAACTTCTTCAATATTTCCAATTGCTTATCAGTAAGACCGTCTAGTGGTGTGGAACCAAGTGTTAATTGGTCCATAGCAACTACGGTATTATTGAATTCTTCACTATCAATAGAAACATCATCACCCAAGTTTTGAATCTCAGATTCCGAGTAACTGTGTGGCATTGTTGATGTGGTATTAGTTGTTTGTAAATCAAGAGTACTACTCATTGTTGTTGAAGAATATTTTCAATAACTGGCTCTATTCGAATTATATTATTAGTGAGGGAACGTTCAGAAAATCTTTTCAAAATCGAACGTTTAATGCCTTTCGGTTTTTGTGTGTTGGATAATAACCACGCTATGCAGTTTGCAGGTTGGTTGGGTAGTGTTGTTGAGTTGTTTTTTTGGTTTTGACAATCAAATAATGAAACGGTCCGCCATTAAAAATCACCAAGACTTATTAAGAGCAAATGGCGAGCGCGCATCATTTCCAATTCTTCCTCCTTCTTCACCTCGTTAATGGGCTATTCTCTCTGTACTTCCATCATCACACAATTAATTATTAACTGAAGCATCAGATAAGGGCGCATGAATGCAAAAATGAGAATGTTCATGTGCGATCGTGTTGTAGTTTTATCTATTAATACCTCCTCCAACTACGATTCAATTCTCTGTACGACGTTTGTTGATGTGGTAGACAACATCTCAGTGTTATTATTGGAATGGAGACTTCGGAAAGAGAGAATCCCAATTTAATTGTAATGATTGAATGCTTAAAAACAGAAAATATTATTATTCAATTGAGAATGAGTGTTTTCAAGTGTTACAAAAAGGGACATGTGAGCCGTTATGTTACCCAACCAAAACAAGCACTGCATGAATAACAAGAAGGCAGATGGATTTTGGGTGTTGCTTCGATTTTGTGCAAATGGAAAGTTTATTGAAATGTCCTTGCTAATTATAATAATGTGCTCTTGACGTCAAGTCTATTAAAATGGTAAGCAACAATCAGTTGACAAGAATTGATGGTTGACTGTAGTGATTTTGTAAATAGTGAAATGATTAAAGTGTTGCTTGAATTTGATAGGAATACTACAAATGTTAAATTAGTCGTGGTAGTACATTTAATTTCCTTGTTTATTGTGCAACTTAAACTCTCCGATTTGTTAAATCTTATCTTGTGAAGGGTCCATTAAACTGGAAATCATAGAAGTGCTGAATGAATCGTCTGGATTGAACAACATATCTAAGAAATTAGTAAGGGGAGAATATACACTGTTGTGTTCTGCTTGGGTGATTGGTTCAATATCTCTTTTTTTCAATATTTCCTCCATTTCCAATATCACACTTCCAGCCACAACATTCACTCTTTTATAACGTGATTTCAATACATGCAGAGATCGGTAATCCTTTGTAATCATTGAATAAATATCATAAGACAGATTGCTTCTCAATCCCTTTTCAATTTCCTTGGCCACTTGTACATGGACTCTACTAGCCATTGTAAAATAAGGAATAGCAGCAAATGTAGTAAATGGAAAATATTCACTATCTGAAAGTAATGTTATTTTACAAGCAGTTTGCTCAATTTCTGATCTATATTCTGGACAATTTTGAATAAGAAACAATAATTTCAGTCCATAATGAACTATTTCAAAATAATAATTAGAACCAGCACTATACCAAATAAGGTCAAATTGTGATCTGGTTGATTTTGCTTTAGAAATGAAAAATTCTTTGAGACTTTGACAAATAACTTCCAAATACGTCTCCAAATTTGATAAGTCAACTTGTTGTGGAATCTTTTCTAGAAATTGTTGAGGAACTGATGTACTGGTTGCCATGTAAAAGTAACTTGGGAAATCTTTTAGAATTTTGTTCGTGCCTAAATCATCCTCAATCATTAGTTCCATTACTGATATAAGTTCGAGCAGTAAACGTTCAGAATTATTAAGTTTTTCCAATTCAATCCCATCAAAGTAAAATTTAGCTGTTTTGATATAGAATTTTGCAAGTTTTCCTCTTCCTGTTCCTATTTCATAAATTCCAAGAGATGAATAGCAGCAAGCAACATAATAGTTTGAAACTTGATCAAAAATCTTTGATAGTAAATCTCTTGATTTCTTGGCTGATTTTTCTGCAATTTCGCAAAAACCAAATCTCTGTTCCAACAATGCTTGAATAGAATGAAAGAAGGCATTCATTTCCTTCTTTAAGGGTTGCTGATCTGTTATTTCCTCATTCAAGATGTACTTCTCCAACAATTCTTTTTCAACAATAATATAATGATCACAAATCATCACATAATACAAATCAATTATTTGTTTCTTTGTAAATTGCTTTGAATACCTAGAAACAATTGTTGTATCAGCTGGTACATCCTTATTTTCCACAACTTCTTTTGAAACTGCTTTTGCAGGCAATTCCGATGCTGATGATATCGAAGCAATCTTTCTCTTCTTTGGTGTTTTATATTCACATGTAATACCTTTTGTTGCACATCTGGAACATGTCGGTAATTGTTTTCCTATTATTTCATAATTATTATTAAAAAATGTTTCCTTTCAACAACTTACCACTATAATAATTTTTCATCATATTTAAATAATTTAAATAATAATTATCAAATTCTTACCATTGTTTATGTAGATGTCTACAAAAATTACAAGCAATCGGGTGGAACTCTTTTGAATCTGTCATGTTTTATTTCAATCATGTGTTGTACTTCCTTGCATCAAAACATATCCCTTTTGCATCTAATATTTTGTTACATTTCTGATTCAATCAACTATATCGCTCCAAGCTGAGTTTCCTTCTACTCAGCGCAGGGAAGATGGAACTTGGTTTTAGTATTCCAACGCACAAAACCAAGCAAGTTTTGCTCAAGCAGAGTGGCGAGTATTTAAGTGAATAAGTTCTTCTGAAATGTTGAGAAAATCAATTAGAAAAAAACATGACAACTACAACTAGTAGAGCTGTTTTATGCTTGGTATTAAGCGTTTTGGTTGCGTTGTGGGTTAACCTCAATGAAATGTTTGTGAATGGTGACAGCAGTATTGCTGATTTGCCACTTGTCCAAAAACCAAAATCTGTTTTATCTGTGAATGGTAGTGTTACTGTTGCAGGTGCTGATGGAATGTTTCCATTTACTCTCAATAATGACATGTCTGGTAATCTTGCTTCCATTGTTTTGGATTATGGACAAAATGTTGCTGGTTTTCCAATGTTTGACATTGCATCCATTTCTCAAAGTCCAATAGAAATTAGAGTATCCTATTCTGAAAGTCTTCCAAATATTAAGGATGGCGACATGTTGTTCAATCCAATGATTCGTGCCTTTGATTTGGACAGAGTAAATATCCATACCATTGAAATAGCTGGCCATTTTGATACAAATGGTATCCAAGGAGCTCAACGTTATCAGAGAATTGAATTACTTACTGTTGGAGCTTCTATTACCATCTCTTCTGTTTCATTCACATCAGCTATCTATACCAGAGATCCTTCTCAATCTAATGGTGCTTTCTCTTGTTCTAATGAGGTTTACAACAAGATGTGGAATATGGGGGTAAGAACTTTACAATTGAACATGGTCCCACCAAGAACTGTTCAACCTGGGTTTATTAGCACTGATCAAGGTCTTTATATTTCACCAGGTACTGCAGGTGTCTTTTTAAAGGGAATGTCATGGATTAATTATAATGTATCCTTCTCTACTCTATTTATGAAGAATGGTATTTCTTTTGCTATTAGATCAAACGACTATTCTGAAACAAGAGTCACCTTAAATAGCCTAAATAGTTCTCATAATCCAAATATGATTCAAGTAATAAGTGCACAAGAGCTTTACCCTTATGAAACCTTGTATTACAATACTTCGCTTCCTAACTTGGTTGAAAATCAATGGTATGATGTATTTGCTTCTGTTAATCAACTTGTATTTAAGGTTTATATAGATGGTGCCTTGATATTTGATATTAATCTTCCTCAGTCCACTAATCCATACATCCCATCAGTTGTTCCAGGTGGAGTTGGATTTTCTGCTAAAAAGTATCAAAGTGCATTTATTAAGAATCTTAAAGTAGTTGATGTCAGTGGTAGCATTCTTCATCAAGATCCTCTCACATCAAAACAATCAGCTCATGATTTTGGAGTTGGAACCAACCCTGTAGCTGTAATTCTGGATGGTGCTAAGAGAGATCGTAATGTTTGGAGTGGTGACTTACTCGTAGCAGGCCCATTATTATACTATTCTTATTATGCTAATGAATATGCAAGTGGAACTCTTGGAATATGCACATCCTATCAATTGAAAAGTGGATTTGTTTCTTCTAGAATTGGTACTGGTTTCCCTTATCAAACCATTGATCCATCTGACGATTTTGTAACACCAATATTTTACAGTTATACATACTTTTTAGCTTCGTTATCAGCTATTGAGGAATACTATCTATATTCTGGCGATTTATCTTTTGTTAAGGAACAATGGACAAGATTGAAATTACTCATTAATGCTTTCGATTCTCTTAAAGGTAGTGATGGTTTGTTGCAAGGTGTTAATCCAAATTGGACCTATGACTTTTATCCAAGTTTAGGAATGCTTTTGGGAAGATTTACAAAACTAAATATTCAATATGCTATGGCAATGGAATCTGCTTCAGTTTTGGCAAAAGCAGTTGGAGAAACAAATTTGGCTGAAACGTACTTAATAAGAGCTAACTCTACAAAACAACTAGTTAATGAAAAGTTGTTTGATACAAACTCGGGTACTTACATTATTTCAGATCAAAAGTCTGGCATAGCTCAGGATACCAATGCATTCGCAATATTATCAGGCATTGCATCTTTGAGAGGAAAGAACTTTTCCAGCACATTACTGGATACTATGAAAGATCAATTGAAGTCTGGCTCTAATTATTTAACATTCAAGAATGCTGGAGCATCTTTTACCTCTCCATACATTTCTTACTTCCATGCAGCAGCAGCATTTGAATCAAATAGAGAAGATCATGCATTTGATATTATTAATTCAGTTTGGACACCAATGACTGTTGAGGGACCTTACTTTACCAATGCTTTTTGGGAAAGTATTGAAATTGGAGCCACTCAAAGCGCCTCAAACAGTTTTGCTCATGCTTGGAGTGGTGGCGTTTCTCCATTGCTTTCAAAATACGTTCTAGGAATCAGACCTACTAGTACTGGTTACTCTGAATGGGTTGTAAAACCTCAAACTGGTTCATTAACATGGGCTAAAGGAGCAGTACAAACTCCAAACGGAAAGTTATCAGTGTATTGGTCCAATTCTAATAACCTCTTTTCTATTACTGTTGAAGTTCCTCCAAAATCAAAGGGAACTGTAGTTCTTCAACAGATTTCAAGTGCATCATGTGTGAGTATTAATTCAAAGGTCTACTCTATTGGAAGTACTGTTGGAAATGGTGGAATTTCAAAGATATCAAAGACAACAAATGGTATTGAAATAGGATTGGATTATTATGGATCCTACCAAATAATGGCATCTAATTGTCCAATCACTAGCCAAAGTAAGAAAGTAGTTGGTGGAGGTTCTGTAATTAATTCATCATTCATGGCCATCCTTAGTTTAGATGTAATAATCATTTCTATTTTATCCGTATTGTTTATTTAAAACTCTTGAATTTTACCAAAATCAAAACGTTACAATGGAAAATTAGTTCAAATTAGTTCAATTTTATATCAGTTACAAGTACATTAATAAATTACAAATTTTTTAAAGAGCTAACAAAGTTGTCTTGATCATTACATCGTCTAACATGGCAGCCAAATCTTCTCCTTTTGAAATTAAAGCCAAATTGATGAATGCCTTGTTCTTGAAATTGGCACAAATTGATGTTATAACTGTCTTATTACCAGCATCATAAACACTCTTGGTTGAAGAGTTGACCTTTCCTCCAAATGTGGATCCAGCAACATCACTCTTCAATGCCTTCAAGTTTGGATATTTATCTTTCAAACTCTTTAACATGATGAATAAGTGATCTTCCTTTGCCTTCTCAAATGTTTTGGATTTGAGTTTTGTAAAGGTAAAGAGGAGAGTATTACCATTTGTGGAATCAACACAAGTGACTGTGTAATCTTGATTCAATGAATCAACATCTGTTCCAATAAGAACAAAAGAGCTTGGAACTTTAGGAATGAAACAACTTGAATTCAATTCTGTAATGACCTTGAAACCATCTGACCCAATTCCTGTACTTGATGTCTTGGCACTTGGCTTTCTTTCTGATGTATCCCATTTGTAATTGATCCAAACTTTACCAGTTGTAGCATCTTCTAATTGATGTGAAGATTCATATGTTTGATCTGGATTCAATACGTTTGGATCAAGTTCAATTTCAAACCAACCAAGGAAATCCTATATGTTGTTTAATTGACCAAGAAGATATATCATAATAACTTACATCATCCTTGTCATCATCCCAATCATAAACTTCAATCTTTAACTTGAGATTCTTTGGTGTTTCTTCAGTGTAACGTTTCCAAAATGTTGAATTCCATCTTGGATTTAAAGTTTTTCTATCGACAACCGTTTTGTGAAGAGTTTGCTTTGTTGATTGATCAATAATTAAAACGTATGGGTCACTAAGTCCATTCGAATCACCAACCATTAGTTTTTCACCTCTAACAACAGTGAATTTGATAGAATCAAAACGAGAGAAAGCTCTAGACATTTTTTTTGTTTTTATGTGAAGGAAGTTGTGATTAGTCAACTCTGTTTTAAAGCGATCCATTAATGATTTGTGATTAGACAACAAGTACTTGACTCTCCGTAATTGTGCAGGTACGGATCTCTTAACTACAGTTTTATTTGCCATGTTTCAAATATTATTGTAAACTAAACTATTTCATTCTGATCATTGAATCCAAAAAAATATCTTCCAACAACTTTAACTTAAATGGAAACCTTCTCCATTCAAACCAATATCATGAATGCATTCAATCTTTCCTTCCATTTCCTCTTCCTTACTCTAAATTTACAAAATCAACCAACTTGATAAAGCCTCTTAATTCCTCCTCCATTATTATTATTGAGGAGTTACATTGGATTATCGTATTCCGATCATGTATTGACAAAAAGCTAAAAAAAAACTCCTCTAAGACTTATTGCAAAGGCTAAAGGCACACTAATACATCATCAGCATCAACATTATCATTAATAGTATTATAATTGTGTGATACCTCCTCCCTACAACGACTTTGATTCAGTGTTTGGAGTATTAAAACAATTTTAATAGATTATTAAACAACACAACATATTTATTTTGATTGTCAAGCCTTCATCAACACAAAATGTATAGCAATAATAACAACAATCAGAAGGGTTTATCCTATTATTTATCATTACCATCATATTATTTGGATAAGATTTTCCGTACCATCTTTTATTATATTGGATATGCTACTGCTACAGTTCCTATATTATTTATTGTGATTGCAGTGATTTTTACTGCCGGAATTGGTGTGGGAATTAAAAACATTCAATTAATCACTGATCCTCAAGGTCTTTGGGTAAGTGGATTTAAAATCATCATATGATATTAATGTGTTTTTTTTGATAGGTTCCACCTGACAGTGATACTGTGAAACAAAAGAACTATTTCGATGACCAATTCTCACCATTCTTTAGAATTGAACAAATGATTATTTTCCCTAAAAACACTTCAATTACGAATGCAATCAATGTGGACATGATGGAAGAATTATTTCAAATTCAAAGAGAAATTGACAGTATTAAAATTTATGATGGAAATTGTTCAACAGCACCTATTACACTTGATGATTTATGCTACAAGCCTATTCCATCTAAGGGATGCATGATTCAATCACCACTTCAATTTTATCAAATGAATTACAACACTTTCGAAACTGGAAAAAACCAACTCGTCAATCACGTATACTTGTGCACGTATGTTTTAATTATTCAAAGTATTGTTTATTAACAAGGATTTTAGTCAAAGAATTAGTTTATCCCCAATTTGTTTATCAGATATTGGTATTCCTCTTTATGATAAGCAAATGTTTGGTAAAGTATCCTACAATGCAACAACATCATATGCCACAGCACAGGCACTTATTGTCACAATACTTCTCAATAATGATAATGTGACAGCTGAAAGAGCTTTATTATGGGAAAAGGAATTTTTGAAAGTTGCTCAAAAACCTCGTACTTATTCCACCATTTATGTGTCTGCTGAAAGATCTGTACAAGATGAATTGGCTGATGAAACCAGTGGAGATATTTCTACAGTTCTCATAAGTTATGCTGTAATGTTTGTTTATGTTGCCATTTCACTAGGTCAAATTCACCCAATCAAATCCAGAATTATCATGGGTCTTGCTGGTGTGATTATTGTGGTAATGTCAATTGTTATTTCAGCTGGTATTTGTTGTCTGGCAGGTGTACCAGCCACATTAATTATTATGGAGGTCATGCCTTTCCTTATTCTTGCTATTGGTGTAGATAACATGTTTATTATGGCTAACCATCTTGATCAAGTTGTTAAAAGAAAGGGCTCCAAGTTAACAGTTGCTGAGGCTATTGCTGAAACAATGGCTACTGTCGGTTCTTCAATGACCCTTGCCTCAATTTCTGAATTTTTGGCTTTCATGCTTGGTAGTTTGACCAAAATGCCTGCCGTACAAGCCTTTTGTATCTTTTCAGGTGTTGCAATTATTGCAAACTTTGTTCTTCAGGTTACATGTTTCTCTGCTTTATTATCTTTGGATTTGAGAAGAAGACTTTCTAATAGATTGGAATTGGAACCTACTGTCGTTATTACTAACAAGTACTTCACTAGAGATTGGATCAGTATTGCAGGAGGAGCCAGATTTATCATGAAAAAGATTATTGCACCAATTGTGACATTCCTTCCTGTGAGCTTTTTCATTCTAATTGTTTTCCTTGGTCTATGTGGTGCCTCTATTTATGCTTCCATGTTTTTGAGCCAAGGTCTTGATCAAATTACTGCCTTACCAACTGGATCATATCTTGGTGAATACTTTTTAAAACAAAGAGAATATGTTGATTTAGGACCTCCTGTTTATTATGTTACAAAGAATTTGGATTATACTTCACATGCAGTTCAAGATCAAATGAGTAGAATGATGAATATTGTTGCAGAAACCGAGTATTTGGATAGAGGAAGTATTCTTTTCTTCTACACAGATTTCAAAAAGTGGGTTTTGAGTAATGAATGCTCACACAAGAACGTTTCTGCAAGCCACGTACCTCCTGAACACTATGTAGAATGGCTAAAGGAATTCCTTCAACAAGAAGAATGCTGTAAAATTAATTTCCAAGTTGTCCCACTTTGTGGCTTCCAATTTAAGCAAGATGTGAAATTCTCTGCTGATGGAAAATCTATTGATGCAGCAAGATTAATGACACAAACCAAGACATTGGTAACACAGGAAGATTTTATCAATAGTATGAAGTCATCATACTTTACTTCCACTTATCTTTCCAATCCACAAAAGTATAGTCCAACCAGCGGTTTTGGTCCACTTGAAACCTATCCTTATAGTATTTATTATATTTATTTCGCCCAATATCTCTATTTACCAGAAATTTCAGCAATGAACATTATGATTGCTAGTGGTGCAGTTTTCCTTACTACTTTAATTTTACTAGGCTCTCCAGTTGCCTCAATCTATGTTTTGATTTGTATTTCCATGATTTTGACTAATTTGTTGGGAATTATGGCAGTTTGGGGTATTTATGTAAATGCTTTATCTGTTGTCAACTTGGTAATGTCAATTGGTATAAGTGTTGAATTTTGTGTACATATTACTAGAGCATTTATGAAAGCTAGAGGAACCCATAAAGACAGAGTAAAGAAGGCCATGATTGAAATGGGCTCATCTGTCCTTTCTGGTATTACCTTCACCAAATTTATTGGTGTAATTGTCCTTGCCTTCTCCCACTCTGAACTTTTCAGAATTTATTACTTTAGAATGTATTTGTCTATTGTAGTTTCTGGAGCTCTTCATGGTTTATTATTCTTGCCTTCTTTACTTTTAATTGCTGGTCCTCAACAAGATCCAGTTGCTAAAATTAAGGGAGAAGAAGAAGATGAAGAAGAAGAACAAGCAGATGTTAACATTGAAGGAAGAACTGGTTTTGTCAACCCACACATTATTGAAGATGACGAAGAAACCAACTAAACCTAGGAATAAATTATTTGAGAATCTTAATTTTGTAAACAAGATGCCACTTGTCACGGTTAGGAAAAAACATTCAGTTATGGCACTTTTACTCAATCGGAAAATATCAAACAAGGCGAAGGGAAAATTTAAACCAACTTATCGGCTTAAAAACTAAAAGTAAAAATACCAAAAAAAATGGCAACGACAGAGAAGGCAAAAACATTAACAAGTGCTCAAGGTATGATGACAATATAATCAAATGATTCTAATGTTTAATATTTAGGATTTTACTTTGGAGGTTTAAGTGGAATGATGGCAACTTGTGTTGTTCAACCAGTTGATCTTATAAAGGTAAATTTTTCATTTCCGAATAGGATGAATAATATCATCATGTTTGAATTATTGCCCATCATAATAATAGACAAGAATGCAATTGCAAGGAGGATCCCCAGTGACTATTGTTTCTAATCTTATTAAACAAGAAGGTATTCTTAGAATTTATAAAGGATTAGATGCTGGTATATTGAGACAACTCACTTACACAACAACTAGATTGGGTGTTTTTAATGCTCTGCAAGATTATCTCACAACCACAGATAGTAATGGAAAGAAAGTTCAACCAAACTTTGCAATGAAAATTGTTTCAGGAATGGTTGCTGGTGGTATTGGTGCTGTAAGTAAGGAAATAGGAATTTAATACTTATCATTATTTAGGTTGTAGGAAATCCTGCTGAAGTTTGTTTGATTAGAATGACATCTGGTAAATTCAATTATAGCCATGTAGGTCAAGCATTAGTTAGAATAGCTAAAGATGAAGGAATTAAGAGTTTATGGAGAGGAACATCACCAACTGTTACTAGAGCTGTTATTCTCAATGCTGCTCAATTATCTTTCTATTCTCAAGCTAAGGAAGTTCTTATCAAATACAATATTATGCAAGATGGTATTGGATGTCACTGTGTCAGTTCATTAATCAGTGGATTTGCATCAACTGCTGTTTCAATTCCTGTAGATTTGGCCAAGACAAGACTTCAAAGTATGAAAACTGTTTTGGATCCAGTTACTGGTCAAATGGTTCCTGAATATAAGGGACCACTTGATGTCATTACTAAGGCTATTAAGAATGAAGGTATATTGAGTTTGTGGAGAGGTTTCACTCCATACTTTTTGAGATTGGGTCCTCACACTCTTCTCACTTTCGTCTTTTTGGAACAATTCAGATTCATGTATGGTCATTAATTGAAAACTATTGGACTAGGTTAACATTCTCTATTGTATTATATAATCCAGTTTTAAATTGTGATATTCTCCTTAAATTTTCCATTCACAATTTTTATCTTCATCACCATTTTAAAAATGAGTCAACACCAACAACTAACAGAAAATTCATCATCGTCATCACCCACCTCCAAACCTTCATCATCAACAACACAACAAGAGGATGATGATCAAATGGTTAAAGCACCACACGTTTCGGAAGATGATCATCATGCTGTAAATAATCAAGTAATAATGCAAGAAGAACAAGAACCTCATATAGTAGAACCAATAACTTCATCATCAACAAACAACCATCATACACAACCAATTTACTCCATTAATGATGGAGAGGAAATTGGAGAGAAGAAGGAAATTAACACAGACATGGACATTACCACCCAACAACAATATAACAAACAATCTCTTGTTAGTGGAGGTGTGGGGAATGATCAAACTCCGGAATCGTCATCGGAAGGAATTTTAATTAAACCAAGTCATGGAAGTTTTCTATCATTTGAACAATTGGTAGAAGAGGAAGCAAATGCTCTACTTTATGATGATAATACTTTGGAAGAAATGGAATCAGATAATGTTAATAACAATGAGGAAAAGAAGAGTCCACAAACACCAAATAGCAGTCTTGTAAATATGATGGATTTCTCTACAATTTTAAGTAATTCAGAGAAACTCCTCTCTACAAGGAAGGACGATGAGGAAGAAGAAGAAGAAGAGGAGGAAGAACCAATTTCAACAAAACCAATTCCACTCCAATCTAAAATTATTCACACAAAGAGTGAGGGAAATTTGGATACATTTATTACGAGAAGAAACAGAACTGAAACTTATCCTTCAACTCCAACCTTGTTAAAACAGAGAATAATGCAAAAGTACAAACAGCAAATTCAACAACAATCAAGTTTTGCAACTGATACGGATACAGATGATGATATGTTACTGACAAGTATGTCTCAAAATAGATACTTTAGGTTGTTTTCTTTAATGATTGCTAAATTTTTCAGAATTCAATCAAGAGTAATTGCACCTAATGGTAGTAGCCCTCAAAGTATTGAAGCAATAAGGAAACAAGAAAAAGCAAACAGAACTATACAAAGAGATATGTTAACTATGTTTATTAGTGGATTTTCAATGTTTGGAATTTTTGCAATTATTTGGTATAATATTTACTTTAATACAGATGTATTGAAAAATATATTGGAAGGACGAGATAATTTGACTGAAAGATTTTACTTTACAATGAAATGTATATTTGTTAGCTCTTGGATATTTCCACTTGTATTTGTGGCCATTGTTAGGAATAGACTTTTTGAAGAAGCGAGTAATCCACTACTAACTAATTTAATTAATAAGGAACATCAATTAAGGATAACTATTCATCAAAGAGTGTTACAAAATTCAATTGAGCAGTTTATAATGCATTCAATGGGCTGTCTCATACTTGGTTATTATGTTTCGAGAGAAAATCTTAGAATTATTGTATTTGCTTCTATAACCTTTCTACTTTGTAGGATTTTCTTTTGGATTGGATATACTATTCACCATTCTCTTCGAACTTTGGGAATGTTGACAAATGCTTGTACAACTATTGCAATGTTGTGTTTTTCAACTTATTACATTACTACACAAGATATTCTGCCGTTCATTATTAATGATATTATTTTACCAATATTTGTTATTTTCTCAGCCTAAATACGAGTTGAGAATAAAAATTAATTTATTCAATAACTTAGGGATATTTACAAACTTTGACAACTCGGAGCTAAAGGTTATACGAATGAAATAGAGAAGATAAATCTCTTGCATAATCATTCTTATTTTGGAAGTAATAACAGTTATTGGAATGTTGTGCATTGACATCCATGGTTTCAATGTCACAGTGACACAGACTAGGCAGTTCAATACTCATGTTCTTTACCGTTTCTAAGAACTGCTTATTGAGTTGTTTGAGATACCTCTTTTCTTCTCTGTATTCCTTCTTCTTTTGTTCCTTATTTGATCCTGACCTAGCATTTGAATGAACAGCAGATTGATAAGTATCTGATGATTTGAATGACATAATTTCGCTATCTGAAGCCTTACTAGTATTGAGAGGGATGTAATTAGGTTTGTTGAGAGTAAAAGTATGAATTGGATCGTCTAAGTATACTGTAAAACATGGAGCTTGTACAATAATATTGTTATCCTCTTTGCTTATTCCCTTTTCGAAATGAGCGTAAACCTCTGAGGAAGTTGATGGAACAACATTTGCCAAGTTTTGTCTGGCGAAAAGGTTAAAGGCATTCACTGTCTTTTTAGGGTTACCATTGTCTGATTCATTTGTGTAAGAGTCTTCTGTGGTTACACTAGTTGATTCAGAACTGTTGGACTGGGTTGGAGATTTGAAATTTACAAATTGTTCGTCATGACCTTCACACTCTTCATGACTTTGATCTTGCAAATCTAAATCTACCAATGAAAACGCTTGGCCTCTTGCATCTGCTCTTGGTGTTCTTGGTGTTCTGGGAGTATTGCTTACTGATCCAGAAGAAATTTTAGAAGAGTTTGGTGATATATTTCCATTTGTTGAATTCAATCTTGGGGTAGTTCCTCCGGACGCAATTTTCATATTCAAATTATTAGCTTGTTTGCCATAATTACACATTTTTCTATAGAGCTCCTTCTTTCTCTCCTTTTCATATTTTATCCTAGCAGCAGCTGCTTCTTTTTCTATTAAGGTTGACTTACTCTTCTCTTTGATTCTTTGTTTTACAGTATCATTGAAAACTCTTAGCTTTTCTTCCTTTCTTCTCCTTCTTTCTGTTGTGCTGTCCTGATAAAAACATGCAGCATCATTTGCATTGGAGAAAGAATGCTTACTACCTTCAACATCAACAACATCGGAAGGTTGTTTTCCCAAATCCTTGACTACCTTGATATTCTTATTGGTATGGAGACAAACATGAAATTCTGCATTGAAAATGAATCTCTTCTTCGGATCGTCTTCTTGAGTTTTATTCTCCCTCACGAGATAGTTATTAATATTATCCTCATTATCAGCAACGTGTTTTAAAATTCTTCTCTTAGTACAAGAGGAGAAGGAATATTTAGTATTCGATACAACAGGTTCATTTCTAAATACTTTTCTTCTTCCCGATGGAATACCAGGTAATGAAATGAACCCGGAAGATGATGAGTCACTGCCAGTCTTATAGCTTTGAGAATAAGTTGAATTTGAGGTGGTAGAACTGTTCATCTTTTTTTCTTAAACTTTTTTAATTTTATTTTGCATTTGGCGGGAAGAATCTACATTATTGGCGCCAATTTGAAATCACTTTGATCCAAAGGCCTTTCCAATCAGATAGAGAATGATTAATGCAATCACAAGCAAGGCGGCAAAGAAAAAAAAGTGATGATGGCTCACGAGGTTACTACTCGTATGATGATGACGCTGTTGTGGCATTCGTGATGGGGTAACAGTTTGATGTTTTGTTCAATTTTTTAGAATTGCTATTCTTAATCTATCGAGAACAGTTTTGTACCTTGTACATAATTGGACAATAAGATCGTCATTGAATTGATATTGTAATATTATAATAATTATTTAATAATTTATTTTAAAATTGAAAAAAATGCTTTCATCAGGTGCTCTCTACACACTTCTCGTGCCAAAAATTTGGGATTATGCTCAGCAAAATATTGTTAATATTAGTTCTCCTTCGATAGGAAGTTCCTTGTTGGAAGTTTCTAACAAAAATGTTCGGGATGTCTCCCATGTTTTAAATGCACCTCCAACAAGCTTATCATGGAATAATGACGATGTTGTCAACCAAAAAACACTACTTTTGGAATTATATTTGGCTTGCAATGTTAGAAAAATTATTTTGGATTTGGATAAAAATTCTGTTCCTAAAGAAATTAATATTTCATTCTCGATTGATGAAAAGAAGATTAATTTTAAAAAATTAACACGACTCAGAAGTACGGATTTGAAAAGAACAAGGCCGTTTGTGATATCTTTCTCTAAACCTGTTCAATTAAAATATTTGAAATTCCAATTCAAACTTTTGGATGAGGAACAAAATGGAAAATGCAAACTTAATTCTTTAAAGGTTTATGGAACTCCAATATTGAATAGTAATAATTTATTTGAATTATATCACAAAAACGAAGATAAATTAAAGGCCCTAGCTGGAATGTTAGGTTTAAAGAATCCACTTGGTGCACCAAACCAGCCACAAAACACGCAAGAAAATGATGGCACTGATGAAAAGAAAGAAGCAGAGGAAGGGGTCACTATTGAGATACTTCCTGATGGGGAGGAAGAGAAAAAACAACCATACACCGAATCACATCCAAGTGAAAGAAGATCTAAATTATAGTTTATTTAAAATTGTTTCCATATTTCATAGTTGGATCTATCAATGTTTGAATATAAATAACCAGACATGCCCAAGAATCCAGCAAAGGACAAGGCAAATATAACACCACATGCAATGTAAACAGATCTCTTTGTAAACTTGTACTTGAAAATTGTGGCATTCAATCCATAGGAATAATGGAAAACACCAGCCAATAACATGGCAGTATAATAAGGTAGCAAGCATAACTAAGGCACCAGGTTTCTTCTCCATAGAATGGGTTACTTGACTGAAATCAGAATCAATTGGATAAAAGAATCTTGTTGCAATAACGTGGATAGGAACGATACTGGTTAAAATCCATCCAGCATATCTGTGGAGTTGTAATGGATTGGATAATTTACTTTTCAAATATTCCATCCAAGTGGCATATTTTGATTCATTAAATGATCTTCTACTCATTCTAATAATACCACAAATTATATGAACAGCTAGTGGAGTAAGAATGCAGACATATTCAGCAGATCTTCCAAGTAACCAATTTGGTCGATACACTTGTCTCAAATATGATTGATAAGTGTCATACAATGACTGTGAAACTCTTCCCACAATAGTGTTTGACAAGTGCAGAGTTAAGAAGCCTGAAAATGCAATAGCCGAGTATTTCTGTACTACTTTGCAAATTTCATCTACTTTACTACTCATTTTTTTGATTGGTTTGATATTGACGTCAAAATTCCACCACATAAATAGCGTTCCTCATTCTAAAAAAAACTATTCCGCCGCCACTAATCCAATCAAATAAGAATCCGTTTACAACTATTACATCTCATTGATTCCCTTAATTATTGATTCATATTCATTTAGTTTCCTAAAACTATTTACAGAGGGAACATTTCGAAAAGCTAATTTCAAAAAACTGAAATGCTATGAGATTGAAAGGTTCACTAACAGAAAGAAATGTGTACGCATTATTTATCTTTGTTGTTAAAAGCTTACACTGCCTCAATATCAACACTCCGAAAAATCTTAATAAAAAAAAGATGAGAGGGTTCTCGCTATTAACTATCCTTTTGGTATTAGGTGTTATTTATGTGCAAACAGCAACACCCCAAGAAAGGTTCAAGATTAAGGGACCTAAAGAATCATCGGAACCTGTTTTCTGTTTTGATTTGATTAACAAGGGTGTTGCAAAGCAAGGTGATACTTGTTTGATGAAAATTGTTGATGCTTTTCCAACACAATTACCAATTGGTTATGTAGCTGCTGCATGTAAAAGAGATAAATTGGAAGAACTAGCTGAAAATGGTGACTTCTTCAAACAATTAGAAAAGAAGCCAGTTCCGGTTGTTATCGGTCCATACTCTAATCATCAACATACCCATTCTAATTCTAGTCTGTATATTACTGATCATCACCATTTAATTTATGCTATTTTCATGATGAGGGGTTCTTATCTTCCACCAAAGTATAGTGACATTACTGAAAGATATGTCTACGCTACTATTCAAAGAGATTATTCAACCTTATCAAAGACAAATTTCTGGAATACTCTCATTAAGAACAATTTGACATATACATATGATGAATTTGGCAAGCCATTACATAATTTCCCAGATTCTCTTCCATCCTCAGTTATGTATTTAAAGAATGATCCATTCCGTTCTCTTGCTTATTTCGATAGAAGACAAGGAGGTTATGGTAAGATTGACCAAGAATTCCAAGAATTTTCTTGGGCCAATTATTTGAGAGCGAATTCTTTCTTCTCACCACTTAATCAATATACTGATCTTACATCATTTGATATGGAAGCACCTACTACTAAAAAGCTCATTCCTGCTGCTGTTTATGCTTCTCAACAACCAGATGCTAAGAATTTACCAGGTTTTGGACATGGTAAACGCCAAAACCCAGAATGTAAATATTTCAAATAAATAATTTACTTCCAAAATGAAATATGTTTGAAAACATCCAAAATATTGATTTCTCTCTGAGAGCAATTAATTTGGTGTAAAAGGAAGGTTGTAAAATATGAACAGAATAACCATTTGATAGTAAAGGTAAATAAAGTTATTATGAATGAGATTGACCATTTAGAGAAAGAATTTGAATATTGGCTCATATTTTCCTTAACCTCAAATATTACTACTCTACATATTGTCATCATGGTTATGAAATTGTAAATAGTTATGGAAAATGTAATGTATGGAGACATTGGATTGATTTCATCTCTCCAAATAATAAGTGGAGCTCTTAGTAACTCTGAAAATTCACTCAACATGGTACCCAATACTATTAACTTTAATCTGTTTCCAATTCTTTCTTTCTGGAATAACCATGTGAGTATTACATTTGACCCAATTGAAAGACAAATTTCAAGAGTCATTAATATGAAAATAAAGTAAAAAATTGAGGAATTTTCAAGAAAAACCAATTTGTTTTGCTCTCCAAACACAAATTTGAAATTACCACATAAATTTTCCAAATCATTTTCTCCTAACAATAAAAACTTTAAATCTATATGGATATTATTTAAATTTCTATTCCAAATTAATAAAACATACAAGTTCTCAATAATATTGAAGATAATATCAATCTCATTAAATTATTCTAAACATTTTAAATAATTAAATTAAATTTTCTAATATTTACATTAATTAAACTCGATCTATTAATATAATTAAATAAAACATGAATAAAAGCTTTAGTTTTCAACAAGAGTAAATCGAACATGATGGTAGTAAATTCATACTCCACATATTTATCAATCAATTCATTACAATTCTCGCATCTATTTAATCTAATATCTTTTTTTCCTTCCGTATAAATACTTGTATGATCCTGCATAAATCCACAGTGAGTACAAACATTCCGACATGAAGAAGCCTTCGTGTTTGAGGCAACCAATGATGATCGAGACATTTTTAATATAAATTTAATATTAAAAAATGTCGATAAAAGGATTAGTGAATAGATTCAAGTATTTAACTTCTGGAAAGTATGAATTTAGAACTTATCCAGCCTTCCATCTTTCTCTTTCTATTTTTTATGTCTATTTGTTTTATGAATTAGTTAATTATTATGAAAATAATTTTGTTAAGGAAAGATTTGATGATCGTATCAATCAGAGAAAACAAAGAGAAGGCCTCTTTTTACTTTCTGTTTTGAAGAGTTATGAACGTTCCGAGGAGGGTACATGTGCTGCTAATAGTGATAATAATTTTTATATTCCTCCAATGAATGCAGAACATGTTGATATTGAACGTTGGCCAACACGTTTCGAACAAAATTATACAAGAGAACAACGAGAAGAGCTCTTACATGATTACATTAGAATGAAGGAGAGAATTTACAAAAGAAATGATTAATTATCATCATTGGATGGAGGGAGTGTTGGTGATGATTTTGTGGCAGTAGTTGGCTTGTCCTTTCTCAAGGCATTACCTACCCAATCAATTTCCTTTCTCTTGGATTTGTCTTCCTCGATTTGAAGTCTGAGTCTTTCCAATTCTTCCTTCTTCTTTTCTTGTTCCTTCTTTTTGGCTAATTCTTCTTCCATTCTTAGTCTTTCTTTAAAGTCGTCTTTTAATGGATCGGAATGGAGTTTACTCTTATTATGAATGGCTATGATGATGAGTAACAGTTAAGAATAATAACTTACCTCGTTCTTCCTTTTCAACTTGTGATCCTTTTTTCATTTGTCTATCAATACCAACAAGAACTGTTGAAATAGCTGCTCGAGGATATAAGCCTGCTTCTTTTAATGTTATATTTGGGAAATCTTCGTATTTAAATGTAACTTTTGGATTTAAAGTTTGGAATTCAATAGCATTATCTTCAATGTAGGCCTTCCCAAAAGGCAATAAATGTTTTTTTAATTCAACAGCTTTTGTTTGAACATAACGCTGTACCACAGATAGTTTGGCATCGGCCTTGAATATTGCTTGAACTGCTGTGCCATCTAATAATCTAATATTCAGTGTTGCTTTCTCCTCCGATGATGATGACATGATCAAAATTTTTTAATTTGTTTTTAATTCTAAAAATATTTTTAGATTTCTTAAGGAACTTTTTTTATTTCGGATTGTTTACAATGCCATTTCAATTACTTTCCAAACATTACCAGTTACTTATTCCAATAAACATCATCCAGATTTACAACACAATAATTACTACAATATTCAGATAATACAAGCAAATCAATCTTTTTGTAATCTTTTTGTTCAAATCTAATTGTTGAAAATTGGAAATGCTGTCCCAAACTTCCATATTTTTCGTTAATATCACAAAACAGTTTCTGATATTGCTCAAATAAAAGAGATTGATTGAGTTCTCTCTTTTCTGAATCAATAATTCCTTGTTTCAATAATTCTTCATAAATTTTTTCAAAATAAATCAAATAGTTATCTTCTTCTTTGACTAGCTCTGCAGTCCCCAATTTGGAAATAAACTCTGATAGATAAAACCTCTTAATTACATTATTATTATCATTATTTTTTTTGTAATACAAATAAATTGGGAAATCACCACTTGTTGTGTTAGAAACTTCTGATTTCTTTGCAAAGAGACAAACTCCAAACTTGTTACGTTCCAATTTTGAATCGTCATAACAACCTCCAATCAATATGGCATCATTTTCTTTCATCCATTTCTTCATTGTTGTTGAGGGTTCCGAGCGTTTTTTAAATGTAAAATATTTTGCAATCTCTTCATCAATGTACCACAACTTCCTATTTGCAAACTTAATTCCAGTCAAGTACTCTAAGCATTCTGGAAAATTAAATGAATTGGTAGATTGAAACATTGTAATAGCTGTTGGTAATTTACCTCCCAATTTCTCAAGAGCAAAGCATGTTTCTTTGTTGATTGGTGTCTCAATTAAGCTCTCCATAATGTTAAGTTTTCCACAGTAAATTCTTTCTTTTTTTTGACAGAATAATGTATTAGTAACGCTGTCAAAATAAGTGATCCTTTCGTCTTCTTCACAGATATCCGTAGAGTAAAAGGTTGACAATAAATCTTTTGTCTTAGAATCATAGATATACGCCATATCAGAAAATGTGAAACACGCAAAATACTTTCCAAATGGCATGGTAAAATCAACACCATCCTCACATTTTACATAATTGCGTTCCTCAGTTCGTTCCTCAACGATGATAACACCGCAACCACCAGGTTCTTCATCTGAAGAATCATTTGAACTAGTACTGCTGTCATCTGATTCTAATGCAGCCCTACCTGAAAGATAAATCTTTCCCTCCTTCTCGTCGTATGAAATTTTTGTGCATCTCCACTTCTTACTGAAATCCTCACCTATGTCAATGCTCCTCTTAACTGAGCCATTATTAGAATCCAAAACAGTGATATCCAACTTGTGAATGGTATAAATTTCATTCTTGGATTCACAAACAGTAAAGCGATCCACTGAAAATTTACAGCTTTTCCATTCCGAAGATAAATCAAGTTTCGTTTTCCTCATCCTCCTATCCGAATAGATGTACAAACATTCCCCACTACTATCCAAATCAAATAAATAATGCCTTAATTTAATTGTTCGTAGCAATTTCCCACTTTCCGAATCATATATTAAAATCTCTTTACCTGTACCAAGAATTAACCATTTCCTCTGTGGACACGCTCTTACTTGCTTCGAATCTATATCATATAAACCATCAATACTAACAGAGGAGGATGACATCATTATATGGAAAGTTCGGACTTTATTTCCTCCTAGTTTTTTCTTCAACATTAAACTCTCTGATAATTCATTAGAAAATATTATTTTAACATTTTCATTAGAAGTAATATTTTCTTCCTCTCGTGGTATTATTGTGTTGTGATCGAGTTTCTTCTTTTTGAGAGGTGATTCCATTTTTTTCTAAAAATTCCACTCAAATTTAATGTTTTAAAATTATTTAATTGAATTTTGTATCAAATTTATTTGTGATCTTTGTATTGGAAAGTTTACAATACCAAGTTGATGAAATGCAAAATTCCGCTTGTCCATCAAAAATACAACAATTCTATTGGTTGATGCACCACCAATCTTTCAAGTTAATCACCTGTCTTCATTTTGATACAGTTCAAGTGAGCTTAAATCCTGCTAAATCTTTTGTTCCAAACCTTCAATATTATCAAAACAAAAATCAAAACAACCAGTTTATAACAATGTTGCAAAATTGTGATATCAACGATGAAGTAGTCAAAAACTACGACGAAATGAGATTAGGAAAAGGTGTCTATAAGGATGTAAAGTTTCTAGTATTGAAAATGCAAGACAATTTCATTCAAATTGATGCAGAATTGACCAACCTTGCCACATTGGACGAATTGATCCCAAAACTTCCTCCAAAGAACACTCGTTTCATCTGCTATTTATTGAGTTTCGAAATGCCTACTGAAAATACTCAACTCAGAGAAGGAATCAGAAGTAAGATAATGTTCCTTACTTGGTGTCCGGATGAAACCAATGTTTGGGAAAAGTTTTTATTTACTGCAGCTACAAATTTAGTTAAGAAAAAATTTAAAGGAATGACTGGAACTATTCAATGTTCACATGGTTCTGAAATTGATGAAAGTCTAATGATTGAAAAATGTTTGACCTTTATGAAGTAAGAAATTCTTCAGGTTATTGAAATGTACTAATATGTAAATAAACAATATTGAATTTATTCATTTACCAACTCTGTTGAGTGGGATTTAATAATTATAAATTTGTTGGATTTGGGCAGCTGTTAATTCAACATTGAACATTCTAATTTCGTCCATGTGACCACTGAAAAAAGCAGAGTTGATACCTTGGAGGCCGCCAAACTTAATATTACTTGTTACTGGATCAAAAGTTGATGAACTGGAATTGTCTAAAACTCCATCAATATAAATATCAACTCCAGTTGCCTTGCAAACAACAGCAAGATGATGCCATTCATTGTCTAACAATTTGGATGAAGAATAAAACCTTATTGGTAATGTTGATGATGTTTTCCAATAAAATTCAAGATTATCACTTGAAGCTAAACCATTACTTCCCATGTGTTGAAATAAAGGAGGTTGGCTCATTAGAAAGCTCCAAACAACACCTGAATCCGTATTAGTTAACTTTCTAAGCCACAGTGAAAGAGATTTACCAGTACCAAAAGTTACCCATGTTGGACTATTTGTATTAAAGTTTGAAGAAGTAGCTTTGTTGAACACAGCATATTTACCATAATATGGCTTTCTAGGGGAAGCATCACTGAATGACATTCCATAGGATTCAGTTGGAATTCCATACTTGTCAGCTAAATCACCATTGTCAAAACTAAAATACATAAATTCACCAGTAATATTCAATGCTCTTGTAATGTTACAATCATCTCCATCATAATTATTACATCTATCACTAATAACTTGAATTTCCAAGTTAAGATTATTAAGGGCTGTCTTTACCTTTTTCAACTGAGAAACTCTCATTGCAATTATTTGTGAGGTACTATTAGTATTGGTTGTATTCAACACTCCAACGGCCTTCTCCAACTTGGATACAGTATTTTGCAATGTTATTGCTTCCTGTTGTAAATCAGATAACCATCCTCTGTTGAACAACTTGATGATGATGTATTAGTGGTTGTTGTTGATAATACAGAGTAATATGGTTGTATGGAGGCAATAAAAGCTACTACAAAGAGACAACAAATTAACCAAGTCCTCAGTGATTCTTGTTGTGTGGTCATGTGGTGTTTTTTTTAAAGATGTTGTTTATCTGCTAACTACAGTTTTCCCAATCGGCATCAACTACGTTAACTATTAAGGTACAGTACAGGCTCATGGTCATCTTTGTGAAGAATCCAAGTCGGAGTAATCTATTTCATTGTAAACAATTCAAATGTTTCAATTATGGTTGACCATCTATGGTTTTACATTATTGTAATAGGATGTATTTGATGATCAAATGTGCAATATTCATTGTAATTGTATGATTAGTAACTGAAAAAAATGTCACAACAAACACCACTAAAACCTCATTTAGATTTTGTTATTGATAAGGTTAAACAATTATATGTTGATGGTGATACTATCGATAAACAAAGAACAACAACGATCCGATATCCAACTCATAATATTGATCCTACAACATCACGTTATTTTGAAAATTCTCACAATTATCAATTTATTTGTGATGATTATTTGTATATTTTCATGGGTTCTAATATTTGGCACAGTTTTAATTCTGTTGTGAATGATTATTGTTTAATGAGAATTCATTTGGATGAAATTAATAGATTATATGAAGAAACAGGTTTGTTTTGTTGATTGATGTAAATTTATCATCATTCCTATGAATTGATGATGATGATTTAAATTAGAGAAAATTGCTGTAGAGGAGGTGAAAACATATAATGGTTGTTATGGAGGTAGAATATTTCCAGCATGTTATTATGATGATGATTTAAAGGAAGTCTTTTTGTATGTTTTTAATTAATAATATTTAATAATACTATTACTAATAGATATGGAGGGTTGAAACAAGGAAGAACTCTGTCAAATGAATTTTATGGAATTGATATGAAAACATTTATTTGGAGACGATACATATCATCACAATGGCTTCCAGGCCTTGAAGGACATACCATAGTAAAACGTAGGAATGGAGAATATTATGTTTATGGAGGTCATGGAGGAAATTTAGTTTTCACAAATTCATTCTATAGAGTATTGTTGGATCATGTAGCAGGAACTGTTGAATTTCAAGACATGAAAAAGGAAAAAATGTTTGGATTCGAACATGTCACATCAACAGTTGCCTATCATCAAAGTTTATATTTTGATAAGATTGATGCAATGGTAGTGTTTGGAGGAAAATTAAGATCTGGAGAGAATGCACCAATGAGGTTAGTAATGATTTATTCATTTTCTAACTAATAAGGTTAGTAATGATTCACTCATTTTCTACTTTAAAACAAATACATGGATTAAGGTTGAATCGACAGCCATTCCATGTAGCTCTCCAATACCAGCATTTAAGAAAATACCAGACGAATACAGAGTAATGACAAAGAATTTTTGGGTTAAAACTCCAAAAACTCGTTCTCATAACATGGTAAAGATATCACCAACCAAGTTATTATCTTTTGGTGGTACATGTCATACTAGAGATCAGCCACAGGATTTCACAAGAGATGTTTTAATATTTGATGTTGAGGAATTAACATGGCAAGTTTGTGATACACTTTCAAGTCATGATCCTGAAGTTGTGTACTTGGTTGATACCAAACATTCAATCGCTGCATCAGATGAGTCATGTTTACAAGGAGTTGGACAAATATTTGGGCAAGAATCAAATGAAGCAAAGAGATCACCTCACGAGCTTAATATCTCAGAATTTGATGAAACATTTGTTGGACGAAACTATTTTTCAATGAGTCTGGATTATAATAGAAATAGTGTCTATATCTTTGGTGGAAGTGTCTGTTCTGTAAATGGTACAAGAAGATGGGAATCATCCGATCTCACCAAATTCCATTTTCAACTTAGACCTACCATTTCAAAAGCTTATAGAATGATGAAAATATTTATTGATTCTCAGAATATTTGTGGACCATTCTCTGACATTACAATACAAACAAAAGAATAAATTATTAAATAATATTTATTAAATACCATTTATTAATAAATAATTTAATTGAAAAAAAATGAAGAAACGAGCACAACCACAAACTGCTATCAAAAAACCGAATTCCTCCCTTCCTCAGATGAAAACATCAAGTAAACAACCATCGGAAAAGAGTAAACTAAATGCTCCCTTCCTGGAGGAATTTATGAAACAATTCGAGGAAGAAAAGAGAAAAAAGACGAGTGCAAATAAATCAAATACAAAGGATTTCCTAACCATGCTTTTAAAACAACAAGAAAAGATAAGTAAAAAAGAGGAGGAGGAAGCTAAAAAGTTAGAAAAGGAAAAGGAATTAACAAAAATTGAAATTTTAGAAAAGAAACAAAAGAATTTGGAAAAGTTAAGAAAAAAGGCTTTACCAAACGCAAATTTCACTCCATTTGTTTTTAATACTTTACAGTTCTTTGAGGATAATTTAGAATATTTTGCTAAACATACAATTGAATTTCAAAGACTTGTTGCTCAATTACGTACTAAAGAGGAACAACAAATATTTCTCCACACTGTTTTCATGTATTATTATGTGGATGTTCTGCTGGCAAAACGAAAGAATAATGAAGAACCAGAGGAAAAGATTAATCAACGATATGGAATGTCATCTACGGATGAATTATATTTGAGATATATGCAATCACAACAGCAAAACTCGTTAAATAATCAAACGACCAAGAGTTTAGTAGATCTTAATATGCCTGTAAATCAAAAACTTATAGCAACCACGTTGAAAAAATTTGAGCAAGGATTCAAGGATAGTGAGGAATTATATGATTTAGTTAACAAGTTGAATTCAAAGGAGAGTTTAATAGTTGACTCTTGTTTGGAAAGTCTAAAGGTATTTGACAAGTAGATAATGGAGTTTATTCAACTTTTTGCTTTGTACAATCGTTGTATGTTCGAGCTGCCATTATTGACATATTCAAAAATGGGAACATTACATTGTTAAATGATGTGAATAAGACAATTTTGCCATATGATCTAACATATTTTCTATAGAAATTGAAAAATCCAACCATATGAGAAATGGAAATAATTAGAAATAAGAGTATTCTCAATTTGAAATATTTTTTGTGATATCTGCTTTCAATCCTGTCGAGACATTCCAATAATAGGTATCCAATAATAATTGCCAAATGTGAGAAAACGAAAGTTGGACCAATAAGTGTGAAAAATAGAGAGCTGTCATCAATAATGGTAACTCTATTGAAATGAGCTGAGAGAGCAGTGAATGGCTCCAATTTGTGAATAGGTTCTAGTGTATTGATTGGATCAGAATTAAAGTAAAAGTATGTTAAATTGAGTAATCCTCCAAATCTATTATCTTCAGTTAGTACTCCTAAAAACCAAAGACCATATCTCATAGAAACAGATTGGAGCACTAGTGATATCACTTCAATAAATGTAACTCTCCTTAAAAACATAAATTTTGATGCTAATAATATGAATACAGATGCAATACAAGAGTAATGAGTAACATCTCTAAATATTGTTCTCCAATCCAAGCTCAAAACGCACCATGAAATAAATGACCTTATTGTATCTGTGCGTGAGAGATTTACTGGTTCACAAAGTGAATCATCCTTTGTAAATAAATGTTCAACTATGGAGCTTCCATCAAATTCTACAGTTATTTTGTGGATAGAGGAATCATTTGGTAAATTATTGAAATCAAAATTGATTCTATACTCGGATTGGCCTCTAGTTATTATGAGATTTTCATCCATAACATTTCCATCAAGCTTTACAATAACATTCAACTTGTCACTTTCAATATTATATGGATAAACGATGAATAATCTAATGAAATTATCATTGAACACTTTTGGCTCTCTATCAGTGATAAATCTACAATCCTTTGGATGCGAAATAATTACTCCTGGTTTTTTCTCCAGTTCGCTAACAGTAAAATCCTTAAACCCAATTCTATTATTATCCATTGTTATAATTTTAAAACTTCTCTCCTTTTTAAAATCAGGACTTTGAATTTCAATATGTCCACTCTTTGGCATATATTTTGACATTTCAAAGAATTCCTTATGTAAATGTCCACTAAAATATGAAATAATATTAAATCTTTTGTAAAAATCTTGAATTGTATAAGTATTAGATACAGATCCATCATTCTCAATAATTGAAATCATTGATGATGGATAGTGGCCAAAAGCAAATGTTTGTGAAATTCCTTCAGAGTTACTACTCAAAAATTCTTCAAGTTTTCTCAATTGTGAAATTTGAATTGAAGAGAAAAAATTCACAGGTCTATAACTTCCAATTATTGGAGTTGAGTCAAACATTAAATATCTAAATTTTCCAAAATTATTTTTCAAATCAAAAACATAAAATTGACCGTTATTAAAAAACTTTGCACTTTTAGAATATTTCAAAAATAGCCATTTGTTTTCATCCATCTTATTACTAACACCAAATGCATCATGGTTTCCTGGTAAATCAAATATTCTTTGATTTGAAATATCCTCCTCAAATGGATAAACAATCTTGATTGAGCTGTGTGAATTTTTCATTGAATTAACTAACTGTTCATTAGCAAGATTTGTAATATTTGAATAAAACTCCCATTGTTCTTCACATTGTCCAGGAACATAGATATTTATCTTTCGGTCAATCCAGTCCAATGATCTGTTAGCAAAATTCAGAGCAATTGCATGAGTTAAATCACCTGTTATTGTTATTACATGAGGTTTTACAAAATTTGGTAATATATTCTGAGTTAGTGTAATATAATCATTGTACCTTTCTTGTGCTTCCTTTAGAAATGAAGGTCTATTTAACAATGATGTGAAATCTTCAATATGAACATCTGTTATTTGTACAAAGTTAAAAAAATTATTTGGATCAAATTCTTGTTTGTTAATTTTACATTCCGAAGAAGGTATAGTGCTAACAATTACCAACAACAAAACAACCAATAAAAATCTCTGTCTAATGTAATTCATTTTTTTTCAAAGTATTCTTTTTTTAACTTGAACACGTGTTTCATATTGATAATGGATTACAAAAAAGTTAATTTGTGTTATTGTTTGGTTGTTGGGAACGAAGATAATTCTGATTGAGATCATGTACTAGTTCATATAAATGTACCTTTTCAATATTGAGTTTGTGTTTTTCTTCTCTGAGTGTGAAATTTTCCTCTCTCAATGCAGCAATTTCCTGTTTCAGTGATGAAATTGTTTCTTCTTCCTGATATTCATCTGTATTTAACATGAAAGTATAGGTATCATCCTGTAAATATTTATATGTCTTTTCCATAATATCCTTCGTTGTTAATCCTTCATCTAATAATAATAGAGAAAGATCATTATCTGAAAGTGGTTGATTTGATTTTTCCTTTTCTTGATTATTATTAACAGCAACATTTGTCGCCGTCCCTTGTTGTGATTTTTTCATTCTAATAGCTCCTTCACATAATTCTCGTTCTATTTGTAATTGTGATTCGTATTCTGAAAGTTTAATTGATTGTTCTTCACATTGTTGTTTATATTTCTTAATTTGATAATCTTTTTGTTTTAATTCTTCTTGTTGACAAAGTGCAATTTGTGCCAATCTTTCCAACTCTGCTTTTTGTTTTAAATATTCCTTTTTTAATATTTTCAATTTCTTTTTCAATTCGGGATCATATTGTTCCATTGAATTTTGTTTTTGGGAATTGTTTGGCATTGAAAGTGATTGTTCATTAATGAGAGAAGAGGCTCCGAAATTATTTACTTTGTTGATGATGAGTATTATTATTATTGGATTTATTTATTATTGTTGATGATGTTGTTGTATTGATCATCTTGGAATCGGATTTTTAATATTTTTTTTTAAATAATTAAATCAAGCCTTGTTGATGTTAAATTACAATATTAGTTTATATTATTAAAGTAGTGTAATAAAAGTTTATTAACATTTGGAATAATATTTTCGAAATTAACAATCAATTAAAAATAGTATTTTATTTAACACCATGGCTTACTCCATTGAGAATCCACGTAAATCCATTCATCAATCCAATATCCAATTTTTTCACCATATATCGAATATTAATGCACATTGCAAAATGTCCATTTAAATCCCTCAAACATAAACTTCCTTCATTCAGTAAGAGTTTCAAAACCCATTTGACCGATATTCTTCTTCATTCTTCGCTCGAGGCTTTGTAGTGGAGTGCATTTTGAGAAAAAAATATCATCACACAACAGAAGGCTTTGTGTCATCATTTCTTTAGAGAATCTAGGCTTTTTTCAAATCTTCTTTTATCACAACAATAATAATAATATATTATCTAGATAATTCGGAAAATGAATAATTATAATCAAGATAAATTATCAAGGAGGAAGGATCGTTCCACAGTGGAAGAGGAGGAAATTAATTCAACAAGTCGTTTAAATCAAGGTGTAAAACAACCAGTTTATTTGACACACGTTGAAGAAATGGAAGATAATGATGAATTAAAAGGTAATCCAATGCAATATATGACTGCTGGTGCTATGGCCGGCTTAGTTGAACACGCAGGTAAATTTTGATTCTTTAATTAATTTGACATAATTGTGTGGAAATTTAGTAATGTATCCAATTGATACTATCAAGACTTATGTTCAATCGAGTAATCAAGGAATATTTAAAAGTATTAAATCTATTGGAGGAATTCGTAATTTTTATAGTGGATTGACTGTTGTGTTATATGGAGCTTTACCATCTCATGCATTTTATTTCACAACTTATGAAGCTGTTAAAAATATTTTACAAGGACGTCAAACTCAATATGTTAATGATTGGAGTGTTAGTGCACTTGCTGGTATTGCAGCAACTATTGCACATGATGGTATTGCAACTCCAACAGATGTTATTAAGCAACATATGGTATGTTGTCTATTTTTCAAATAGTTTTTTTACTGAAATATTTAAAGCAATTGAAAGGTCATGTTCAAAATTATAATTTAATGAGTGCAACACGTGAAATTTATGCCACAAGAGGTCTTAGAGCATTCTTTGTCAGTTTACCAACTACAATTTTGATGAATATTCCATATACTAGTTTCCACTTTGTGACTTATGAATATATGAAAAAGAAATTATTTGACCATCATGACCACGACCACCACGACCACGACCATCACCACGATGACCATGATCATGACCACGATGAATGGAAACATGTAAAGCATTTCATGGCAGGTGGTGCAGCAGGTGCAGTTGGTGGACTCGTTTCCAATCCATTTGATGTTGTGAAAACTCTTTTACAAGTAGGTCAAGCAGATACTGTTAAGGAAGCAATTTCGTTATTGAGGAAAGAAGAAGGAGGATTACTTAAAAATCTCTTTAGAGGATCTATACCTAGAGTTGTTTATTTCACACCTTCAGCAGCTGTCACATGGACAACTTATGAATATATCAAATATGTTTTCAGATGGTACAATACCAACAATAATCAAAATAAATAACTTATCATGTCTGCAATGAATCAATTGTGACAAGTTGATGAATCAATCATATCATTTGATTGTGAAAATGAGAATTTTCAACAAGAAGTTTCCATATTTTTAGATTTTTAAAAAAAATGCAGAATCCCATCGATCAACTCTCTAATGGAATTAATACAGCCTTTGAAAAATCAATAGCCTACTTTTTGAATACAACAGATGGAGTGCCCGGAGCAGAATCACCAAGTAAACCTGTAAATATATGGCAAATATTGCACAACGATGATATGTACATGATTAGAGATGAATTTGCTCCATTTCCATCGGAGGGATTTGCTGCCGTTCATATTAAAGGACATAAGGATCCGAATAGATTTTATGTTCATGGAGGAAAGACTAGATTTAATCAATTTCAAAATCCATTGCATTTATATTATGTTGAAAAATTGGACTGGAAATTTGTAAAATTACAATTGGCAAAGGAAGAAGATCCTAATATTATTGCGGAATTTGAACAAAGACCAAGAGCCCATCACACAGTGAATCAAATTTATGAAAATAGATTACTATTGTATGGCGGACAAATTGGTTATAATCCATCAAGTGTCGGTACTAATTTAAATAATTTCTTCAAAGGATTGTCTGGAAAAAGTACATCAGATGTTAATACTCAATATGATCCATATATTTATGATATTGATTTATCTCAAAATACAATTCAAAGAATCAGAACACCTCTCGATTTACCAATACCAAAACCAAGAAGATATCATTCTGCTTGTTCTTTCAAAGGAAACTTATATGTTTATGGAGGTGAAGGTTTTAATTATTCAATTAATCAACAACCAAAAGGATTAGGATATTATTTATCACTCCAAAATTTGAAAAGAGCAATTCCTGAACCTCTCAATGATTTTTGGATGTTTGATACCAAATTAAATGTATGGAAACAACTCAAATCACCTGCAAGACCAGGTAGATATGGTCACATGATGGTTTTATGTGAAAAGAGAGAAAAATTCTATGTAGTTGGTGGATGTGGAACAAGTGAACGAGGTGAAGATGTTCCATTTAAGGAAATTTTGGAATATGATATTGCCAGTGGTAATTGGCAAATATCAGGACTAATTCCTAGAAGATCTGACATGATGGATCTTATTCCAGCTAGATGGGGCTCGGCAGATATTTTTGATGATTTTATTTTCATAGTTGGAGGTGAATTATTGGATAGACCTAGATCTCTGCTAACTATGAGAGAACCAATTTTGGATGATGTACTTATATATAATATTAGAAATTATAACCTTTCTACTGCAGGTATTGGATCACCTGAATGTACAATAGTTAATGCTCAAACATTAATTTTCAACAATAGATTAATAGTTCTTGGAGGAAGATCTGGATCGTCTTATGCTTATTCATCAATGATTTACTTGAATGGTACCACTTCAAATCCAATGTTTGGAGTTGAAATTGATGAAAGAAGTAGACATATGATCGATATTTGTGTGAGTTATCTTAAAAAGAGTGCTGCTTTAGAGTTTCCAAAATTATTTTCCACAAATTACGACATGCAAGATACATTAATGCTTAGATTAATGCTCAATTTTGATCATGGACATATTCATGATGAGCAAGATTTATTGTCAGACCACGATACATCACCTTATTCAGTAGCATCTTTAATATGCTACTTTTTGGAATCACTTCCAGAACCAATTTTAACATCTCAATATTACAGAAAGATGATTGACCTCTGTAATGCAACCAATTTAACATTTGAAGAAAAAATAGTTGCCCTCAAAGAATTTATCAAAACACTTCCAAAAGATAATGTTCACATATTGTATAGAGTTTGTGAATTTTTGTGTATGGTTAGTGATGCTTATACCACTACAGAACAAAATATTAAGGACTTGTCAATGATTTTCTCTCATTTATTACTTTCCACTAAAATTCCAAGTCAAAGAAGTGTAAAAGATGATTGTGGTGATAAAGAAGGTATTACTCCAAAATTCAAAGCCGCTGCATTCATTATCCAAAATTACAAACTATTAACTGAAGAGATTATTCAAGTTGATAGTCAAGATCTATTTAACACTTCTGATTCTTCAATCAATCAAATCGATGACAATGAATCCAATCCCACCAAAACTCAACCAGCCAACCAAGATCTCTTGGATTTCTCCATGTAAAATAAATAATAACTGAAAGTTTACTTTGTACAAGTCACGAATAACATCTTATTTTCTAATTGAGGTAGTTCTCACTTCTTTTTTTACTTCAGTAAATCGAGATACTGATGGAAGTGGCTTCCTATCTATTGGTGTAGATGATGGTTTTCTATTCGTTGTGGATGATGATGATGGTTTTGATAATGATGGTCTACTGTTAGTTGTGGAAGTTGTTGATGAAATGGTGTTAGAGGAAGGTTTTTTCAATGGTAGCATTCTGGAAGAGTAAACTCTTGATTTTACAGGCTCCTCAGGAATTGTCCTAAATTGAGATAATGAAAAATCAGGCTCTCTAATAAATAATCATATTAAATAATACAATCATTATTTGTGACACTTACTTGTTATACAATTCTAAGGGAGATATGGATGAATACACTTTTGTTTTTGATCCTTTTTGCTTTCTCTGTTCATATTTCATCTCTTCCGATCCAGATTGCAGACGTTTGTTTTTTCCACCTGAAATCATCTTGCTTGTATCAACAAAATGCAAGTTGTGCTCTTCTCGTTTTGCATAAAATTCTTTCCTCAATTTTTCATATTCAGCCTCAGGTAATAAAACTCCTCCATCCCGATCACCAACAATCATTCTATATTCCAAATAGGCTTGAAGGTGTTTCTCACCTTCACTTTGTACAACCATTCTTTGCATTTTTTCAAAGTACCTTTTTGAAGGATGGTGATGTTTTCTGTAGTTTTAAAATAGTTCACTAAGGTTAAGTTTATATCAAGGGAAATATTTAAAAGCAATAATATATTTATTGTTTTTATATCAAGCTTGGAATGAGATTATTTATTTTGACATCATTGAAGAGAACAATGAGTTAATCATTGATCCAAGTCCTTGATTTTGTGGTTTGGATTTTTGTAAACCAAAGTAAATACTTCCAATCTTGTCAAGATAAACATCTTTAAAGCTGGCATCCCTTCTAGTGAGCTCAGTTGCATAAGATTGATTGATATGATGATACAATTCCAAATTGCCTTTTTCAATAGAAATTATCAAAAATTTAACAAAGTGAAGAAGTGGAGTTGATGATAATTTTTCAGTTTTTTGTTGTAATAATTCAAAAACTCTTTTAGCCATTTCCAATTTCTTTAATTGCAATAATTGCAAAACAGCACGAGTAATGAATAAATCATGTTCTCCATCTTCTCCCTTTTTAATCCATTCAGAAATCATTTCAGCAAATTCGTCTGGTGAGTTTGATTTCAAAAAATTCTTATTACTTTCTTCATTAGCTCCTAATTTAAAGTGAAGCTTTCCAAGTTCCATATGTATAAAAGGTTCTCCGTGACTGTCTGAAATTTTAGGAACTTGATGTTCAGCACTCCACGTCACTACTTTATCCAAAAATGAAATCATTCTTTGAATATCTTCTTTTGGTGTTATATCTTCAAGTTGATGATACGATTCAACAATATGTCTAATAAGATCTGAGTAAAATCAAAATGTTATAATATTTCTATACATTTTCATTATACAAACCTATTGCTGTAATTTTATCTTCCTTGATTGTGAATGTATGTGTGGTTGAAGCATTTAATTTAGTAAAAAGAGAAAGCATGTATTTAGCAAGATCGATCAACAAGGCTACTTGTTTAAATTGATGCATCTTATTTAAACCCGATAATAAAATTTGAGCACATTTATCATACTTTTCTTGTTTAAATGTCTTGTTGAAGAGAACAACAAACATTTGTTGTGCTTCATAGAATTTACCATCATCACATAATTCCTTCAATTTATCAACGTTCATTTTTTTTAATTGATGAATTTCCGATTGTTTTAACATTCCGTGATTAAATTTTTTAAATATATTATCGGAATGTTTGATTTTACAATTTTTCAATATTGCTTTCACTTATCAATGATATTAAATGTATTGGAATTTTAATAATTTTAATTGTTGTTAAATAGCTGAAATTGTATTGATGAAAAATTTGCCGCCAAAATTACTACAAAAAAAAGGCTTTTCAAAAAATTATGGACAACCTTGTGGATTTGGATGATTTCGATGATGATGATTTTGATGGTTCATCTTGGGGAGGACAGAGTAATCAACTTGATACAGTCAGTGAAACATTATCAGCAAGAAATCACGATGAGGATGAAGATCTTATTCCATCAAAGAAGAATGATTATGTTCCTCAACAAGAGTATAATCCTCATGAATCGGAAGAAATGGATCCAATGATGTTTGGACAAGTGGATCATAATGAGAGCTTTGATGATTTTGATAATGAACATTTTGAGGAATCACACCAGGAGGAAAAACAAGCTCAAGAATCACCATCACCAAATCCAATCAGAACAATTGATGATTTGGAGGATTCTGATGATGATGATTTTGATGACAATTTTGAGCTTTCAGATGACGATGTTGAGGAAGATGAACAAACAAATTCATTCAGAATTGTGAAAAAAACTGAATCACCTCCAAAAGAAGAACAAATTGCAATACCATCAGTTCCTTCAACTGTAGAGGAGAAACAAGTAACTGAAAGTTTTGAATCCAATGAATCTGACCAGCTGGAAAATGTAAATTTTGAAAAACAATACAGAACTCTGGATGACTACGACGATTATAGCGATGATGAAGCAGCTCAGGAAGAGATAAATGACAGTGAAGAAATTGAGCAATCTCAGGTCAACTCTATCAACAATAACAAAGAAACTCCCCAAGAACTGCCACAAAACAATTATTTGAATCAGCCATACAGTCAATCTATTAGAAGTGATTCATATCGAAATTTTGACCAAAAATCAATTCAGGATCAAAATTTTGCCAAGACACTCCCCCCTAAGATTAATTACAAGCCTCAACAAGAGTCACAGAAAGAAACGACATCATCTCTTGCAACAGCATCTACTCTTCAGAAATTAGCTCTGCCAATTTCACATCAGCCATCTAGATCTCAATCCTCAATTCAAAATGTTCAACCGATTCAACAAGAACAACAATCCACAATATCATCTCAAAAACAAACTCTCCAACCAAACCTTTCATCAAAACAATCGACTCTTCAATCTAATCAAAACTCAATACTTCAAAGACAAACTTCAACTCTTAAATTTACTCTTCCTTCAACATACTCTCCTAAATCTGAAAATGAAGAGGATGATCTTGAAAATTACAATCCTATTCAATCCATCAAAATATCTCCTAAGGTTAAGCCACTAGCAAAAAATATTAATATTGAAAGTACAGTAGTTGAGGATAATAGATCTGATAAATCATCTTCGAGTACAAAATCGGTTCCAGTATCTTCACAGCCAACAACAAAAGAAAATCTTGAAAAGGTTTTCCTCTCCCTCAAATCAAAGGAAGATTTCAAAGTTAGAGAATCAGAAATAACATCTCCCAAAAGACCAGAAAAGAAACGGGAAGAAAGAATATTGAAAGAGGACTGTATATTTTATCCAGTTAAGGAAAACCAATCCAAGTATATTTCCTTAGAAGAAATAGCAAAGAGAAACAATACTTTGAGGACATTTAATATGGAGACTATCATGTCTGAAGCACTTTCTAGGAAAACATCGAAACGTCAAGTTGATTTAAGAGATGACAAAATTCTACAATTAGTTCTTGATCTCTATTTTTCTGTAAGTTGTACCACTTTTTTTACTAACAGTTTTAGAATGGTTTAGTTCAAAAAACAGAGAATTCCAAAGTGAGGAGAAACTTTAGGGAAGATACTAGACCGAGGGTTGTGGAAAGAAACAGTGAATATTCAAATAGTCACCCAACAGTTGTTCATTCCAAAGCTGCAAAGAAATTATCTGAACCCCAAATGCTCTCTCTTCATTTTAATGAAGAAGGAAGTCTTTCACATGTTTTGGAATCCTACTTATTAGAATTTTTAGAGAAAAAAAAGAGAAATTTGAAATCAAACCTGATTTTTATAGTGTTTAATGAGCTTGTTTCAATTTTAAACACTATTTCTCTTTACTTTTATACCGAGTTGACAGATTGTAATAACCTTGCAATACCTAGTTTTGCTTACAGAGGTCCAGTTATGCCCAGCCACATTTTTGAGAGTTTAATGTCATGCTTTCCATTCACAAGAATATCAAATAGCAAATACACTCTGGAAAGTTGGATTAGTATCAACCACATATCAGAAATTATTTACACACTACAGAGAATTATTAAGAGTAGATTTTGGAACTTGGACCACAGACCGAACTGTGATACGACTCATTTGAAACTGGATCTTGGTCTAAACGTATTTGATTTATACTTACCAAAACAAATGAATAGTAACCAAAAATTGTCAAAGCAAATACTGGAAACTCCACTCAATGAGTTTAAATACTTGCAAACAAAACAAGCAAGGGAACGGGAAGAAACAACAGACACATCACTGCTCAATAGAAAATCATTTCTTGATGATTTTAAAAACAAGATTCTATTCGAAAGAAGTAATGGTGGAAAAGAAAGGAACTTATTCTCTAAATATCATCAACCACTTGTTGATAGTAGTTTGAACGAAGTGTTAAATGAAGTGTTTGGGGACAACCTTATCATTCAAAGTATTAGGGAAAGAGTGTTGGAAAAGATAAATAAACTCTGATTCATAACAACTCATCCAATTCAAAAAAGGGAAGCATTGATAAAATTTAAAATGACAAGCTGTTAACCTATCCATCGTCGCACACTCACCAATTAAAAAATTTCAACCCATCATTTTCAATTAACAACAACAAAAACTAAACAATAAAAATGAGTGAACATCAAAGCACGCTCTCTGCGGAACATAAAGAAGAAGTTGGTGGATTGGTTGGAGGTCATACCGAACCAACAGATCGTTTTACAAGAAAGGAGATTTTACAAATGGTAAACCAATTGAGTCAAACTAAAGTTTCTATTCAAGTTGTTACTGGTAATCAAACAAGACAAGAATTCGACGTACAATCTGGTCTTCAATTACCTCATTGTAACTTGTCTGGATTGGACTTGAGACATTTGCAATTAAAGAGAGCCAATTTTACTGGTAGTAACTTGGAAGGTACTAAATTCGATGAAGGTAAACTTGAAAGTGCTTCATTCGAATGGACTAACTTACGTGGTGCTAGATTCGTCAGATCAGACTTGAAGAAGGCTAATTTGAAGGTTTGTTTCTTTCTTTTAATGATGATGACAATATATTTGAATTATTATTTTGAAATACACGTCAATAATTGATGTACCTTCTTCACCAACAACAATAACAAAATATCAAAACCCCATTCTCTTTTCCATTGTTATTGTTACTACAATAATAACTGTTTTGATTTTAATATTAATAACAATATCATTCAAAAAACAATATATTAAATATCCAACTATACACATTGCTGAAATACAAAATACTAATAATAATAATAATAATAATACTAACAAAACAATAGAACGCTGATTTACGTGGTGCTAATCTTGAAGGAGCTGACTTGCAATTTGTGAGTCTGAAAGGTGCTCGTTTGGATGGTTGCAATATGAGGAATGTCAATTTGCAATTTTCTGATTTGGGTGGATGCAATTGGAAAGATGCTGATACCACAGGTGCTGACTTGAGGAATTGGTAAGTTTAACATTTAACATTTCTTTAATATTTAAATTTAAATAGTTATGGTGATAATGTGAAGGAAAACAAAAACTTGTAAAATTAAATTATTATGTGTTTTATCTTGTGATGATTTAACAAATGTTGTACTTTGTTGTGAACAAACCAATGTTATTACATCCGAAAATTGTCATGTGTTGTTTCTTTAAGCAATTTATTCGAAAGTAGAATAATTGCTTAAAGAAAGCATGGACGAATCCAATGTTCTAATAATGTTCTTTTCACCAAACTCTCAAGTATTAGATACCCACATCAAGATTTCATTCTTGTTTTACAATACGACTTGAAACTTCTTAAATCTCAAGTCGAAGACCGAACCAGAACAACCCACCATTTGATACTCTAAGAAACAAAGCCAAAACAACTCTATGGTGGCTTGTTGTGCGTGTGGGCAATGAAATTAATGTGGACCACCTTTTACAACACTGAATGCATCCGTTACGTTTCTCATCTAATTTCTCAGACTGTGGAGGATCTTTTTTAAAAAATATCTCAACTTAATAGAAGGAAAGCTTGTTGTTATTATTCAATAATATACTATTATTTATTTAATATTGAGAGAATTACTTGTACATAAAAACATGAAGAGAGTAGTATTAAATTCATCTGCTAAAGCCTCATCATCATCATTAATTTGCAAAAATGGTAAATTTGTAGAGCAAACAAGAGGCTTTCAAGATCACTCAAATTTTAAGAAGGGATTAATTTTAACTACACAAGTATGTTAATATTGATGATAATTAACAATTCCGATTATTATTTAACAATAATAGACAGGTATTGATGTAATGAATAATTCATTATTAAATAAGGGTACTTCATTCTCTATAACTGAAAGAGATAGATTACACATCAGAGGTTTATTACCTGCTGTTGTTGTTGATATTGAAACTCAATTATTACGTATCACAGAAAGATATAATAGTTTACAAACAGATATTGACAAGTATCAATTTTGTACTCAATACAAGATAGAA